CAAAAATATAATTTTGAAAAATTAAAATCTAAATAATATTATATATAATGGGTTCAAGTAAATCAAAACCAGTAGAAATTGATGATGAAGAGGCTATTAAAGTAATAAAAGATATAGATGTAAATACGATAAGTGAAATGTCAAGAATTGATATTCTACAAATAAATTCATTGAAAGCAATAATAAATAAATTAGAAAAAGTTAATGAATGTAAAAAAGATAAAACATATTATAAATTTCCTGCCTTAAATTTATGTAGCTATTCTTTATTCTAAATTGATAATATTAACATACATTAATATTATTAATTACTATCATAATCTGTCATTTCACTTTCGGGTAATTTTGTTGAGGCGTTGCTACACATATCATCTATTAAATCTTCTTCATCAACAAAATTATTTTGAAATCTTAATAATTCCTCGTCTGTTGGTCGTCTTTTTAACACTTTATAAAGTTTATGTATCCAAGAATTAGTATGAAAATTGTAATTACCTCTACGATAAAATCCACCACATCTACATAGTTTCATTAGCATATTATTATATTATATTAAATTAGAATATCTTTATTCATCATTTGTAATTTGAAATGCCTGTTCAAAACGGAGAAAAAACATGTCATTCACATTCTTAGCATTCATATTCACGTAGAAGAAACTATAAGGTGCGTCATTCACTGCTTGATGATACATATCTAATAATTGCTGTTTGTCAACAATGGCGCTATTTTCTTCAATAAAACTCATTAATTCACTGGCATTTTTCAACCTAAAAATATATAATGAACTGGCATTTAAACGAATGATAGGCGCCAACACATTATTTTCTGTGTTGAACAAATTACGCTTACTGCATCGTGCCTACCTCTTGTAAATAATCCATGTAATAATTTACTATATCTAACAAATTTAGGATCGTCGGCATGATCGTCTATAACGATTAATATTGAATGTAGTTTCTTTATCTTTTTAGATTTCATATAATTAATTATTTTCTTCTGTCTTTCAATTACATTTTCTAAATCACTTGGATTATAATTATCAAAATAAATTTGTTCTTTTTCATCATCCACGTGCAATTCATCCCTGATATATTTTTTAACTTCTGTAAAGGTTGGGTCATTATGAACGCTGGGGGAAAATATAAATATTCTTGCAAATGAATTTCTATAAACATTTAAGATAAGGTTCTGAACCAAGACTGTTTTGCCGCCTGTCGAAGAAGCAACTATAATACTTCTAAATGGTAATTTTGGCACGTGCTCATATTTAGATTGTTTGAATTCATATTCAGTTATGTTTATTGGTTTTATTATTGGAACATCTGACATAATAAAATAATATTAAAGTTATTTAGAAAATATTTTATATTTATTATTTTATATGAATAGAAGCTATTCAGATTATATTGATATAATAGATGAAGTAGAGAATATAGAACAAGTTGTTATAACTGATAATAGATGCAAGAAATATGCTATTTTGTTTTAGAAATAATTAAGTTTGTGATACAATATATCAAAAATAAAAATGTAAATATTAATATAAATGGGAAGAAAGAAAAAGAATAAGACTGAACCAGTTGTTTCTTCAACTGATGAAGAAAAAGAAGAAATTGTTAAAGACACATCAGTTATTGAGTTTGCTTGTCCAATGTGTAAAAAGATGTTAGAATTAAAAAATGAATTAGAAATACAAAAGAAAGGAACTTGTAAATGTTCGTGTATTCCGACAAGTTTCAAACTAAGTAAGAATGATAAGAAAATGAATATTGATAAAACTAAAGACAGTATAAATCTGGAAACAGATGTTCATACTATTGCTATACACTTTGGGAGGGGGGTTATTCCATCCGAGAATGGCGATAGGGAAACACAGGAAACTATACGCGAAATGATGAAAAAATAATAGTTAAAATTATTTCCATTATTATTTATAATGCAAGATGTTATAAATAATATTATTAAATTCATTGATGTAAAGGAATTGAAATTGAATATTTTTATTGAAGAATATAACGAAAATGATATATTAATTAATTTTGTTAATGACTTTAGAAATAGTAAAATTGATTTTAACATGTTTTATAATTCTATTAATTATGCTGATTTATTTGAACAATCAGATTTAAAATTTTATTGTAAAAGAATATATTCATATACTTTAAGATTTATTGCTAATTATGAGAATAAAAATGCTATTCAGTTTTATGAAATTACATTGAGAAAAATGAATAATATTTACAAAAATAGTAACATTAATGTTGTTAATGTGTTTGAATGTATTAAATGTTTAATAATTTATATTACAGATAATATTGAAAAGTTTCATAAATATTCAAAATTTAGAAAAACTATTATTTGTAATTTAATTGGTAAATTGAATAATAATTTAACGAGTTACACAATAACTAATTTTGAATTGACTTATAATGATATATGATTTTGTAAAATAAAAGTTTAGTTTTAAAAGTTTTATTTTATAATATAATATATATATTTACATGGATGAAGGATTAGAAAAGATGGTTAAAAAACTGAACAAGGTTTTAGAACAGAACAAGAATATTTTAGAAATCTTACAAGAAATGGAAAAGAAGAAACCGTTAACAAACAGTTATCAAAGTAAGGAAGTAGATCGAACCAATGGTGAATATAAAAATAAAAGAAACATTTATTTAAACAAACTTAATAACAAAGAAATTAAAGAACCGAAGGCTTCAACTATGACATTTTATCAAATCGACTATGATGAAGATACAGGGATTTATTCTTGATTGAAAACATTTTTCTCTGAAAATCCGTTTAAAGACATATTGGCATAACTAATATTATGAGTTCTACAGATGACGAAGAAGAAACAGGATGCACAATGGTTTGTCATTGCAGTAAATGCGACGAAGCAAAGCCAAGAAAGGATTTTCACAAAATGTATGATAGAATTAAAATGGAAGAGATATTTTACAAAACATGTAAGGAATGCAGAGACAAAGTAAAAGCAACAAAAGAGTTAAGGAAGGAACAGAAGAAACGAATACAACCCATGGAAATACATAGATTAAAGCCTTCGATACCATAGTTTTGCTATACTTATAACATATAAAATCTTATATGTTGTAATTTTAGTTTAATTTTCCCGTATAAGCCGTGGGGGTGCTTTCCTACATAGGCCTTTCCCATCCGCATTTTGCCATCCATATTTTACTGGGATTGTTTTCAAGATTTGGGTTAACGGTTTTAATTCTCCCTTTTCCATTGGTTAACCATTTTTCGGGGTGAACATAGCGTTCTTTTTTAGACTGTTCGTATTTGTTGGAAATGGGAAAGGGTTGCAGTTTGGATCAAGGGAGGAATTATTGAGATCTTGGGGTTGCGATCTTGGGAATGAAAAAATGTTGGTATGTAGCTTGCATTTTTTTGGTGGGATTTGTTGAGTTGGTATGTAGTTATGATTGTTGTTATTGAATGAGTGTAAGGGTGATGTTGAGATAGGGTAACAAATGAAGATGGGTATATGAATATGTGTTTTTTGGTGTTGGATTGGTTGGGTGATTGAATTTGAATGTTGAAAATAGGCTGTTTTAGTGGGCGTATTCAGAATGTGCCCAAAAGTGTGGGGGGGACCCTAGGACCGGATGGCAAAATGCGGACGGGAAAGCCCCTGTCTAACTCAAACCCCCCCTCTACTTTTACCTTTGTGGTCATGCGGTAGCCCCCCCCCCCAACTTCCCTGCCACTTCAAGATGTTTTGCCCCTAATTGAATCATCACTTTCTGGATCATCATGGGGGGCAGCCCCCCCAACCCCCCCGCTATTTTTAGATGTTTGGCCACAATTTGAATGCTCACTTTGTCGATCATCGCGGGGGGGGCTGCCGCCCCCCCCAACCCCCCCGCTACTTTTTAGATTGTACGCCCCCTCGCTGGTTTTTAGATTTCTTGCCCCTAATTGAATCATCAGTTTTTCGATCATCATGGGGGGGGGCTGCCGCCCCCCCCAACCCCCCCGCTGCTGATCCAGAAAGTGATGATTCAATTAGGGCCAAAGAATCGAAAAGTGCGGGGGAAGTTGGGCGGGGGGCTGCCGCATGACGATCGAATGATTGAATAAGGGGCAAAAAATCTAAGGGGCAGTTTTAGATTTGTTTGCCTCCTCGCTGGTTATTTAGATTTGTTGCCCCTAGTTGAATCATCAGTTTTTCGATCATCATGGGGGGGCTGCCGGCCCCCCCAACCCCCCCGCTACTTTTTAAGTTGTTTACCCCTAATTGAATCATCACTTGTTCGATCACCATGGGGCCCCCCAACCCCCCCGCTACTTCTCGGATTTTTTGCCCCAGTTGAAATCATGGTGGGGGGCTGCCACCCCTCCCCCCCAACCCCCCCGCTACTCGCCCAGACCATCGCAAAAGAGTAACCCCGCGGCTACAGCACGTGTGATGAGACCGTGTCCGTGCGCGTGCACTGCGTGTTCCTTTTGATACACACGTTTCTCAGTAAATGCAGCCCTGAGTGCATTAAGTTTTTTCTTGATGGCTAAACAAGTTTTTTTTTGATTGCTAAAAACAGTTTCTTTTTGATTGTTAAAAAAGTTTTTTTTTGATATCCTTCCCATCTGCTGGATTTGGTCCGACTGTTCTTGCTCTGCGCCTTTCAAGGGGCGGATCCGGGAACTGACCGGTCCAACCTGCGCTAAATAGCAAGCCCCTTGCCCTTGCCATGTGGCTCTTCGCATCACGTAAGCGCGGTTGAGCATGTTGTAGACGATAATATGCGGTTATTTGGAATGCGGAGCAGCGTATGCTTTTAACATGCAAATGTATACGCATTCGCACAAGTCCGATGGTGTGTGCACTTCAGGGGGCGGGCTGAAAGCGACCCTGCAATCGCCAAAGGCAGCTTCAGCCGCCCCAACCCCCACCCTTCCTCCGGGCGCCGCGTCGGCAGTGGTTTCAGGCGGCACTGGCCACAGCAGTGGACCGAGGCCTGCAGATTTGGCCGATGCTTGGGGTGTCACCGGAGGTTGCTTGGGTATCTGAGTCAATGGCGTAGGTGGGGTGTTATTTTGGATTGGGTTGCTTCAGATGTAATATTTCAACGGGAACCATATGGAATCGCCTACTAGGATTCCTTGAGACCCTGCTTAATGAGGGGGTCGACAAAGCAACACGAGGCGCTAAAAGTTGACACCTGATGAGGAAACTGCAAGGTGGTTTCACAGGTTGCCCCGTACAAGAATCCCCATACAAACCAGGCAGTGAACACTGGCTATTGGCGGCGGAGGGTAGCTGAAAGGGAATTAAGGGGTTTGTTGGTTGGTGTATGGTTGGTTGTTTGGATGGATGGTTGGATTGAATGGTTGCTAGGTTCGGTCGCTCGGCCGTCGCACAGCAGCCTAAACTATAATCATAAGCCTTAACCCTCGAATTGATGAGACCAATGCAAGCCTAAGTTGAGCTGACCCAAAACCCTTTGCCGCAAACCCGGCCGACTGCAAACTTACGGGCACCAGGACATCCACTTTCCCGGTCCCCGGGGTCTCGCTTGTTCACTCTGGAAAAAGCCGAGGCGCAACAACATACCCCTACTTGTCACACCTGTACTTACCGTCGCTCTTAAACTAAGTGAGCAGCCCTTCGACCTGTTTGTTGCTTTTTGGACCCTGCTGAAGCAACGGCCGATCCCCTAGATAGCGCAAGAGCAGAATCAAGACCGCTTGCGACCTGCTACAGGCTACGTTTGGTTTGTGCAAAAGAACTAGAAATTGCGGCCAGATATCCGTCACACCTGCTCGGGGTTCCTTTGTCTTTGAGACCAAGGGGGGTTCCGTAGGGTTCCTGGGTTTGGTCCCTTCAGGGAAAGCCCGCTGGTTTCCCTTTAAGCCGCCAGCCCGGGAGATTTGGAGGCTGGTATGTTTGAGGATGTTGCTTGTCAGGATTCCACCGAAGATCGGTCAATTCTCCACGAGAAAAGGCACCTGAGAAGAGCACATAGTCCACTGGATGTCTCTTAAAGGAAGCCAACACGTCATTTTGAGGTGAGCCACAATCAAAACCCGGGTAGATGAACGTTAGTAAGGGACAATCCCAACCATAAATAGTTGCGGCCGCCTTCTTAATTCTTTGCATGGTTCTGTGTAGACCATTTTGATACCGGGTTTTGACTATGACTCAGGTGCACCTTTCATGCAAATTTGGACGCGGATCGGCCACGGATGGAGGCCAGGCGGTTCAGGAGGCGTTGCAAGTGGCCGATGCCGCCGCGGAGGTGTGCGAGCTGGAGGCGCAAGGGCAACCGGGGAGGGGAGGAATCTCAGTCCCTGTGCTTTTTCCCGTTTGCAGAATAATATTTGTTAATTTCCCCCTGTTGGCTGTTAAAGGGAATCTATCACTCTCGTTGTTTTTTGTGTTTTTTTCAGGGGGCTTAAGCAAATGAAGGTGTACAATCGCAGTTCTGTATTCCAAGAGGCCATACATGTGCGGCACTCAAAAATGAGCACCGGCCTAACTCCTTCGACCTGACAGGATGATAATTTGGTGGACGACAGAAAGTTGTTTGTTTTGCCAATGCACTCAGGAAGTGGGGAACTGCACTAGGTGCTAAATCATTGCGGGGTTGCGTTGTGTTTGAGGCTTTGAGGTTGCCCTTTTCAGGCTGGTTGGAAGGGAATCCAAACAGGAAAGTTACCATATCACTGTCTTGGGTCGACGATCTTCCGTATTTAGGCAAGGATCCCCAAACTTTCATTGAAGCTAGGTGTCATCATGTGTCTTTGTTTTAATGGTACCCTCTTTTCAAGGGAAACCAAAGCAGAAAACTACCAGTCGGGGTCCCCCTGTTTTGAGCCAAACCCAAAAATGGGCAAGCATTCAATCACCCCGTCCTTGGAGTCGTGCTTGGCATTGGACAAACCATGTGACAAGGAGCCGAGCTTCGTGATATGTTGATTGGAAACATGAATGGGCACTCAGTGGAGGTTTCCTCCTGGTGCACGAAATTGGTCCAAAAAGAGGGCAGGGCTTCCGAAGGATCCTGGGGACTTGCCGGAGCTCATTGCCCTCGCGGAGAAGGAGGCGGACTTGCACTCGCGTTCCGTTTGCTGGCTGCCCCGTTTGAAGACATTTGCACGGGGTTTGTCCCTATTCGGGAAATCAACCATGGGTTCAAGCCTACCTTGGTGACCAAGCAAGGTTTTGAATACCAAGGGGTTTCCCGTGAAGAGAAGTAGTCAGTAAGGCCTCTGAGAACAATGTCTCAGCACCCAAAATATTCAAACCTTAAGGATGGCCTTGCCTTTTTTCCACTCGGAAAGGAATCAGTTGTTTCCCCTACATAGGCTGTGAGCAGGCATGGAATGGCTTTTCGGGGGCACATCCCGTCAGACGGATGGATGCAGAAAAGATGCAGAAATGAGTTTAGTTTGGAAACTTCCTGGCAGTGGCAGAAGGTCAGCTTGGGATTTGTTGCCTTGCCGCACTCCCTAACATTCAGAACCGCGCTAGGGTGTTTTCATTTCTTGGGAACCCCAACAGCATGCGGTGCTCTTTTCAGTGCTCGCACCACCCCGCAACCCTCGCAGAACCATGGTGGAAGATTGGTGGAACCCTGGTGGAACCCTCGTGGAACCCTCGTGGAACCTTACCTCAGGGCCGCCCCGGACCACCGCGGAGCCTATCTGGGCTGAGAACCCAAAGCTTTCAGCTATTGGGAAAAAAGTGTTTTCTTTTTTGTTTCACCAAACAGGCAGAGCCACCCGCACCTACCGACCCGCTGGGGGGCGGATGGACGCGGATGGGCCTCTGAAGAGAGGCCTTCCGCGCGACGCTGCGGAGCCTGCCGGCGACCCCCAAGGAGTTCCATCAAGCCGTGAAGGACGGGGACGTGGCTCGGTCGGCAGCCGGCAGCTGGGTGGGAGGGGGGTTCGGAGGTCCTCAGCTGGATTTGTTTTGGAGCTCATGGAGCTTTCAACTGGGCGGGCGGTCTTTCCCTTTGGCTTGCTTTGAAAGACTAGTTCCAAGAAGGCTGCCCTTAAACATGCCCACACCCTGGCTCGGTTTCTGAGGGTGAAACACCCACCCTTCCAACATGGGCTATTGTAGAGGACACCTTGCATTCCGCAAAAAGCAAAAATGGGTCTTCCAGAGAACGTTCTTGCGTCCCACAATCCGCTGCGGTGCCACCGTCAGAACTACTTCCCATGGTCCCCAGTTGTGTACCGAAGGTTGCTTGGCAGTAGTGGCTAGGGGTTGTAGGCGTCTCCAAGAGCATCCCTATCATGGCTCTGGCTCAGCTAGACCATCATTAAATGGGAGGTGGGCAGGCGTTATCTGGGATGCCGTATGTAATCCGTGTCTCAGTTTCGCGAGCCTTTCCGGGTGCTGCTATTGAGGCGCGCCTGCATGCTTCCCAATAGCGATCGTGCGGGTGGGGTGGGGGGGTCTGCGGCCATCCAGTTTCAAGCCCGTCTGCAAGTGACAGAAGGAAGACGCTTTTGTTGGGTGGGGTGTTTGGGCTGTTTGCCAACTTCAGCCGGGAGGTGCGTCTCAACGGAACACGTCTGGCGCGAAGGGCAGGCTGCTGGATGCTCACGTGGCCGATACGCGCGCGAAGCAACCAGCGGGCAGCGTTGGCCCAGTTGACTGGCACTCTTTGTCCTTTTGGTTTGGAGGGTTCTCCACCAAAAATGGTCAACCCCGCAAGGGCTCCCTTTTCCTAGCAGTGTCACCGGGCAACTGGGCTTAAGGTGGAGCTCGTGAAATGGTTCCTGGACAAGCAGCAGGCGGGAGAACGTGGTCTAAAGTGTTGCTGGTTGGGATGGGGGCCGACAGGTGAAGGAGCACCCCAGATGAATCTCACATTCTTTCCGCCAGTGCGTTTGCAGTACTCCAAGTTTCTGGCCGTTGCAACTCAAGGAAAAGGAGGGCGGGTGCCTGCAATGCATGTAGAGGTGCCCAAGAGTTGTGGGTGTTGTGGGGAACCGAATTTCGCTCCGTTGCGGGGTATCTCAGGCCAACCCCTCCATCATGGACCCCGAGACCGGCATCCCGCCATTGGTCATGGCTTGCAAGGCGCCGAAACCGGCGGGGCGGGGGGGGGGGGGGGGGGCAACGGCCCATGGCGCAGAGTGGGGGCCAAGGCCTTCCCGGCAGATGGTTTTGGGCGTTGCCTTGGGATTATGTTCAAAGAGGTGGAGTCAGCAGTTTCAGACGTGTTTTGTTTTTGTCCTGGCTTGGCTTTGGCGTCCAATGCTTGGCAATGAGCCGTCAAAGGTTTGCAAGCGGCATTTCTCGCTTGGTCGGGATTAGTTGGTATTGGCGGCAGGGAGCCACAGGCCATTCTTCAGAGCCTGTCAGCCATTTGGAGACCAAGAGCACCTCGCAAACCACTCCTTCTCTGCGCAGGTGGGAGATATGGCCATGTGCGAGCTGCTGCTGGACCGTGGGGCAGACATTGATGTGCGCAGTGCCGCGACCCAGTGGGTCGTAGGGTTGTAGGGTGACCTCCTGCGCCACTTGAATCCAGTTCGCGGCCGAAAGCTTGCGACTTGTTTTGGCTTGGTGAGCGAGCGAAGGGCAACCGTTGCAGCCATTTTCGATTTTTTATATACCGCAATCGGGCTAGATGGAAAGACCAGTGCCGATGGCCAGTCTAGGAATTTTAGCCAGGCTTTGCCCGCAAAAATCTGGTGTTGAAACGCCCGATCAGTCGATCAGTCGATCAGTTGTATAGGCGATCCCCAGCCCCATGCAAGCTCTCTTTGCTGTTCCTGCTGGTGCTTTTTGGTTGTGCTGTTTGCATTTGAACACTTCACGTGTGGGATCAGTGGAGGCAACATAACTCCAGTAGGTTGTTTCGGGCTGGGGATCTGTTCAGCGCTTTGGTTGCAAATCTGTATGAGGAGTCGGCCGTGCCAGTGCCAGGAAGTCACGCACGGCGGTTCAAAGGCTTTCTTCGCAATCCTTCACTTTCGTTGGGGTGGGTCCCATGTTTAGTGGTTCCTTCCTCATTGGATTGGGATTGGCCCTCCATGTTAGCTTGTGATGTCAGCCAAGTGGATTTGTCGTTTTTGAGGCTACCCAGTGTTTGTTTTGGGGAGCGGAGCCAAAAGGAAGCCCACAATTTTGGGCTTCCCTACACAAAGACACACTGAAGCAAGTGTTTATGCGTCTTTGGGGCCGGCACTCAAGAGACTGATCTCCATTTGGTTTCCTGTCAAGGTGGGTCGCTTCAACCAAAGAGGAAGGATCTTATGTTTGGAGACTGCCATGGTAAGAAGCTGATTTTTGTAATTCCCCGTCTTGGCCATGTGAGATACACAATGCATGCCCTTCGTATTACCGGAAAGGTGGTCAAATTTGGGCAACGCAGTCTTCCCGGCGAGTGACCCCCCAGTCGACCCCCCATTTAACTCCCAAGGACCCTCAGTTAAACACAAGTTTGCGCCCCACAGCTTATCCGGAAACCCTCTAAAAGTCGCGTTCATCAACGAGGTGCCGACGGTACCTCCTCGCTGCATTGGGCCTGCCACAGCCGGACCTTCCGCATCGCCGGGGCGCTCCGTTCGGGTTGCGAGTTTGGGTCGACGGGGAGTGCCAGCCTCATGCCAATCATGCGAGTGGAGGGGGGGATGTGTAAAGGGCAGTTTTGCTTTGCAAGGCTACTTTGTCAAGCTTCATGGTGGTTAGAGAGGATGATGGTTCCATTTGCTGCGGTGGAAGATCAGTTCAGAACGTGTGCCCAGTCAACGGCCCAATGCGCTCAGGTGAAGCTGCTGCTTAGCCATCGCGAGAAACTCAGCACCAACGGCTTGCGGGTGACAGGTTCTCAGTCCACATCCGACCTTTTCGGCTCTTGTTTCTTCTGGTTTTGAATATTGTTTCGTCAGGCAACCCTGAGTTGGTGGTTTGGGTTGGTGGTTTGAGGATTTGGATCCCTGTAGATCGGACCCCTCCTTATCCACCAGCCCGCAAGTCCCAACCACGAGTATGATTTAGTCCGTGTCCCAGAGAAGGGGCCTAGGCAGGGAGCCAAGCAGCTCCAGTCAATGTGCCGTCGGGAATTAACGTGACCGTTGTTTTGGTTGCCCGGAAGTTTATGAACACCGAGTCCCCTCTTGGATATTTGCAAAGAGAAAAAGAAACCAACAACCACAAGACGTTCCAACTTAACCGGGCGCGTCCCCAGTTTAGGCAGATAATAAAACAGGTGGGGTCCAGGATGCTGGTTTGCTAAATCATTGCGCGCTGCGAATCCCAGCTTGGGAAATGCCCCAAGCCATTCCGAGCCCTCAATAGTCCATATTTGTTGCCAAACGGAAACGGAGATCACCTTGGTCATTTGTGCGGGAAAACCTGCTTAGCAAAAACAACGCCTATATTTGTCCAAGGGGGGAACCTTCTTCGTAGCAAAACGTAGCACCTTGCAAGGGCTCAACGAACTTCGCATCAGGCGCCTGAAGTTGCGCCGGCGCCGGTCCGAATCAAAGGTGCAAACCCTCGGTTCCAAGACAAGCGGGGCCACGACGCCTTGGTGAAGCTGGCCCGGGAGCTCAGAGGAGGCGAAACGGATTTTGTTTTCATGCGGTGACCCTCAAAGGTGTCTTTTCTTCCTTTGGTTTTCCTTCATCCCCAAACGGGTATGCTGAAAGGAGGCCTCAAAATCACAGACAGGACACACACATTGCTTTGAATCTCAGTGGCCGTAACGGAAGCGAAATTGCCTTGACAGAGCACGCCTCTTGATATTTTTTTTAAACGTTGACCCAAACAAATCGCGGCCGGGCCCCTTCCGCGAGCTTCGCTTTCCCCAGGTGCGGAGAGACTTCAAGGGCCCCGCGGAAACCTGCGCCGGGGTCTGAGCTGGGCCCGGTGAGGCGCCTGGCGCGGGAAATGGCCATGGGTCGAAAATGCGCGCCCAGAATGGAACCAACAAGACGCTCTTGGGTTGGAGCCAACTCTCAGGAATCCAGACAAAATGGGTGTGGTTGTGAAAAATGGGGTAACCCCAAAATGGCTTGCCCTGGTAAATGGAACCGAAGACCAAAACCTGCGGTCCATATCCTGGTGGTTTTATTTTGGCCCGCACCCAAATGGAACATGCGCGAGATCTTGTTCGCCCTGCGACGCCGAGGCCGTGTCTTGGCACAGGCAGCCTGGCCAGTGTTTAGCGGGCCCAAAGCAGCGGGGCGCCCAGCGAAGCGCGAGACCAAGGGCGGCAGCTAATAAATGATCGAAACTTTTGTGCCCCCCACTAGCGTTCTTTGTGTAATTACAGGGGAAATGTATGGAGAGGGGTGGCCGGCCTCTTTCCCAGCGGGTGCCCTCGTTTGATGTCGCTTTTGGGGCACAGGGCAGCTTGGCATTGGGCGAGCCTGTGACTTGCAGTGCCGCTGCCCAAGGAGATCCGGAGGTTATTCGTCTTCTCAACATCTGGGATGAACCTGGTACTTAGCCATCAGCTTCGTTTAGGTCCCCTCTTGGAAGTACTAAATCCAACTTCCAAAAAGACTTCCCTTGGCGATCTCAAACGACTAACTGGGCAATTGGGGGTCAACCATTTAGGCGTTGTTGTGGTGCAGCTGTGCTCGTTGCAAAGATGGTACGGGTACTTTGGCGCCGCCAAAACGGCCACTGGTTTCTTTGACGGGCAAAGCCATGGTTAGGCAGAGGATGTGGCATCCCAGTAACAAAGGGGGCTAACCGCCTGTCGTTTTAAGTGGCTTTGCTTCCAGACACCCTTGACCGCAAGGGGGTCCTGAAGAAACATCAAGTCAGTTTGCATTGCCAGAAAAGCTAACCTTTTGCAAATTTGGGTTTCCTTCATTTTCCCTTTTGACTGGCCCCTCATCTGACCATTGTCAAAGACCGCCCATTGATAAGTTAAAGGGAAACACAATAGCAGTTGCTGACGTTGATGCACCCCAACAACAGTCAAAATCATGGCCCCTTGCCCAAGAAGTTCACTTTTGCAGCCTCAGCCGTGGCCATCTTCTGTGGGTCTCATTGGCCGAGAAAACCACGAGACTCCTGTGTCTGAGGAGTGATGGGCACATGAGCATTGAGGAGGCGAAGGCAATGGGGTCCTGGGTCCCAGGATGCACGGTGTGTGTGTGTGTATGTGCTGTGTATGTGTGTGTGTGCGTGTGCGTGTGCGTGTGCGTGTGCGTGTGCGTGTGCGTGTGCGTGTGCGTGTGCGCGTGCGTGTGCGCGTGCGCGTGCGCGTGCGCGTGCGCGTGCGCATGCACGCGCGCGCGCGAGCGCGCGCATGCGTGCGTGCGTGCGTGCGTGCGTGCGTGCGTGCGTGCGTGCGTGCGTGCGTGCGTGCGTGAGTGCGTGCGTGCGTGCGTGCGTGCGTGCGTGCGTGTGTGCGTGCGTGCGTGCGTGCGTGCGTGCGTGCGTGCGTGCGTGCGTGCGTGCGTGCGTGTGTGTGTGTGTGTGTGTGTGTGTTTTGACTGGTTTGTTTTGTTTGGCCTTATTTATTTCTGTACTTCGGTGTATTGTTTTATTTATCTTAATTATTTGTTTAATCATTTATCTATTTATTTATGTCTGGTGTCCTTTATTGTTTTTCTGTTTCTTTATGTTTGTCTGTTTGTCTGTCTTTCTTTGTTATAGTTATTGTTTCATTATTTGTTTATTTATTTATGTCTTTCTTTCTTTCTTGATTTATGTCTTGCTTTGTTGGTTTCGCGCATTATGTTTGCTCGGTCCTTCTTGAACTATTTGTTTAATTGTTTGCTTCTTTCTGTCTTTCTTTCTTCATTTCGTTCTTTCTGTTTTTTTTCTTTCTTGTCTTTGTTTGTCTTTGTTTGTCTGTTTGTCTGTCTTTCTGTGTTATTTGTCTGTTCTTTCTTTCTTTTTTTCTTTCGTTTTTTCTTGATTTCTTTCTTTCCTTGTTGGTTTCGCTGATTATATTTGTTTGAACTATTTGGTTATTTGTTTGTTTCGTTCTGTCTTTCTTTCTTCATTTTGTTATTTCTTTATTTCTGTCCTTATTTCTGCGTTTGTTTGTTTGTTTGTTTGTTTGTTTGTTTGTTTGTTTGTTTGTTCCGTTCTTGGTTGTCCGTGTTTATTTCTTTCTTTCTTTCTTTCTTTCTTTTTTATTGCATTATTTCTTTGTTTCATTCTTTCTGTCCTTATTTCTTTCTCTCCTTCTTTTTGTTCTTTGTTTCTTTCTCTGTGAGATATGGACCCTAAGAGGGAAGTTGGAGGGAAGTTAGGGTTCAACGCGGCAGGCGAGGGAAGTTGGAGGGACCTTATTTCTTTCTTTCTTCTTTCTCATTGGCAGGGTTCAACGCGGCTAAGAGGGAAGTTAGAGTGCTGTTGAAAGGCGACAAAGCATACGAAGCCCCAACAAGCCAAACACGCAGCCATGCCGGGAGACACAATTTTGGAAAAGGAAACATGAAGCTCAAACGCTTAGAACTTGCAATGTGGGTATGTCATTTGGAACCGGCCATTCCCCTCCAAATGACATGGAGGGGAAAAACGACCCTGAATGCCCGGCAAGTCGGGAGCAAGGGATGCAACTTGCTCTTGAGTCACTTGGGATTTGGACCATTTTAGTGAGAAGTACAAAGTATTAACTTTTTGTGCCAAGTCACTCAGGAAGAGTAGGCGTACCACGGTTCATGGTTGCTTGGCTTGCAAGATGTGTGTGCTTACCGGGAAGCCCTGACTATCATCCAACGAGCCCCCCCCCCACTTTTTGAGACCAATCTAAAAGTATCAGCAGCTGGCCTAGTGGTTCCGTCAAGGTATTCAAGAAAACGAACCGTTTGACAACCGAAATGCCAATTGCTGAGAACTGTAGCGGTAGTTGGGATCCGCTGGGTGGAGTAATCTTGGTTGCTCTTTCGAGAAATATCGAGCCTTGGGAAAGTCACCAGCTGGACGCAGGTGGCTGCTGAGAACACGGACTGCGTGGGTTTCTCGGTGCACGGCATGGACGGCACGGAGTGGGAGTCCGCCACAACGCCCGGGCCTGACTGAGCGGACGGGGGTTTGGGTGGTTCGGGGCAGATGGCTGCGGCCTAAACACTTGGTCGCTGCGCCGATGGTCAGACTTCTGGATGTCTGCTAGACCTGAGGGCGGCAACCGCCAAATGGCTTCCTATTTCGCCGTCCTCTGGCGAAATAGGAGGCTTTGGACATGGACTTCATTGACAATCACGAAATCTTGGAAGCTCCACCAGTTCCAAACGGTGCCCTTTGCCCCCTTTCCTTCCTTTGGTGCATTTTGCTTGGATGTTAGGACTTTAGCTTTTTGCCAACTAATGGGTTTTCCATTAAACCACTAAAAGTTAAGCTTTTAGCAGGGGAGCAGAAAGCAACCGAGCTTCGGAGAAAGCAAGCGGTTTCTGCCCGCCGGGATGCGATTGAGCTTGACGACCAGCGGGATTCCTCGCGGCGGGACGGCCCGCCGAGGCCGTTCTACGTGTCCTTCCACGGGCCCGGGCGTGGCGTTGTGAAGCCTGCGGCGCCGGAAGTGGCAGAGGAGGATGCGGAAGAGGCGAAAGGGGCGGAAGGGGCGGAAGGGGCAGAGATCAAGGATGGGAGGAGTGCAAATGATGGTATTTTGGATGTGGGTTGGCCATGCTTGGCTGCTGATTCCCAGCTGTGTTTGGGCAAGATGGCAAGAAGTGTGTGAGCTTTCTTCCTGCAACCCGCTCGTGTGTTTGTGTTTTGCAGTCAGGGCCGACAGTAGGATTTGAGAAGGTTGTGAGAACCTTTTGAGGGCAGGAGGTGAGGGGGTCTTCGGGTTAGACGCAATGGGCGGCTGGTTCATTGCAGGAGCCTCCGTCACCGAAAGCCAAAGTGGAAACTGCCCAGAAGATATCGGAGGAGGAGGAGGCGGGAAGAGCCTCAGCTGTCCAAGGCCGATCTCTTCACTTTTTGTTGGGTTTGCCTTGCTCCGTTTTGAGTCAAGGTCCTATGTTGGCCTCTTATCTCTACCTTTAGGCAGGTGAGGACTACCTCGCCAATTTTGACAAAGTTGAACATCGAGTGTTACCTTGTTTGTTCTTTGCACGATTTTGCAGCGTTTTGGAATAGGTTAAGAATAGACATGCGGCCAAGCCACTTCGTGTGCTCTTCGGATAGGGCAGACGCCAGGCTGCAGACATGGTGTGGTCACATACCGATCCCGACTGGACTGCCTTCCTGAAGGCTTGGCCGGCCCCGTCGGTATTTTGCCAGCCAACCATGTCATCGGCGATTTCCCCACTTGTTTGAAAGACAAACGTGAATATGGGTGTTGGAACGCCAGGTTATGTAACCGATTTACGCGTATGCTTGAGGCAATGACCGTTTGAAGCGTGTTGTGGTTTATTTCTTTTCTGTTAGCCAAAGTAACAGCAAACGGTTCTCAAGGTCTGCCAGCTTCGAACATTCAGTTGGGACTGTGTGGGGCCTGGAGTCTTTGACGTCTGAAGCAACTTTAGGCTTAATTAGGCTAGGTCTTGCGGCTTTCTTAATGTTTGGTCTTCAGGCAGCTTCTTGGGTTTTAGCGTTGTAGAAAGCTTTTCAAGCGAGATGTAGGGTTCTCAGGCCTTGGGTCAGGGGGCCGTGGCTGCGACACTTCACAAACAGGCTCGGCACGTCTAGCGCCTCAAATAGAGACCCTAGCTTCGAACCCAGACCTGGAGAAAGCACTCCAAACACCAAGCCTCACTGGAGGCTGTTGGGGCCAAAGCTCCTGAGAGGATCTCAGACCAACAACCGTGAACCGGCAAGCTTGCCCACTTGAGAGCCCCGGCCCGTAGACCTGAAATCCACAGCCCACGTCCCCTCCGAAGCCCTGCTAAAGCGCAAATGTGCGCAAATCCTGAAAAGCTCTGAAACCTTATCGCCCAGGAATGATCAAGACATTCAGGCCTAGACCTTGAATCCGCAGCTCTTTCAATTCAGATCTGGAAATGCAGCCCTTGACTCCCGCGCCCTGTGCAGAAAAATCGTTGAATACCACAGGGCCCAGCCCAAACTTGCTGTGAGATTTGCAAGGGCATCCAAGGGATGGCTCTCGTAGCCAAAACATTTTATTGGGCCTAGAGCCCTGGAGGCCAAAAAGGTACGGAAGTGTCAACCCAAAAGTTTCCACAATGGAACGAAAGCGGAGGGGCCCTCCGGAATGGCAAAAAACATGGATGGGGGAGCACCCGAGGACGGGACGGACACATGTTGTTTTTTTGTTTGTTGTTGTTGGTGAGCGCTTGTGTTGATGTGGGTCCGTTTGCTTGGGGACTTCCTTGCTTCGGGCTTTGGAAATGTGGGGATGGAACTCAAACAGTGGACCCCCTTTGCAGGAATCCAACCATTTTTAGGGGTGGGGGGGGGGGGTTTTCAACAAGATGGACCTCCTTTTTGGACGGTTTTCTGGTATATTGCATAGAAGACAACCATCTTCACCCTATTTTGAGAAACACAGTAGGGAACTTGTTCACAGGTGAAGAACGATCCTGCCCACGACGTCTCAGCACTCCTGGCGGCAGGGGCAGATCCCTGTGCTGAGGAGCAACCAGTGAACCCCAGTTGATGCGTGTTTGTCAGATTTTGTGACCCCTCTTGGTGCAAAGCGGTTTCCTTTGATCAATAGATTTCCTGTCTCAAAATGGCAGGTACAAAAACCAAAGGAAACCGCTTTGCACCAAGAGGGGTCCCCAAATCTGACAAACACGCATCAGGATTTGCCCGCGGGACTTACTAGCTAGCTGGGTTGCTCCAAGGGAAACCTGAATCCTTTGGGTTGCGTAAGGCCCTTTGCAGTCATTAATTTTCCTTCGGGGGTGAGAATCGGATCTAAGCCTCCATTTTGAAAGCCCAGAGGCTATCAACCACACACTCTGCAGATCAACGAACCCGGAAGACAAAAAAACACGTCCTTGGAGGAACCTCTTTGACATTGGACCCCCCTTCCTGGGTTCCATGTCAATGTGACGAGGAGATGTTGGGGAGGAACTGGGCCAGTCAGCCAAGCAGGACTTGGAAGGCCTCACGGCTCTTCAGCACCATCTGCTGCCGTTGCCTCAGAGCTCCTTTTGGGACGTTTTGGATCATTCGAAGTTGCGCCAGAGGGGTTCTGTTGGGTCAGTTTGGTTGTTGACATAGATTGGTTTCCGCTACTTCCAGTTCGGTTCAAGCCCATTTGCCAGTCCCATCTATATAGGTCGAAAAGGAGGCCTAGGCTCACAACCTTTCAGCCCCAAAACCTTTCAGCCCCAAAAGGAGCATGCCTGATGATCTGGAGAATCCAAGCTTAAACAAGCCTCCAATAAGACTCGAGTGTGATGTGTGAGGGAGTTCGCCAAGGGGTTGGGGAACCTTTGCTTCAACCATCCCCCCCTCCTTTGTCTACTGTCAGAAGCTGACAGGCTGACAGGAGCCGAGACGTCTTTCCTTTTTCGGGGCGCGCCTTGGCCAGAGGCCATTGCCTCATCCGCCCTCCCCGAGGTCTTCGCCCGGCCGGGGCTCCGTGGAGTGCGTCGCGGCGCTGCTGCGAGGCGAAAGAAACGCATTTGTTGGCTCGGAGCGGTGGCCATCGATCCGGTTGGGGATTTGGAGAAGTGCAGGCGCCCCATCAAAGGAACATTGGCCTCGGATTGTGGTGACCATGCATGTGGAACTGTGCGAAGCCAGGTGGCTTGTTGTGTCAAGATTTGGGGGGCAATCCTGGAGCGTCAGAGATATCCCGCAATAGTTTGGAAATGCTGATGTTGCGTGCAAGGCGTGTCGCAACAGAAGGCCTCGGAACGTGCCATGCCGTGCCTTTTTCCCTCCAGGGGGCGCAGACGTGAACCACCGGGATACTGGGCATCGGGGCACTACGCCCTTCATCATTGCCATCCAGAGCAAGCGAGCGGATCTGGCCGGAGCCTTGAGAGAGATGTTGATTTTGGGGTCGCCAAAATGGCTTTTGGGTTTCGGCTTGGTTTCAGGTTAATTAGAGGGATTTCAAAATACTTAGTGATACTCTTTTAGAGGTACAACCTGAAGAAGTGGGTTTCTCAAAATAGCCAAACATGGCCTTTGGATTTCCTTCCTTTCGGCTTCCCGTTGGAACCAACCAGCAAGAAACGGGTCCGCCGTTTTGAGAAAGTCCCAGTTGGGAGAAAACCTTGGCTGAGCCCCTCGTAGAATCCAGCTCAAGAGGCCGGTGTTTGGAAGGTGAGACGTGCATGTTTGAAGTCCTCAAGCCTCGGGTGCCACGGGCCGGTGAGGTGAAGATGATGATGACCAGCGCCTGGCCCATGGCGGATGTTGACTGCAAGGCCCCGAGACGGCTGCAGCCAGAGTTTTCCAGCGGATGCCCTAGCGTATTGGATCCAAAACCCTCCCCGCCCGTCCCTTCCCCAACCTCCTTGTGTTGAGGCCTCATTTTGTGGAAAGGGCAGGGGCTGGGGGCTGGATCCTACAATTCTCTGCTTGGGGCGCTGGGATGCCCAGACCTGGCAGAAGAGTTCCTGTTAAAACGCCCCAACACCGCCCGGCCCAAAACTGGGGCAGGCCTTTCGCGCCGACCGGGCCATCTGACGTCGACGCCGCGTTGTTTGTTTGTTTTTCGTCGGAGGCGCCGGACGGCACCTGCGCCCTGGCTCTGGCGAAGAGCCTGGGAGCCAGGGAGGCCAGGGGTGATTTTTGTTTCTTTTTCGAGTGGTCTGACTTGCTGGTGCTTCGAGAGAACAACTCTGGGGATTCCCTGAAAGGAAAGCGCCAGTTGGATGGGTTATGGGGTTCCCTGCTTGTCCATTCGTGGGATCCCAAAATCAGTGTCATCCCCCGAAATCAGAGTGTGTTTTTTGAGATGGATCCCCCTGATTTCCCCTTGACTTCCCTTGAAGCCAACCTCCAAAAGGATACTGGTACCTTCAAAAACAAACAAACTGCCATTTGGGGGGGGGGGGCCCTTATTTTGAGACACCCGCTTGGATCAATGCCACAATCAAAGTGCGGGAGAAGCAATGGGGCGGCTTGCGTCCTACTTCCAAGTGAATCTCTCCTTCTGACAGGGGGGTCCTGGAAGACCGTTTTCCTTTTAAAGGGACTCCCTTTCGGGTTCCATCTTAGTTGGTGGGAGGGTAGTGCATTGTAAGGCCTTCCACTGCGGCAAGAAGCCCTTTCGATTCGTTACCTGGGTTCCCATTTTTGTACCAGGTTTCGATTGCGCCTTGGGGTCTTTTTCTGGCCAAAAGGTGCAGTAGAACATGGACATGCCATGTGGAGGCTGCCTGGAAGGTCCACTCCGATCCGGTTTGCCATGATTTGTGATTCAGGCTGTTTGCAGTTTGGGCCACCTTTTGCCTTTTCCCAAAAGGGCGCGCCAATGTAGACCTGGGCCTTTGAATAGACAGCCAGCCCATTATTTTGGCCGCGTAGAAGTGGGTTCCGAGTCAAAGACGCAGGCGGGGACTTAGTGAGGCTTCAGGTTTTTATACGCGTCGGCGGTCGTTTCGGCATCAGATTGCCAACATGCTGCGGAAAGCTGGGGCATCTGATTGGGTCTTGGCCTGAGCGAAGCCGGGAATCAAGCAGGTTCTGGGCCCGGGGCGTCGGTAAAGCGAAGCCCCAGATTTTCATGAGCCTCTGGGTGGGTCTTTGGAGGGCTTGAGTGGCTTTGAGTCATGTGAACTTCAGCCGGAGGACCAGCTCCCCCCTATGAATTGAGGCACGAAAAGGGGAGCCGATCCTTACTCGGAGGCCTCCAGCCACGTCAGGTGCTGTAGGCACCGTATCCATGAGTCCATGACAGCTATAAGCCAGCTGAAGGGGGGGGGTTACAAAACCATGGCTGCTGTAGTAAGTGAGATGCACCTTGCAGACATTTCATGTTTAAGATGGCGCGGTTTGACGCTTTGTGGTTGCAAAGGGGCAGTTTCAGCTGCTTTGCGGTGGTGTCTTCGTTTGTGAGGGAGAGTGGTGGAGAGAGAGGGAGAGAGAGGGAGAGAGAGAGAGAGAGAGATAGAAAAAGAGAGAGAAAGAGAGAGAGAGAGAGATAGAAAAACAAAGAGAGAGAGAGAGAGAGATATTTTGACGGATGCATATTTGACAGCTGAGGGACCACCTCAAGGACATGTATTCCGGTGGGCCAGGGCTAACAGCCTGTAATTACAACGAAGGCAACCACGGAGCCTGCGACAAGGGACACCTGCAAAACGATGGCGGCCCTTTAAACCGAAGCCTCCAGAAAAAAAGCAATTCTGGCATCTTGCACCGTTTAATTTTTGAAGATAGCTCAGTTGGAAGGGGAAGAATGGCAACCGGTAGAGTCAGAAGTGATACCCAGAACAAGGTTAGTGTTCTCTGGTGCGGGAGTTTTCCTTTGGCTTTGCCAAGGCGGATGCCGAGATTCGCCTTGGCAGTAGGCAGGGCCCGCCTTTCATTCCAGGTGGGTGAAGTAGCATGTGAAGTGAATAAAATAGCCGGGGTCGGAAGTGAGCGAGCATGCTTGGTTTGAGGTGAGTCCCGATTTTTGTTCAACCATGGCTGAAGCCGGGCTGATTCTGATTGACCTGCTATCCTGCGCAGCCATTAACGCGACCTACTCTTAACGGGATGGATGGCATGGAGCTCCAAGTGCTTCCTAGTGCGGCACATCCTGAGTAGTTGGCCAACGCCAGGACAGTCTTCACGTATGACACTCGCAAGCCACCTGTGAACAACTGATCGCAGCGGCGTTTCACGAAGTTTCACAGCAGCAGGACCCGTGTCATGCTGGAAAAGCCGAGCTGCTTTTGGTGACCAGACTGGAGCTTGAATCGCTGCTAGGCGTGCCGGTTTTGCAGCCGATAGTTTGCAATTGCATGGCAAAGGTTTCCCCTCCCCCATACATTTTGCCCCTTGGCACTGCGCCATCTACTTTAATTGACGGTAGGGGGTACAAGGGTTCAGGGTTTGGAAGAATGCAAGACAACATGCAGAAGTTTGATGTGTCACGTATCTGCAGAGTTGGCTCCGGGGTTTTGGGGCTGGTCGGGACCAGCCGGGACCCGCCAGGCAGGAAATCTGGGCATTCTGGGGCGCGCGGCTCTGCACCAGCGAGCTACCAGCTCATCAATGCTTTCTCCTACGCCTCAAGCTGCGCAGCAAGTTCCACCTGCGACGAACACAACCCCTGCAGTCATTCCTGAGCAACCAGCCAGGTCTAGCACCAAGCGTCTCGCAAAACCAGGGAACACCATGAGCATGTGACACGCATGCCACAGAATGCCATCGTCTGTCGTGAGCGTATATACCAGAAAACACACACACACAGGCTGTAGTGGCAATGATGCTGATGATGTTGTTGATGATGCTGGCTGATGATGCTGATGATGATGATGATGATAATGATGATGATGATGATGATGATGATGATGATGATGATGATGATGATGATGATGATGATGATGATGATGCTGATGATGATGATGATGATGATGATGATGAGAAGAAACTGCGGACACATCGCACCCACAGCCGAGCAAGGTTTGAAGACAAGGTTTGGGGCCCAGTTTGGGGCCCAGTTGTTCCAACCCGTGCTTGCCCGACCTGACAACAGCTGCCGGAGAAGAGTGGGCCCCTTCAAGAGATGTTTGCAACGCATTCTCAAACTCACCTTCTGCCACGTGACCAAAATCCCAAGGTTTGGGTCTCCACATTTGGCCACTGGTTCCTTCGCCCCCCCATTTGTTCAGGGCGACTTGTTTGGATGTCAACCCAGACATCCGCTTCAGATGTCCCAAAAACCCGGACCTCGAGGCGAATGGTGCTGGAGGGTCGGCTGGCGAGGGCCCAAAAGACAAGGATCGATCCAGTCCGAAGGGTGGGGCTTACCGATGGGTTTGAGATAACTTGAGCAGGATTGCTCGAGGGGGATATGGGTGTGGGTCAACATTGAACCAATCGGGGACCGCGGGTTTTAGTCCATGTTTCCATTTACCAAGGTTCCATTTTGGGTACCTATTTTTGACCCACAGCCGATCTAGGATCGCTTGAGGGGGATATGCTGAAAGGCTATGCAAAGCAATGCTTTCGCGAGGCCAGATGCGCGCAGCTAATAAGAAGATGCGGCATGTGCAATGGTGGCTGTGAATTTGTCAATCCGGATTCCCAGTCGGACCAACAACTAAGACGGCTCAGCGGCCTAAGCTAGGACACTCCTGCGTGACGCGCTTTGGCTGAGGCAGACCTCTTGCAAGGGCAGGCCAAGAAGTTCATCAATGGCTTCAACGCCGAGCACCTGAGCCTAGGCCAGGCACAAGCGCACACGACGTGACACTAGGGCCCTCATTGCTCAGTCCGCCTCCACCCAGTGGAAACACATTGAGCTGCTTACGTGCAAGCATCCAGATGCCTACGCGCAACGACAAATGCCGGCGTATTCCCAAACTGCAGCTTGGGTGGTTTGGAGTTTGGCAACCTCAAGCGGAGAGGCTTGCTCAGCGGCTACCTGGAGCTGCGGAATCTCGCCTGGGCCCTTCCGGGGGATTTCTCGGGCTCAGCCCCGATTTGGCTGTGGGGTTTACCGGGGGCTGTTTCCTAACCGGTACCGGGTTCTTTAACTTTGGCATAATAACATAGTAAACCGCTGACATTGCTCAGAGACAGTTCATTTCGAATGCCCGATGGCACTGCTTTCACAGATTTGGGCAAATGGGATGCCCCATTTTGAACCAACCAGCTTCAAAGTGAAGCCGTGAAGCCCTAAGGCAGTTGCGTAAAATGGCTTCAATGTGTGTGCAGAGAACTTGCCTTGCGGAGTGGCAGGGCAATGGGAATCGATCCCAGGATTTCGCTGTAACACTAATTGGCCAATTGGCGGAGTCTGGCAATCAAGCAAAAATAAGAATAGACAGGGCTCCTTAAAAGATCGATCCATTTTGCCCACCCCTTTGAAACATGTGGCTTTTTCAACGCCAAAATAAAGGTGTATAATGTAAGGATCCCTGTTTTCCTATTGAAGGGATGGCTCTAGAGCGTTTTCCGGAAAGAGGCCACGAGAAGTGTGGATGCCAAAATCTACTGCAGTGAACATTGCCGAGGTCGCAACTGAGACATTCTGACGGTGTTTGACCTTGGATTTGGGGAGGGGGGGTCCGCAAAGGGAATCCACTTTTAGTTGAGGAAGGAACCTCAGCGAATATTCTCTCATGTGCACCAGCTAGGTTTTCCTTCGCATTTCAAGAGCCTCTCAGGTGGTTCGGATGGGTTTTGACGTTCCTCCAGTGCCTTTTGCAATCCCCGTTCACTACCAATGCGCTTCAGGTACAGAAAAAAATCCGCCTATTTTTGGCCAGGCCACTTCATCGGAGGTGAGTTCCCCTTTCACCCCCAATGCTTTGAAAATGTAAGCAGTTTCGTTTGTTGGGCGTGGAGTGAGGCATTGAACCCGGAGCCTTTAGATGAGTTGCTCCTGGGCAGCGATCTCCCCTTCGTGGTGAAGGCGGGCGGAGATGGGAGGAGATGGGAGGAGAGAGGGGAGGAGAGAGGAGGGAGGAGGGGAAGACCTGCGGAGGAAACCTAACGGGGTGTGTCGTTTTTAAGGTTTGGACCCCCCAAACAATTGTGGTTTTCTCTTTGGTTTCCCTTTGGAACCACCAAAAGGGGTGCCACCAAAACAAGACAGACTCAAATGGGTTTCTCAGAATTGAAGACCCCTCAAGTTCGATTTTGTGTATGCCCTTTGATTGAGGGTACCCTTTTTGGGGTCAGGTTAATGGGACGCCAAAGGCAAAACCGCAAATTTGAAGGGTTCCCAACTTTGAGGCAAACCCATATTAGGGTCAGCCTTTTTTTGAGGGAGCCCTCGGCCCCAGTGGGCATTTGAGTGCAAGGGCCCAAGATTCGTGGGTTTTCCTTTTGGCTTCCCTTTCCTTGGCCTGAAAAAGCCCTTTGGTGCTGTCGCAAAATACGACCCCAATGTGACCGTGGGAGGCTGGCACGCTCTCCTCGGCCAAGCTACAGCTGCACGCCAGCTGCAAGGGGAAGGCTGAGGGCGAAGCACATATCTGGGAAAAGGGGGCGTTTTCTGGCCCTATCCTCGACTGGGGTAACGGGGTAACCCATAAATGTGGCTAGCTGTTTGGGGCAAACTCGTTGGGCGAATTGAAGATGGGCTCTGTTCAATTGCCGCATGGGGGGGTTTGCTTTTATGTTTTTGTCCGCGGCAAAGACGCCCATGCAGCAGCTCTGTTGGCACGCACATGGTTGCTAGATATTATATGTATATATATATATGTGTGTGTGTGTGTGTATTTTATATATAGATATATTTATTTATTTGTTTGGCCACGGGTGCAAATGCAAGCCCATGTCTTCGCAAAGCAAAACTCACCTGTCATCGCTCGACATGTGTCGCGGGTTCCAATCCTCGGCTTGGCTTCCACCAGAGCTGGGCGTGTCCGGATCCGGCGCCTCAGGTCCCTCATGCAGGGGGAGCTGGAGATTGTAGTGGATGGGCTAGGGGCACAGCTCAGGGTGATTCGTGGGTGTGGCCGGGAGAGTTCCAGGATTGCAAGATGTTCAGTCAAGGATGTTTTCAGAAGGGATTGACCACCGAACAGAATGAGACCCGGGTCAACCTGGCGGATTCATAGGTTCTCCCCCCCTTTCCCTGCCTAATTTGAGGGTTTCCCTCTAGAATGGGAACAAGCAGTTGCCGATTGATCCATCAAGCTCCCCTCCTTGGCCTGGAGCCTGAATCGATCCTCGCATTAATTTGGACGATTTCCCCCGGCTTGAGGCTTTCACTCGTCCTGGCTCCCGCTTGCAAGTGGTTGAGCCGAGAGGAGGCAAGGCTCACAAAGAAATGACATGGACATGTGGGCGTTTGCTGGGGAAGGCAAAGGAGGCAAAAGGACACCCTGGCCATGTTTGAAGGCACCAACCAGATTTTGGCACTTTGGGTATGCTGCTCAGGGAAAAATCCAGGGGACGCCAACCAATTCGAAGAGTCGGTCCCCGATTTTGGGAACGGCACTGGTAGATCCAGACAGAATTCTGGCGTAGGTGTACCAGCACCGAACCAACGAGATGGAGCGATTGGAGCTGGGCACTGAGCTATTGAGGCTCTGAAGGGCTGAACATTTGCAACACCTTTCGACGCTACCGCCTGGAAAATAAGATTTGTTGTTCCCTTGTGGCCGATATGTCTGCAGGAAACTGGGGAGTGTGGTTGACTGGCACCTACGCCAGTCAAGGACTTGCAGGTCGCTCTTGGAAAGAGCTGGGCGACCTGAGGTTTGTGCACATGCGGAGCCAGACGCAGAGAAGAACCCTTGAGCGGGAGATGCGATGCTGGCCCGTTTCGCCCTAGTACATCACATCACGGACTTGTAGTTTCTCCAACCATGAACCTTCCATTGATACTTGTTCTTTCTGCGCGTTTTTCCCTGTTCTAACACACAGTTTGTGCCCGATTCTTCAATTTCTGCCCGAGCATTGAACACGTGCGCGAGGTAAATGTTAAGTGGCGCTTTTCAAATTTGCGCTTGTTTGCGGGTTTTGCGGGCCGTTGCGGGCGTTTTTGCGCACAATTTCTGCTTGAGTAGGTCATGTTAGGACCTGACAGCAAGCTGCCTCCAAAAACTGCTCGAGGTTACAACTTCTTGACAGGGGAGGCAGAATTTCAGGCACGTTGAACGGCCAGAAACAATCATGACGCAAGTCTAGTCATTTTTGGGATGAGCAACGCAAGAGTGTTGCAATTGCAGTAGGAATGATCAAAAAGGTATCTTCTAGACATTGGACAAAACGGCGAAACCTTTGCGCCCTTTTTGATCCGATTCTCTCTTGCAGTGCAGATTCTCCCGTGGGAGTCGGCGGCAGCTGGTAAAGCCGTGCTCGCTGCCAGGTTCCGGAAGCTCTTCTCGGACTACCTCTCCAGGATAAGAATTGTGGTCGCAGCCTCTGGGGAGAAACGTCAGATGAGTCGCACTTGTTCCTTGAATTGCGCCGAATTGACCCACAACCCGAGGTCAAAGATGTGCATGTGCGCCTTGAAATCGAGGGTGAGATGTGTGACACCTTCCCAGGCCCGGATAGCTCCGTGAAATTCTGACGTTGCATTTCCAATGGCTTCCATTCCCTCGGTTTCCCTCGGTTTCCCTCAATCGGACCGCCAAAAGTTGCCTTTGGAGGGGACATCCAGTCACCCCTGTTTCCATAATTTACCAGGAGTCTATCACAGCTGGAAATACGTTAATGTTTTTTTTCACTGGGATTTAAGTAAATGGAGGTTTGTGATGCAAGTGATTGCAAAGGAGGGGGGGCAGGGCGGACCAAAAATGCCCCTTCAGGACCTCCGCTGGCAGTGGGGCTGCTCATGAACTCCTGTGATGTGGCGCCGGTCAGCTTTTTAGTTGTGTTTTTTGTGCGTTGAGTGCTACTTGTACATATTATGCTTCCCAGGTAGCTGCAGACGATCGTGCCAGCGTGGAGGATCGGGGCCGAGCAAGAATGGCTGCACAGATCTGCACAGACCTATGGTTTGTGTGTTTTTTGCACAGCACAGTTGTCGCCATCTCAGCTGTGCAGGACCCGCACAAGTCCGAGCTGCTTTTGGCCGAGACGGTTCAGTTGAAAGGCTTGTGTTTGTACCAAGAATCCGCAGGCAGGGTGGTCGTTTGATGTCTGTGTGCATGCACATTGTATTCGCAGGCTCGTCCAAAGTGCATGTGCCGTGGGAAGTATACCAATCAACCAGATCATGCCTGGTTCCCAGAAAATCATCAACCCAGCCGGCCAGGGATGTATGTGTGAGTTGCCCAGGCGAATTGGGCATCTTCCAGGATATTTCGCAATCAGAGCCGGCCTCTTAAATCCGTACATGAATAGTCACATCATGATCGTTTGTGGTGCTCCTGTGTCTCAGCTGGCAGTGTGCTGAGATTCATTCAGTCAATGAGCTGGACAAAGAAATCGCACGCAGCCCTGCCCACGGAGAAACAGCCAGCGGCTCAGCATTGCCTTGCGTCCAACGTTTGCTTGATGCCAGAAGCTTGAGGCTGATGCCAGCGACGGATGTGTCCATCAAAGTAGACCTCAAGTCTTGCTCTCAGTTTGCGAGCGTGTAATAGTTTCAACTCGCCCTGGTGTAAAACAAGCCCACGCATGACAGGTTCTTGGCAGGAATTGTGCAGTTCAGCTTGATGATTTTTGTAGTTTTTTCCAGTTCATGAACGCGATTGATTCAGTCTCTAAATTCCTTCTTTGGCACCGGCGTTTCAAAGTTGCGCAGCTTCTTCGACAATGTCAGGTCGCAAGCGCTTTACACCGATTGCCACGTGGAGAACTGCTTGACGCTGGAGGCCTCGAGCGCTAAGTTTGATGCAGTTGTCAAGGGGGGCCCTTTAAAGTGAACGTGCTTTTGGGTTCGGAAGGTTATTTTTGGGGGTATTTCTCTTTGAACCAGATCGTTCGTGACTGTGTTCCCTTCGGTGGTTGCAAGGGCGAGTTTGTACAGGTTGTGGTTTGCCTGCAGAATCCTTCCCGTCTACGTTTCACAGCCGTGGGCCAAGAGGGACAACTGGTGAACCCAGAAGGTCCAAGTACCTCCTGGGGATGGTTTTCGCGGGGATAAAAGGGTCGAAGTACTTGGACCCTTCAGGGTGGTGTGCTGCATTGCATCGAGCAAAGTGTTGAACTCTGGCCGATTGGGTTGCTGCAATCTGTGAATCTGTTGCACCGAGGCCAGCATTGTCGAAGGCATGCGCTGGCTCGTCATATCCTCGGGATATGAAGTCACAGAAAAGGATCTGAGCACTTGAGTGGGGAGTGGTGCTATCCGATATCCAGGTTAGACGCACTTTGGATTTCCAAATGTGGCCGTTCCTTCACGCTTTGCGGCCTCCTCAGTGAACATGGTGACACGGGTCACGTGGCAAAACTCTCCTAAGCTGCGGCAATTGAGGCATGGCAAACCTGCGACTGGCAAGGGCAGATGGTCAGCCGGCGATGTTGCTGTGACGTATCAAGCCTGCTTGACCTTGTTGGCATGTTAAACTGGGTCCAATAAACTGAACATGTCGAGGGAGGTTTAGAACACCATTCAGAGGAACATTTTGAGGAAGTGAATGCTTTCATGAACGGACACCAACATGACCTCAATCATTGTGACGGGTCCCTTTGGGGATGTCCATGTTGGTAAGTGATAAATTAATCCTGGTACGAGTTTGTTTGCCAGCAGACAAGGCTAACATGTCTCACAGCCTATTTTGCAGATGCAGCTTCCTCGCTTTGCGCGGCAGGCATGTGTTGCGGAGTTTTATCGCATTGAAGCGGCGCATCCAATCGAGACTTGCATGCATTCAAGGATGTTGTTTTTGTGCAAGAGCAACCGCTGGGCAGGTTTCGAGATTTGAGGCTTGACAGGGCCGATCCTCGTGCAACTGAACAAACTGTGGCCAGGGCAATTGGTACATTTGATACAGCGTTCGCAACAAACAGTCGTCAGAGGCATCGGCGAGTCTGATGTTTTCTTGCGATATGTTGAGTGACCTTCGAGTCCCGGCGCCCATCAGGAATGCCTACAGCCTGAATGATGCTGTTCGAATGCGAATCAATTGCAAGGAGCTGCTCGAGCTTTCAGACGTGCATCACTACTCATAAGGTTTCCGCGACTGGAATTGCTTATCTCGGTTCGTGTGCGATGTTTCGCCTTGGCCGGAGGGTTTTGCATTTTTCGTGTTGCATGTGAGGGTTTGTTGCCAGCTTTCCGCGTTGGCAGTTTGAGGAGTACATCCGTTTGTACAAGAAGAAATTCAATGGCCCGCAGAGCGCTTTCCAGTGGAGACGTGCTCTCCCCCCTTTGACAGCAGAGGCGCGGGCACTGTTCTGCTGCAAGCGCGTTGCAAACAAATGACAATGTGTGCGTGTGTATGTTTGTTGCCGTGTTCGGATTGTTGAATGGGGGAATCTGAAAGGTGGGAACCGTATCGGGATACCCCTTAGCCATCCAGACAAACCAAGTTGCCCCGGTGTGGATCGGTTTTGGGGTATGCAGTGAGTCTAAGATTTTGCCCGATCACTGTCGCAACTTAGATTCAGAGTCGCAGCAGCACCCAATGGGCCCCAGGCAACTGGTAAATTTGGTACACTTGGCAAACATGCGACTGGAGTGGAAGCAAGGCCGATTGATTAAGCATTGTCTGCCAGCTGCACGGAAATGATGAATTGGGCAATTCCTGGGGCGCCTGCAAGTAGTCACCTTTGCGTGCGTACTGTTCAAATGTTAGAGCAGCACTTTTGGGAGCCCGACAGTATTTTGAGGGACTTGATTGGGCCTCTAGTTTACGATCATGACCGCATTTAAAAAGCCGATCTAGGTTTTGACACCATCAGTCACCAAGATGAAACCGCACGAGCGATCCGTGCTGGCTCCAACGGTTTCGGCTCGCTTCCGGGCAGTTTGCTTATTCCCTATGTTTCCTCGACTGTTTTTTTTTTTGGGGGGGGGGGGTTGTTCAACCTTTTTTTTGCATTGACAACCCCTATTTTTTGACATTGGCCTTTGGGTTCACTTTGGGTTGTTACTTTTTTTCTCCGAAAACTACGCCTGCTACTGCAACCTCTTAAGTAATTAGCCTTGGGAGCCACATATTTTTCTGCCAGCAAAGTAAATTACAGTTTCTTGATAGGTCCTCCGGTCCCTTTTGTTTCTGCGCAACGCACCTGCTGAAAGTTTTGCGTAGACAGAGCCTTCATTCTAGCAAATTGTAGAATTGTCCTCTGCAATTTGCGCAAGTGGCACGAAGAACAAGCATTGTTTTTTTCCGTTCCAAGTTTCACACAGGTCCAAAAACAACGCTAGCGTAGACAAACCGTAGAAAAACCGTAGAAACACATTTTTTTGGCGTAGAACCACTATTTTTTGGCGTAGAACCACGATTATTTGAACTTATTTGTCGTAAAACCACCATTTTGTGGAATAGAACGGGCAATTTTTTCTGGGGAACCAGAAGATCAACATCCTCATCCTGGAATGGTTGCTGTGATGGGAGAGATGTTGGTTGTTTTTGTTGGTTTGGCTAAGGGGGTGGGCCAGAAGAAGGACAGAAATGGTCAGAAGAGGGTTCACCTTCACGCGCTACATGGCAATGTTAAGAAACCAAGCCACACAGAAGCCAACATTAGCCTTGCAAATAGTGAAACATATTGCTGCATATGTATATACATATTCGGCTTTGGGATCCTATGGAGCGGTGTTAGCGTCAAGTCTTTCCTAGCCCTTGTTCCAGTCCAAAACGTAGGCGGCCGCTCGTCGTCAAAAAATAGTCTTTGTCAAAAAACCGTGGTTGTCACAACGCGTATTTTTTAAAGAGAGGGGGACCCCCTCAGCGTGGGTATTTTCCATGTGAAACGAGTGTTTTTCCGAATTGGGGAGTTGTGTGCAGTTATGTGTGTATATATCCTCTGACCGCGATCTGCGCTGCAACTTTGGCCAGCTAGAAAGCATCTCATCCATCTGCATCCTGCACTGAGTCGTCCCACCCTCCACTCTGGGCTAAGATGACACTTGCAGCAGAAGACATGACCTACGAGGATCTCAAGGAGATCGTGGATGGCTACCTATGCCGACCTTGCGCCGCAGTAGTCGCCTTGCAGAGCTGTTCCTGCTGGAGCTCCTATGTTGTAAATCTTCTGGCAAGCTTCGTATGTTAAACGAAACTTTTCATCTGAACTTTGTCCTGCCATCACCTTATTACCTGCAACTTTGAGAGGCCCTGCTCCTACATCTGCCCAACTGACAAGCTGGTAACCTTCTTCAGCTGCCTGAACTTAAGCAGCTTTCAGCTCCTACCTGATCTCAGTCCACCTCTTTCTGTCGTCCCAACTGGCACCTTTGAGCTCATCTGCAGAGAAGACCAACTTCTTGCTTGGATCTTTGGCCCAAAGTGGGACTTGATCACTCGTGCCGATTACCAACCAAATGTGCATCTTCAATCTCAGCAACTGGAGCAAGCGCCTAGATGCCAGAGCTTTCTGTCAATATCCTGGAAGGTGAGCTGGGCCCGCGCCTGTTCTTCAACTGGTGCCAGGCGAGTAGTCTGATCTTTGCTCAAGTAAGCTGCACCTAGCCATTGGATCAGCTTCTCTACATAAGAATTCTTTGAGCTCTGCTGGAGCTTGGTCTTTCTCTGTAGGGCACAGTCAGCTTCTTTCAGCCAAGCTTTCCTTTGCATCTCATTTCTGCAAAGCTCTGCCCTGACCATGCATCTCTCTGCCCTTGCAACCAGAAGGGCAAAGAACTCTTTCAGCAGCTCATTCTTTGAAACGTTGTGGCTATAACTCCTTTCTTTCTGCAACCACTTGCCAAGTTGAGAGATCTCTCTGCTAAACTCTCTCTTTCTCCCTCCACTAGCTGCTCTGGCAAACCTCTTCTGCAATCTTCCAGCCTCTGTGTGCTCATCTTGAACTTTCTCCTTGCAACTGCCCAAGCTTCTGCTTCTGAGGCTGAGACTCTTCCAGAATCATTTGAATCTCTTCACTAAGCTTCATCTTCTGAAAGGCAAAAAGCTCTTGCTTCCTGGAAGGATCTGTCTCCTTCTTCCTGTTGCTTAACTGCCCACCTGCAGTTCCTCTACGCTCTTCCAGAACTGGAGGCCTGCCACCTTGTCTGCCTGTTACAGCTTCTTCTGGGTCTTCTTTCTCCAGCTCTGCTAGCTTCTGGAGGTAAGCTGACTTCACTAGTGCAGCTTCTTTCTGCAGCTTGCTCTGCTGCTGCCTCTGGTATGGAACTACCCTGTTAGATAGCACAGGCTCTATCTCCTTGGCTTGCTGCTCTGGTGTTCCAAAAAACTTCTTTACGCTGAACTGTTTCTTCTCTAAGCTAGCTGGGCTGGGGCTGGGTGCAAGCTGGCTGGAAGCTAAGGACTCTGTCGGGCTTGCTGTCACCTGAAGCTGTGTTGTCGGGCTGGCCACACCTTTGGTTTTCTTGTTGTTTGGTGTTTGAAAACCTTCTAAGCTCTTCCTTGCAAAGCTGTCCTGTGTTGAAGCTTTTGCCGCAGGCAGCCTTAGAAACATCGAGAAATCAAAAGAAGGTGTCCAAAATCAAAAAAAACATTGAGAATTCGAAAGAAACCATCCAAAATCAAAAAAAACATCGAGAAATCGAAAGATTTTGTCCAAAACCGAAAGAAACCTCGAGAAATCGAAAAAAACCAAAAAAACCAATCTGGCCAACAGAATGTTTACATGATACCAGCACATTGTCCCAGAATCTTTGGTTTTTTTGGTTTTTTTCGATTTCTCGAGGTTTTTTTTGGTTTTGGACAAAATCTTTCGATTTCTCGATGTTTTTTCGGTTTTGGGACAGGAGCCTGACATCTGCAAGGGGGGTAAGGTGGAGAACTGTTTGCATGATACCAGCACATTGTCCCAGAATCTTTCGATTTCTCGATGTTCCTGACATCTGCAAGGGGGGGGGTAAGGTGGAGAACTGTTTGCATGATACCAGCACATTGTCCCAGAATCCTTTTTTTTCCTCGGTTTTGGCCAGAATGCAGCAAAATTAGGTGTGTGCAAAAACCCAACGCTCACAGGGTCCCTTTCTGTTTTTAAAATAGGCTTTGGAAGCATAGGGTATTGCGAATGTCCAGTCGGACGAGAAAAATAACTTCCAAAGTCGTGGAACTTTTCCACTTTTCTGTTTGGATCCCCCAAACACACCACCCCCTCAAACACCCCCCCCAAAAAAATATATGATCAGGTGATATCCCCAACATCATGCGGTGCTCTTTCTAGTGCTCGCACCACCCCGCAGCCCTCGCAGAACCTCGTGGGACCCCTGGTGCAACCCTGGTGGAACCCTGGTGGAACCCTGGTGGAACCCTGGTGGAACCCTGGTCAAACCTTACCTCAGGGCTGCCCCGGACTATTTCGGAGCCTATCTGGGGCTGAGACCCCAAAGCTTTCAGCTGTTGGGGAAAAACGAGTATTTGAGTCTTTATCAAGGGGATGTGTAAGATTGGGGGGGTGTTTGGGGGCCCCCGAAAGGGGGTGTGACAAAAGGAGCAAACAACACAGGAGCACCCCGGATGGCCTTTCACTGGTAGCCGGAAAGTGCAGGAAAGATTTCACAACCTTGGGAGCATGTGTTGCACCGAGAAGATTAGGACTCCATCCCTCAAAAAAATGAAAATATTGCAGGACACCCACTGGTTTCAAAGCGAAGCTTCAGGGTTATGGAGTGACAGAGCTCAGAGATTACATACAGTTACATGGTGGTATATAGAAGCCTCGATTCCTTCAACACTCATACCTGCAACTAGCGTCGAGTCACTGGGTTTGCCGAATTGTCAAAGCGCCAGGATGCGACAACTCTGGGCCTCATCGAGCTGTCCTATCCCGCGGACAAGCTCGTGAACTTCCGGACGGGGTCTCAAATGGTTCTGACTCTTATTTTTCGGGGGGAGTCCTCCTTTATTTTTTAGAGGATCCTCTAGTTTTCTATTTTGGGGGGTCCTCAAAAAGGGTCCTAAAAAACAAATGGTATGTGTCTTTTGAGGGTACCCTTTTTTGGCTTGGTTTAAAGGGGAGCGAAAAGGAAAACCACCATTAAAAAGGGGGTTCCCCCTTCATCTTGTTTCCTGTAGTGGCCACTGCTTCAGAGCCGGCTTACAAGAAGGGCCATGGGAGAGAAGCTCTGGGTCCTCAATGGCCCAACGCACTTGCGGCTTGCGAGCTGGATCAGTACACGGGTGTGTGTGTGTGTGTGTGTGCGCGTGTGTGTGTGATTCTTGAGGGAACCCTTTTGGGTTACCTTTAAAGAGACAGAGAAACGACAAACCTGGAGAGCATCCTCAATGCTTGGACCGTTCAGGGCGCGAGTCAAGCCCTTTAAAGGGGAGAGGGGAGGGCCTGGTGGCAACATTTGGGGGCCCAGAAATCCATGTAAATGATGTCCAAAAGGTGGGTGACAACGCCCCAACAGCCCGTAGGATGCGTTTCGCGACATCTGGGGTTAGCGAGGATGATGGCCCAGACGGAGATGAAGACAGAGACCTCCATGAATTCCTTCGCAGACGAAGGCCGGAAACCGAGCGCTCTTGGCGCCAAGCGCCGAAATCCACTTGAAGTCACCGCCTGTTCAGTGACACCCCGTTAAACCCTGTTTTGTTTGGCGGGTTCATTGGATGGTTAATCCATTTGTTCAACCGCAACTGGGAAACAAAGGGCCTCCCAATTGGGCATGCCCGCTTTGGTTCTGTTTGGCACGACAAGCCTTTCCCGCCGGACATGCTACGTCAGCATGTATGGCCGTGGGTCAAAAATGCATACCCAAAACGGAACCCTGGTAAATGGAACCAAGGACTAAAGCCTGCGGTCCCCTGGTGGTTTAATTTTGACCCATGCCCGTATGGGATCACTTGGATTCTGGGGAAAATAGCCCTTGGCGCAGGTGCCTCATGTTGATGTGCAGCCTTCTTTGCTTCCTTTCAAATTGCCCATTTGTGCTACCCTAAACAAAGAGAGCCAGCAGCGGGTGCTGGGGTCTTCCTTGTAATAAGTTTGTGCCAAACTCATACCACATCACTTGTTCAATTAAAGATGCTCTTCTTTTCCCCAAAACCGTCCTTTCGATCTTTTGAATTTCCGACTTTCCCAGTTCGGTCCAGGTTTCGTCAAGGTCCCATTCCTGAATCTCTGGGTCGTTTGGGTGAAATGCATTTCGTTTTTTTGCCGCAAAGTGCCGCCCCGGTTTGATCCGTTTTAGAGCCCAGCGGCTGGAGGAACGCTGGGGGACATCAAGAGGAGCCCCAGGCGGGGGTGCCAGAGCGGGGGGGAGCGGGGGCTTGCATTGCTTCCCTTTTGGTTGTTTTTAAAGCACCGCCTCAAGGGAGGCAACAATTCTGGTTTGCAAATGGAACAACCCGGTTGCTTGTGGCTTCCCCTCATGGCCACGCATTTGTTACAAGTGGAATCAAACATCACCTGCTCGGCCGTTTTGAGAACCGTGGTTGGTTCACTAGGCTTGGGGCAGGTTTGCCTTATGTTTTTCCATCCAGCCGAAGGCTGTTTTTGGTCCTCAAACATGAGGGTTGAACTGCGTATTTATAAATGTATTTATAAATGTTTGGGGGGCTTCTCAACATAGTGGACCCTTTGGTTGGTATGTACAAAAATAACCCAAAAGGAGAACAACCATTTGAGGGACCGATGGACTTTTTTGGGGAAACACCCCACATGGGTCTGTCTTAGAATAGGGGGTCCCAATGGATTTAGGTGATGCCTTTGGCTTGTCTTCAAGCCAGCTAGCAAAAGGTACATCGGGGATCCCAGGTTGACATTCATGTCCAGCCACTTTAGGGGTTCCCCATTGAAATTCATAGCCACATGGGTGCGTGTGTGTGTTGCAGAGTTCTCGTGCTTGCCACGAAAACAATCACCTTTCCCGGCTCCGCGGGAAAATAATGCTCCTGTCTTGGAGCGAGTGGCAGGGCTGCAACAGGACTTTCACCCAGAAGCTCATGGAGTTCCGCCCCCTGATTCTAGATTGGCATCCGCGAATTTGGTAGAACGCCCTTGACGTCATGGCGATGGGGGGTTCCCACCGGAATGCCGCAGAAAGTGATTTTGCATTTTACATATCCCGAGGTTTCGATTCAAGTCTCCTTAGTGTGTGATGTAGTTCCATGGTCGCTATTTACATCATGACCGTGTACAGAGTTGCAAGGTGCCGGTGATAGAAGCCCAGCAGATTCCAGCGGCACGACACATGCTCGCCTGCAAGTTCAAACACAAAGGGGGGGGGATATTCCTCTGCAAGTCACGAATAATTGGCATGGGTATGGGCCATTAAGGGTTCAGTCCTTGGTTCCACAGGACTCCAATTTGGTTACATATAGTTTTGACCCACCGCCAAATTTGCGGTTTTGCTTGTTCTGGGTTCCAGCTTTTTTTTCAGAGCAACCGCTTTAGAACCGCGGAACCAGATCGCAGAGTCCGCTTGGCACGGGCCAGGTCCCAACTGTCCTGGCAGGCGCTGGGGTTCAGGGTGATGCAGTGGCAAACAGATTCCTGCCTGCTAGTGCCATTTGTTTTTTGTGTTTTCGTTTGTTCTTCTTCTTTTGGTTTGGGGTTTGGGGGAGAAGATTGGAAACCCGTACCCTTGTTTGGGAGTTCAAAGGGAAACCAAAGGGAAACCACCCAATTGCGGTGGGGTGTTCCCCCATTTCGAGACACGCCTGCATGAAAGCCAATGGCTACTCTTGCCGCCGTGGTTTGTAACTTGGTTTATGCAGAGTCACCGTTGATGAACTATGCATAGATGGATGAGAATGAATACACAGTGATTGTCCTTTATCATCCTAAAGGGTCTCGTGATAGGCACTAATTTGTTAGGCCTTGTTTGGCTCCCCGTCGCTGGACTTGTCAAGAGTCAATAAATGCGCTGCCGGTTTCCAACGACCGCCACTTGAGGTTCCCGTTTGGGACATGGGTGTGTCATCTTTTTGCCCCTTGCTTTGCGGGTCTTAAAGGGAAGCCAGCAGGAAAACCACCATATTCATAACTGATATACGTAATTAACATTAGGTTGGGGGGGCCACGAGCCCTGACCCATATATATATATATATACATATATATATATATATATACAAAATCCAAAATGTAACATAGAAACAAATGCAATGTTATATATATATATATATTTGTTTTGGGGGTCCCTTCACCCACATGGAGCAACCTCAGCTGGCTTTTCAGGTACGGGAGTTGACTCCCATGGAGCAGCTCCACCTGCACGGCCAGCCCCCAGCCCCAGACACGAGACGGGTCGACACGGTCGACCGGGCAGATGGGAAGTGCAAACTGGCTGTGGCTCAAAGAACCGTTACCAAAATGGGTTGCCCTGGTAAGTGGAAACATGGACCAACACCTGCGTAACCCATCCTGTTTAATTTTGAGCCACACCCAAATGGGTTGAATCCCTCCAAGCCCCCGTGTTTTCAGAAGAAAAGCCAAGAGGCTTGAGCTTGTGAAAAAAGAAGTTCTGCTTGGCGGATTTTGGTGGTGTTTTGGTCTTTGAGAACGGCCCACAGACGAAGGAAAGCGGTTCGGTCTCCGGTGTTCGCTCGGAGCTTCTTCGGAGCAAGGGGGTGGAAACTGCAACAGATTGGCTGGCCTCCCATGTGGTACCCCAACCAATTGGAACTCCTAGATCCCGAAAATGGGTTTGTGCTTCTCTTTGAGGGTACCGTTTTTCCCATGCTCTAAACCCGTTGGTTTCGCGGGAAACCACGAGTTGACCGCCATTCTCGGGCTTTGACGTAGCCTGAAGTGGATCACGGGCCAAAGCGCCGCGCGCGCGGCACTGAAGGCATGGGTTTGGCACCAACATCTTCCGCGCCGGTCCCAGATGTTCGCGGATAGTGAGATAGTGAGTCGTCCCCAGGTTGGGTGTGGCTGCTTCCCATTCCCAGTTGACTCATCCGATGGATTCGCGTCAATGGAAAGCTCGGGCTCCACTTGCCACAGGCGGTTTGCCGCCGCCGCCCTCGAACTTGAAGTCGCGGGCTCGGATGGGGTCCGCCAAAAGAAAGAGAGGACGTCCATGTGGTGCTTTTGGGTGTAGTTTTGTTTGAGGCTAGTTGTTTGGAACGGATAATGGAAGCCAACCGTTCTGGGGATGTACATATTTTGAGACAAACCCTTTGAGCTTTGTTTGCTCAACTGCTCGCCCCAAGTTGGTGTTGGTGGCGCGGTCGAGTTGGGTCAGGCAAACGCAACGGAGCGAGCGACTGAGCGAGCGACGCCCAGGGTTCGCATCGACGTGGTCGCGCCAGTGGGCTTGTGGTGGGTTTGCAATTTAGGCCGGGCCGCTGCCTTGGATGTGGATCGCCATGGGTGTGTTTGTTTTTGCGGATGCTCTTTTGGGGGTTGGCTGTAAGGGGCCGCCATTGCAAGGGGCTGTTTAAGACACCCCTCATGTCAAAATCATATTGCCTCAAGTTTCTTCGGACATGCCCAAAGAGTGTGGCCAAAAGGGCCCTTTTGCTTCAGAATGGCCACTTCCGAGCAGGCAGGTGGAAGCTGGAAAAGGGCAAAGCTCGACCCTCCGGATCCCAATCCGAAGCTAGCGCACGAGCAGCGTTTCAACTCAGGCTACATTGTAGCGGCTACATGTTGTGGCCGGCTTCTCTAGATATTGCAAGTACAAAGTTAATTTGTAAAACCAAGCCCAAATCTCAAGTGAGTTTCTTACATAAAACCCACCAGACGTCCTCTTGCGTAATTGTCTTCCACCCCCCAGTCAGATTCCATGTGGTGTGTGCGTATAGGAAATCCACCATCCGGTCTGCGCACTCCCTTCGCCTGCCCGTGTTGGGCCAGGTGCTGATGAGCAGAGTTGGGCCGTAGCTGCCTCAGCTTTTCTGAGGAACCCACATGGTTTATCTACCAGCCCCCTCCAACAACTGACCGTTTTTTGTTGACTTGTCCACGAATTCAAGTACTGTCCAAAAAGCAGTGGTTGAGGGCTGCTGGTATGTTGATGTTTCTTTGGCTTCCGTTTCACAAGCCGAAACAGGGGTTCCTACGATATGGATGCCCGGAAATGTGGGGTTTCCATTTGCATTGGTTTCAACATCATCCCAAAAGGGGTGCCCTCAAACAAGGTACGCCCCTTGGCGGTTTCGCGGGTCCGAAAACGGGGGCTCCTTTCTGGTTCTGACCGGTGGGTCTACACGTTTCGGGGGGTTCAAGTGAAACTAAAGAACAGTTATTATTTCTTGGAATACAAACCCGATGTGAGACAAACCCGATGTGAGACACTTGCAAGCAAACCCACCGGCCTCAAAGCGGCCATCCGTCCGCTTGGGTTTCATTCATTCTGGTTGGATGCAAGCAGCTCCTTTGATGGTAGATGGTCAGAAGTGCCACCGTTTGTCAAGCAGTGTTGTGCTTCATGTGCGCAATTAGGCTGAGATAGACCAGCTAGACTGGCAAAGTTATTCTGTTTGGACAAGGATCATCTCTTGAAGACGTTGTCGCGGTCTTATCTAAGCCGGTTTGGGCGTTTTGCTGCATGCCTGCCCTGCCTTGCAGTTTGCGCTTTCTCCTTTGGGTGGGGTGACGCAAGCCTCTCCGCATGCGTGAATGGGTGGTGTGGGGAGGGGCCGATTTGGGTCTCCGAGTCAGCTCCCATCGTTGCCTTGTTTGACTTCGCCTTCTGCCAATGGCCGCCAATGTGTGTGAAGTGCTTCGGACCGCACACGGTCCGTAGAATCCACGGTCTGTGGTTTGACCAAATTTTCGGTCAGTGGTCTCCCAAAGGTGTTCTTGACCTCTACCATTTTTCTTTAAAGCACGATCATTGGTTTTGTTCAGCTTGCCCATTCTTGGACCCGGGCCTTGTGTTTAGAGTTGGTATCATATTGTCTTGGAGGTTGATTCAAAAGAGAATGCAGTAGGAATCAACCATTTGGCTGCGACGACCAGCAGTTGGCCGTTTTCTTGGACACACAAAAAATAGGGAACTACTTGGTCAACAAACACTTGTGTGCTTTGTGAGGGTACCCTGTTTGAGCTGGTCTAAAGGGAAGCCAGCGGGATATCTACTAAACAACTTCAAACATAATAATACAGTAATCGTAGACAAACAAAAAACAATTGTGGGGGGTGCAAAGCCCTATTTCAAGACGTTGAGCCACAAGAAGTTTCCCATTTCGGTTGCACCGAGGTTGCTGTGGACCTCGCAAGGCAGCCGGTGCGTCTGCTGCTGGTGGACAGCATCTCCGACAACAGCCTGGCCCCCGGCGCCCTGGGGGCCGGCGTCGCGTACGGCGTAAGATACGGTTGGGAAGCAATGGCTGTGTCGGGTTATCACCATGGTTATTTTTTTTCACTGTTTTTTTCTGGAACCCCCCAAATGGATTCGGTTTTCCTTTTGGTGTTCCTTTAAAACCACCAAAACATGGTACGCTGAGATCGTTTTGACACCAAAAGTCAACGTGCACTGGGCAAGGGTGATTCAGTGAATGTTGCAAATAAGCTGGCGACAAAGCGTTGTGAGTCAAATTTATCGACCTTTGATTGGAAGAGTTGGGAAATCAAGCATATATCCATACGTGCACAGTTGGGGTTTGCTTGGTCGGAGCCACTCTGTTTGACATTTTTGCTCAGAACATGTGAGTGTGTGTGTGTGTGTGCGCGTTTGTGCGTCGCTGTGGCGGGTTTTTATCCACATCCGAGATGCTTAAACACTTGTTTCCTGAAACATTGGAGAAACTATTTGTTTATCCCAGTTGTCCTTCCAGAGTGTTGAGCTTTCGGCGGCGCTTGCAACCAAAGGAGGTCTCCAGCCGTTTCCAAGCGACACTACCAATCCAGGGCACCATTTTAATTCAGGGGTTTCTTTTCATTTCCTCATCATTGGTGGGGGTAGGCAGGTTTTGATTTGAGTCACCCAACTAAAGAATAGCCAACACCAAACCCGGGCGTGCGCCGCGCACCCCACGACCGCGTGCGAGCGAGGCGTCTTCGCCACCTTGGAGGCGCCCAGAGCGCAGCAGAAGGATCGGCCCTTGGCGCTGCTGCTGGGACGCAGCGAGGCGCGACGGCGGGCGACGCGGGCGCGTGGGGACGCCGGAGGCAGGCGGTGCTTGCAGATCCAATGTAACCCGGCCCCATGGCTGGTTTAGAGTCCCAAATGCCAATCCGGAAACGAATTGCGCATGTTTGCCATGTTTGGGGTAGGGCTTGAAAAGGCAAATCCCTGGAAGCCATGATGAGTCTTAGTTTGAGTTTCTTGTCGGCATGGGCAATGTTTGAAAGGGAAAGCGCGGACAGCGGATTAGATGCTCCGAATGCTTGACTATGAAGTTGGTTCTAGAAAATCGGCGTTTGGTGTTGAGTTGGCACCCACGCGTTTGGATGCCACTTTCGTCAACCCCAAAAAGGTTCCCCGCAAACCCCACATGGGTGTGTCCTTTCTTGAGTTGGCAAATATATTGTCTTGTGCACAAAGAAACAGGCAGCCGGTAAAAGGGAAAGCCGACTCCGATTTTGGGAGGGCTCCGCCAAAAAAAATCGGAAGAGACCCCCGTCGCCCGAGCTTTTTCCAGGCCGCCTTCCGTCAGGGCTCGCCGGGCCGCAGTGCCAGCGGCCAGGATGCAGGTGCGGGGTTGAGGGGGGGGTGGCAGGGGGGTGGGGGGCGGGGGGCGGGGGGCGGGGGGGGGGTGGGGCGGTGCGTGACTTCAAAAGAGGTACCGTCACAAAAGATGTGCCTTCAAAAAAAACATGTTGAAGTGAGTTCAAGGGAGCAACTCATTTATATGTCTTCTTTTGGTGGATTGAAGTGATTGATGTTTAACAGAACTACACGGAATTCTGGGGCTTGCTGTCTGGGCCGGCCGGGTGATTTGGAAGAGACTTATAGGGAACCCATGGGCGGACGGAGCGGGGTTCTTTGCTTAGAGTTTGCTTACCAACAGAAGTGAGAAGAAGCAACTATATAGAAGGGCCGAATGAATCAGGACGTGGGTGTGGATTTTGCTAGCACTGTTTACTGTTTGCGTTGTTGGAACCTTACCTCTGATCCCTGCCGCGCCCGTATCCCCAGAAAAAAATGTGCCTAACGCACCAAAAGCAAACCTAGGCCACTGAAGGGCTGACGAGGGAAGGTTTCAATCCTTAGAGAGTCTCACTTGCCCAAGGCTGACCTTGGCCTTTGGCTTTTCGTATGTTCCAGTTTTAGTGGCCCCAAGAGCTGAACCCTTTACCAGTAGAGACATTCGCTCTCGCTAGGCGGGTTCTCATTTTGACGCCCTTTCAGGTGGCCTACGTTTTGTGAATCCAACAGTCCCCCACGAGACTTGGATTAATCAATGTGGTGAAAGTCATTTCTTTGGGTAGTTTCCCTAATGGTCACCCCATGTTTTGTTTGCAGACCTTTTGATCCCCCGCCCCCACGTACCCATTGTTTATTCCTATAATCCATGACCCTGTTTGGGATGAATGGTGTTTGAATAAAACCCTGACAGGAAAGCAATGCTGCTTGAGCCGGAAACCATATTAGACATGATGTTCTTAGAGAGTTTGTTGATCATTCGCTCAAGTTTGAAATTATTGTGAAGCGGAAAGTGGCAGACAGCCAGACGCCAGAGAGCTTTGATCAGATGGTTCCCATCGGTGTGCGAAGGCAGCCTTTGCAACGCAACTGTTGTGTGAACATGTTGATCCTTGGAGGAAGGGCATTTTTGTTGCACCGTGACATGTCCCCCCCCCGTCACCTCCCCCTCCCTTTTGATTCCTGGCTATCTCCGAGGCTTCGATTTGTTCACCCCAAAAGAAGGTTAGCCAAAAAAAGAAAGCCAAAGCCATGTTAACAGAGTCATTTTTTTTGGACACAACCATGTGTCCCGCCTTTGAGTCTTGGGCCCTTTGTTTTGTGCAAGGCCATGGTGGCACGGGCCGAGAGGAGCTTGGGCCTTAGGGGCTGGATGGTATTTGTCTTGCTGATACGATAGGTAGGGAATGTGGTTGAATGAACCCAGGGGGTGCCCTCAAAGAAAACCACCAGTTGGATGGTTTATAAGGGTCATTTCATTTCTCATTCCCTGCCTATCGCACCAGCAAGTTGTTTCAGTTTGGCACTCATGTGCTAGTGCCCATTTTTCCAAAGGACGCCCATGGTAACTTTCTGTGCAAGTACAGGGGAACTGAACATGTTTGGGGATTCGCCGAATTAGCCTTTGGAGGGAAAGGTTTGCAGCAGTTTCATGGCCAGTTGAAACTTCCGAAATGCGCTGCATCCTCCCGTGGCCATGCTAGAGTCCCGTTGGTTGGTTGGGCTTTCGGCTTGTGTGGGAATGTATCCGAAAGCCCCAGTGGTTCATTAGCTAAACTAGGGGTTCCTACATGCGATATTATTAGTCTTCCGCAAAACGAGTTCCAGAGTCACTGGTCAACTGCCATGTGGCCAGAAGAATTTTGTCGCTGCCTTGTTCCATGGCGGCTGGAGGAACATGATATTGCAGGGCCACATCTTGGGAGCTTGGGGAAGCGTGAGTGAAGTGTTCCTAATGTCCAATGCCCCCAGTTTTTGCCCAACAATGGCCATCCATACAGGCATCCTTTTTGTTCAGCGATCCCCACGGTTCACAGGTGGTGCTCCCTGCTGGAGTTTGACGGCACGGTGTGCTGCTGGGGCCAAGTGAAGACGGTGCCCGTGTCTGCCTCCCACAGCGGCTTTGGCTTGTTGTTCCCCAACAGCTGGAAGCTATGGGGTCTCTGCAAGGTAGGCTCTGGGGTGCTTTGGGGCAGCTTTTAGGGAGGGTACGGTGGGTTCCAGGATTCTCCGGGGCGGTTGGGGATACCACCTTGGGGATACCACCTGGGCTTATTTCTTGCCGGCGGTTGAGGTGCGAGTCAACACTAATTAGCAAGTGTAATTGTTGGTTCGATCCCCACGAAATGCTTGAAGGGAAACCAAAGGCAAACCACACGGGGTCTGTCCCTCACCTGGCACCCCAACAGGGGTAATCCGAAAGTTTCTATACCCACAATGCAGGCACGCGCATTCGACAAAGTTATTTGGGTGCTGACTAATGTCCAAATGGGATTAAAATTGCACGCGTAACAAAGACTTCTCGGGGCCCAAAATAATTAGTAAATGCACCTGGATTAAAGACAAGCCCCTGCCCCCCCCCCCACCCATGAAAAAACAAACAATCCAAAAAAAGTCACAAAAAAGTCACAAAAAAGAAGAGAGAAAGAGAGAAAGGACAGGAAGGAGAGGAGAGATAGCCACCCCTGGTCCTTGGATCTTTGGCACCTTGCTCTTGGCACCTGCTTCTTTCCTCAACCACCAAAGGGGGTACTACTTCAAGCCCCCAAATTTTAAGCCCAAGACTTTATTCCAGGGGCCCCTATAATAAAGTCTTGATGCATGGTCCCCCCTGAAAAATGCAACTTTCTAAATGCAGTTACCTCTTGGCCAACTACCTAGCCAACTTCAATCCCAGGTGATGCTGGTGAAGCTTCATGCTTTCTCCCAAAAAACCAAACTGCAGACCTTGCCCAAACTCAAGTTTTCTTACATGTCTCCTGCTTAAAAACTGCCCACCATCAAACCCACAAAGGGGGTAGTACTTCAAGCCCCCAAATTTTAAGCCCAAGACTTTATTCCAGGGGCCCTGACAATAAAGTCAAATGCAAACTCAGTTCCAAATCTGAAAAGGAAGCTCCAGCAATACTAAATCAAATGCAAACTCAGTCCAAAATCTGAAAAGGAAGCTCCAGCAATACTAAATCAAATGCAAACTCAGTTCCAAATCTGAAAAGGAAGCTCCAGCAATACTAAATCAAATGGAAACTCAAGTCTACCAATACTAAATCAAACGGAAACTCAGTTCCAAATCTCAAAAGGAAGCTCCAGCAATACTAAAGTTCCAAATCTCAAAAGGCAGCTCCAGCAATACTACAGTTCCAAATCTCAAAAGGAAGCTCCAGCAATTCTACCAATACTAAATCTAATGGAAACTCACCTCAAGATACTATTCCCCAGGGGGTGGGGGGGGGGCTCCCGTTTACTAATCCACATTGGACATTAGCCTATTCATGTTTCCAAAGAAGGGGAGCCCCAAGAAAAACGTGTATTTTTATGGTCAATCGGGTTCTCAAGCTGGGAAACCGCTCCCCCTTGGTCGGACCCCACAACGGTTTTAGGGCACCGATTCCGAGGTTGAGAGACCCAGCCACCTTGCAATGGCAGGTCCCTGGGACATCTTCGCCAGCTTCTCCTGCGGGCAAGGCCTGCGGCGCAAGAAGGACACCAGCTTCGGAAGGCGCGCGCGGGCACTGGCGCTTTGGCGGCGGGCGCATGCGTCATGTCGCCAATGCCAGGGAGGAATTTCCAGCTGCCGTGGGTTTTTGGGGTTTCAGCGCAGGGGTTGATTCATCCTGGCTTGAAAGTGGGTACAGCTGTGGCTGAGTCCTGTCGGGTGAAGTCAATGGGTATGTCTCAAAATATAGTGGACCCTGAAACGAATGTATTTCTCACTTGCCCAAAGCCGACCTTTTGACCTTTTGGTTTCCCATCTTTGGTCCATGTTTAGTAAAGGTCCCAAAAGGTTAACCTTGTATTTCTGGGTCCTTTGGGCAACTGAGATTTGTGGTTTCCTTTTGTTTTCTTTTCGATCCAAGGTGGAAAGCCGTCCAGCTGGCTTGGCCAAAAAAGGCCAAAACCAAGAAACGCGTTTGGTGTTCTGTTGGCTTCCTTCTGGCTTGCGCCCCGTTTTGACGAAACCAACTCCCCCCCAAAAACAACAACAACAAGAGATTCAGATGGGCTCAGGATTTCAACGGGTTTCATTTTGTGATCATACAGGGGGGTCGATGCGAGAGACGAAGACTTCTGGATTTGAGGTTTCACACCCCTCGCAAGAAAAAGAAGAGAAAGCAAACGAATGGGTGACTTTCGAAAAAACATACACTCCAAGAACACATACCCAGATCGAGAATCGATTGGTTTTAGACAACGATAAGGGAGATGGAAAAGATGAGAAACGCATGGGTGGTTCATGGTTGTCGTTGGGAAACATTTTACATTTTTGCTTATTGTGGTTTAAAGTTGAAATCCAACCACTTAACTGCTAAAACTTAAGTTTTTGCTCACCTTCCAACGTCAACCAAAGAAAAGACACGGGAAGGCTGGTGCAGAGAGGTCAGGCTGTCAACCTGACTTTGGGTGCCACGCCCGATGGGGGAAACGACCGGCAGCGGCAGCCCCCCAAAAACGTGTTTGTTTTGACAGGGCTCCTTAAAAGATAAAAGGAAACCACCATTTACAAGGCAATGCTCAGGTGTATAATGTAAGGATCCCTGTTTGAGGGTACCCCTTTCACCTTGGCTTACCAGAAACCAAAAGGACCACCACCATGCATGGGTGTTCAAATTGTCAAATCCCCAAAAAGCAAATCGACCCAAGAAGGATGTGACTCACGTCCGGCTTCAGGGTGACTCCCTTGGAAGAGCTCCTGGGCAGAAGTGTGCCAATGTCTGTGTCTCAGCGCTGCACCGCATGTCCTGCAAATTATTTGGGGGGCTCGGGGGTGGGGCGGGAATAGGGCTTTGGGGCTGTTGGGGATATCACCTGCAGGCTCAATTCTTGGAGGAGGGTTTCCCTAAGTCAATTACCGCTGAAAGTCTAGGAAGGACCCCGTGGCGCAATACGCTGCACGCATTTCTGGCGGCAGCGAAGCCAAAAATAAGTATATTGGATTATTCCCTTGTGATACTGCGGGTTGTCTTATGATAAACTGAAGGGCCCAGCCTTTGGGTCATTTGTCTCCAAGCCGATTTTCGGTGTGCTAGACGATCAGAACATACCTTACTTTCAGCGCATCCAGTTTTTGTGGGCCAAGTACTTCAGGGCTCTTAAAAGATACATTTTGCCCATTTGAAACCTGGCTTTTTCCACCAACATACAGGGACACCAATATTTAGAAGGCAATGTTCAGGTGTATAATGTAAGGATCCCTGTTACTTGCAGTGCAGATTGGTTGCACGCTTGAAGCAGGTCCGATGCAGTTCTGGCGTGGCAAAGCCGGCAACCAGGTGCAGCACCGACTCGGGCAACAGCCTGATCCCTGAGCGTTCGGCGCGTGAGGTGTGCCTTTATGTGGGTGTGGCTCAAAATTAGCCAGGGGTTACGCAGGTTTTGGTCCATGCTTCCACTTACCAGGGTTCCATGTTGGTCCCGGTTTTTTGAGCTTCAGCCATATATTCTACTGTGCCTGTGGTTCCATGTTCTGACTACCCAAAGGTAGACTGAAAGCCAGGAGTGATCGGTTTCCCCCAAATGGAAACTGGGTTCAAGTCAACCTTGGTAAATAGTCAAAACATAAAGCCCTTCAAAGAATCTGCCAATGGAAGCTACCCAAGCCCCGCAAGCTTGGGTTGTGACCATCCCCGAACCTGAAAACCTTAGGTTGGAAGGGGCCGGCTCCTTTCAGCGGTAATCTGAGTTTATCGCGTGTCTTTTACATGAGGGTGAACAAGAAAAGGGGGCCTTGTGGTGTGATGTTGTTCTTTGGGAAAAATAACCCTGAGGGAGGGGCATCATTTTGTGCACTTTGTGGGCAACCAGTTTGCTGTCCAAAGTCAGGGCCCGCGCGTGTGGTACGTCAGAGACTCTGACATTTGGTTGGCAGTTGGTAGGAGTTTGATGCTTGCAACTTGCGGGTCAGCCACCGAGGAGAAAGTCAGCCAATGAAACCCCTCCCCCTTCCCCCCCCCTGCCCCAAGCGTCCCAAATTCTTGATTGCAGGCAAGGGCAAAACCACTTCTGCTTCCAACCAGGGAAGGGCCTAATGGGTGCGCTTTTTTTGAGGGTACCATTTTCAGGTTGATTTTAAAGGAAACAGCCGAGAAATACGCACTTTGGGGCTCCAATCTATTTTGAGACACACCCTGTTGTGATTTAAAAGAAGCCCCTGGCGGGTCGCCCAGCTGAAGGAAAAACCCGCTAAGGAGGGATGCCCGGGTTTGAGAAGGGACCACAGCCATTTTATTCGGTTCCCTATTTTGGGAAACACCCAATCAATGGCTCTTGCAGAGCGGGAAGCGGGAAGTGCATTTGGCGCCATGGAATGTCTGAATCTGCTTAGTTCAGCTGAATTGTGTTTCCTTTTCAAAGGACGGTCAAGGGACACCCAACGGAACCAAGGTCAGGATGACTCTACTTTTGAGGAAGCGCCGGTTTCATGTTGGTTTTCCGTTTGCTGCCCACCCGGAAAGGGCGTGTAGAACCTTTTTTGCACCAGAACTCACTCGCCCGAAGCGAATCGATTTGTTGACCTTTGGGTTTTCGTCACAGTCTGAAAGGGAGATCACTTCTCTATTTTTGTGGTCTCCCCTGCCGCCCGCAGAGAAAAATATATGACCCAAAGGGGTTGGTCGGAACTGGGCTGTGAACAGTGGGTCCACTTGGGTCCCACAAGGAGATCATGTCTTGACTTTTGGACACAAACTGGGCAGACAGTCCCTGGGTTTCACTCGCTGCTTTGGTCTTGGGGCGAGGCGAGGACGCCTGCCTGCGACTGAATCTACCCTTGCGGCTGCCCAGCGGGCAGGCACGGACAAGCGAAGTGCAAGCATCTGCTTTTGTGGATCTGGGCCGGGCCTCTTGAGGGTACTTTTTTTGGTGCAAACCAAGAGGAACGCCATGGTTTTCCGGGGGGGACCCCTAAAAAAGAGGGTTTGTTTTCTTTTTCTCACGGTTTTTCGCGTTTTGTTGGGCTTGTTTTTAGTGGGGTTATGGAGGAGGGTCACAGCTTCCGACCTTTGAATGAGTTGACTTGTCTCATGCTGTTTGGTTGAAAAGGAGTCACAAAGCTGGTTGCAATGTATCCCCATGGCCGCCCTATCCGAGGAACCAAGAAGAGATGGATGTTCTTTGAGTGCAAGTGCTTGTTTTGCGGCTGGTACGACGGCAGGCATGTCTGCCTTTTTTAGCAAAGGGCCGCGCCAGAGGGCATACTATACTGAAGGTGTCAATGGTGACTCAGCTGTTTGGTATTGAGCTATCACGTTCCCAGAAGTCCTCAAGTCATCGCTCAATGCATCAAGTACATGTTAGGCATAGTTCAGAGGCCGGCGGCAACGCGAGTATGATGTCGTAGATGGAGAGTTGACAATGCCCAACCCACATCACCCAAATGATGCGAAAGTGCAGGCTTGTTGCTTGCCTGACTTGTTTCACGCACTAGTGCAGTTGTGCGCTCACTTGCGCAGCAGCTAGCCCGTTTTGCAGCAGGACTCGCCTTCGGCACCGGATTGAACCGCGGTTTTCATTCACAGAGGTGGCTTTGCACCAAAGGGTTCTTCATTGGAGAGGCTATCACCCGAGCGTCAAAAGGCCACCCTCTTCCAAAATTCCAAAACAGCTGTGCCCCTCACTTTTATTTTCTTTTTTTTGGGGGGGGACCAGGCAAAAAGCCTGTGGCATGTAGTTCTGCAGGATTTGGGGCCTCGTTCGGGTCGAAGCGATGCGCCTCGAAGCCTCGCGACGCGACGCGGCGCGACCGGCGATCGCATCGCAGGAGGGGCCCTTTGTGGGGCTGCTGAAGTGGAGCCTCGCAGGCGGGCGGCCTCCAAGCGCTTCGGCCCTCCCGGGAGGGCCGAAGCGCCGGGGCTTGGCCTTGCGGCTCTTTCCTGTAAGGAAAAGACAGCAAAGAAGCGGCTAACCTCAAACAAGCTACACACTCACATGGAAGGTGGTCAAGAAGCATAAGAATATTTGGGTGGGGAGATCGGAAGTCGCCATAAGTATCGGCTTGGAGGCAACATTAAGGGACATCTTCACCAAGAAACAAAAGGAAGGGCACCGGAGGTCTCAGGTCTCAGAAACTAAACCGACGGGGTTGGAGGTATGTAGGTTACCGTGTAGGTGTCCGCCAAGGTGAAGTTTGCACACCTTTTCCCTTTGGCTTTTGCCTCTTTGAGTTTCCTTCAGCTTCTCTTTCACGGTAAAGGCTATGTAACTTCGAACCCAGTGAAGACATTTGAGAACAACACCTTTTGGGCAACTGCTTAGGGAGGTTGCTTCGTGTAGTGCGTAAAGGGGGGAATGTCAGCTGTGTTGAACACTGTGTTGCGGCTTCATTTGCGAAGTGTTGAGAATGTACCCGAGCACATTGCAGAGTTGGCACCTGCATGTTGACGTGTGATGCAGATCGAGCACCTGTGATGGGGACCTGCTGACCAGCATAAATCCTTTGTTCCCCTGGGTCCACGAAGAGCAGCCGGACACCACAAACAAAGCTTCAGTGGAACTAGGTCTCCCAGTAGTGCCCTTCTACCCTTTTTTGGGGGAGGGTTCCCCTACTAAAATAAACTACAGACAAAAGGGCACCTTTATTCTAACCTCTCTACTGGAGGACCTAGAGAAGGTTAGTAGGGAACAGACCCAACCAGAAATTCGGGCTGATATCCGATGTTTGATTCTTGATCATCGGTGTCAGGCAGACCCCTTCAACATATACCAGGTTGGCACTATGTTTTCTCAAGGACAGGCTTCAAAAGGGAAACCAAGGACAAGGCCGCCAGTTTGGGGGCCGGCCTATTCTGAGTCAAACCCGTTTTGCTTGTGACTCACAGGGGGCAGGCCCGGAGGCGGGGGTGGGGGATGTTTTCGTTCAGTTGCTCAGTGGCACCCTTGAAATCTCTTTTTATTTGGTGGGTTCCCCTTTGAAACTGGAATCAACCAACCAGCAAGACATTGTTTGTCTGAAAGGGAAACCCACACAAAATGCTTATATAGTTGCCTTTCGGTTTACCTCTATCCCAAAAAGGAACCGAGACGAGCCACATTCATGTTCCGGTTCCCGTACCGAACTCACCGGCCGGTTCGCAGGCAACGCTCCGGCTCGGTCCGGCCTGGCTTCATTGGCCGGCCTAGCAGCGGCGCTCGGGGTTGGGGAGGGGAGAGGTGTATATTGCAAGCCCCCTTTTGAGGGGTCAAAAAGGGGCTAATCCCAACATATGTGTTCAAACGAAATATACGCATATCCAAAAGGCATCTAATTAGAAGCCAAGTCCCTTGTGAGGATGTACTTTAGCCGCTAAAGTACATCCTCACAAGGGACTTGGCCCCGAATTGGAGGCCTTTTGGATATTCGTAGGAACACATATGTCAGGATACATGTGCCTTGTTACAGAATATCCCTAATTTCTAGGACGTTAAACAAGCTTCCAAAACGCATGAGTGCTTCCGCTTCCAGCCCGTGATCTGCCCACCACACAGCGCATTGTTCTTCATATCAAGCATAGTTATACCATGCTGTTCCTTTCTCTTTGTTAGATCTGGAGTCAAGTGGGTTTGTGTCATGTTTGATGGTCCCCCTTGGGTTGTCTTTGACGGGAAGCAAACCGCGAACCACTTCCAAGCGCTTGAAGACAAACCCGGATTGGTTTCTGAGTCGGAGCTAAGGGACCCCATCATCCGCAACTTATGGAATCAAGAGAAAACCAATTTGTTGAGATTTGTATTTTATAGACCCCCGCCGTTTCAGTGCATAGGCTACGTTTCGGATGTGAGCTTGGGTCAAAGGATCAAAAGCGTCCGGTTTCCTTTCCACAAATGAGCCTTAGCCAGGCACCCTCCTGTCAGCTTCCACGTTGAGTGGGTTCTTTTGCACCGGGACTGCCAAACTTTGGGTACGACTTGCATTTGAACAGTGTGTAAATGTGAAACAATCAATAGAATTAAACACACAGATATTATCTTTAAGATGTATGTACATGTGCATATATCACATATCATATATATATATATATGTATATGTATATATATATGTGTATATGTATATATATATATACCCCCCCCCCCCCCCAATGGACCCTGGATTGGTGCGTTTGACCTGTATTTGTCCAGTGCTTTATGCCTTGTTTTGCCTCTTGGATTGTGTCAAAATTAGGGGGTGCCATATGTATATGTGATCTGCATGCATGCATACCTATGTGGTAAAAGCAATGACATCAGCATTTGCAATCTGAAAGAGTTTCAATGCATCCAAGAGTATCAGAACAACTCAGACATTGTTTAGCAATAAAAGCTTCTGGATTCAGAATTCAAGATTCAATAATCTGAGAAAATATTTTCTGGGAATCTTGACAATATTTTCTGGGAATCTTGAATCTGAGAAAATATTTGTTGGGGATCTTAAATTTTGAATCTTGAATCCCAGATTGTTTAACATGTTTTTAGATTTCCAGGGCTGTCCCAATACTCTCGGTGTTCAATAAGATTCTCGGAAAAGCTTTCCGTGGCTACTTTTACTTTCGAATCTTCAATCCAGTGGTAAAATACGTTCGAAGTTTCAGAACAACTTGAACATTTTTAGGGGTTGACCAGGATGAATGATTGTTGTTTGTACAATCCTCAATACTGAATCCTCAACCCAGTGGTAAAGCACTTTCAAGCGTTAGAAGAACTTGAATGTTGTTTGGGTTTGGCCAGGATTGACAATTCTCAGGAAAGGTTTCTGTGTAATCTTCAATATTGAATCTTCCATCCAGTGGTAAAATACTTTCAAGTGCTTAGCGATCCAGTGAAAAGACTTTCAAGTTATTAGTGAAACAAACTTTGAAGTGCTTTTGGTGAGCAGTTTGCTTCATGTCAGCTATGCTCATGTTGGCCCTTTTCCAGGAGGTAAACAAAGGTACTAGTAGGTGTAATGCCCAAAAACACAGTATTTTTACAGTATTTTACGAAGAGGCGCAGGATCATTCGGGGTACTACATATATATATATGTATATATATGTATACATATGTATGTTCACACACCGTCACCCCCTTGCTCATCTACTACCTCCACCTTTTGAGATAGAATGAATTTTGGTTTGTTCACACTCCGTCACCCCCTCCCCCTTTTGAACTACCTGTCCACATTTGCTCATCTACTGCCTCCACCTTTTGAGATGAAATGAATTTTGTTTTCCTGTTCAAATACAACTTTAAATACAACTGATTTAACTAGAATCCCTGTTTCGAGATAGCTTTGGAATTTGAACCTTGAAATTTTCCTTAGGAACACCGTCTAGCAAGTTCAATGTCTGACCTTTCTTATGCTGCTACAAAAGGGCCAGAATGTACATACCAAAATTTGCATTTCGAGTTTCCTGTAGAAGTCCCTTAAATGTTTGGCCATATTTAGTACGAATCATATTTGAGAAGTAGTCTCATTCTAGTTGAAGTAGAATCCTATTTGGAAAGGGTATCATATTGGAACATTCTGGATCCGGGCTCCAAATTATCAGGCTTTGGGGGCCCACAATTGGAAGTCTGGAGAGTTTAGACTTTGAGATTCTAGATTCACCATCCCCCAAAGGCAGTAAAACCAGGGTTCATGGGGGGGGTTGCATATACATATATATATATATATATAAATACATATACACATATTTATATTTCTATGTAGGTATGTACGTGTATGCATGTATATCCATATTTGTGAAGACAGGTACTTCATAGAGGCTCACATGCGGCAAAAAAAGCCCTGAGGCCCGCAGCGGCTACGACCTGGCAGCCCTGCGGCTGCACACCTCGCTGCCCCCTCTGCAGCTTCAAGGACGGCAGCTTCGGGTCCCATTCGAGCAGTGGGTTTCCTGTTGGTTTCTCTAAAAGCCATGAAAAGGGGGACCACGATGTTGAGAAACACCCATTTTTGTCCCTCAGATTCAATGATTCCCTTGTTGGGACAGTGAAAAGTGGCACTTTCACTGAAACTCCCCAGCAAGGCTTGCAACTTTTGAGGGGGAAACCTAGTTGCATCCATTGATCGCTTATTGGTTCTTGTTTGGGAGGATTTCCTTTTAGCGGCTAATTTTAGCGTCAACTCCAGAAAGAAGGATGTCTCTTGTTTTTGCCTGGCCACTGGGCTTAGTTGTGGGGAATTTCACTCCCGCAGACTCACGCGGAACCCACACGGTCCACTGGAAACAGTCGAAAGCCCACAGGCTGCAGCGACAGGAAGCCTACGGACACCCTTGCAAACTCTTCTCTCAAGCAGCACGCAAACAACACGGAAACAAAGAACAAGTGGAACCAAAACCACGCACGAAAGCCAAAAACCAGAAGCAAGAAACAATTCAACCAAACAGGTTGGGGAAAAAGACGGTGTTCCCCACTTTCCGCTCAAATCCGCTCCCAAAATGGGAGCCTGCGGCGAGGACTCAGCCAGGACAGCCCCCTGAGGCTTCCAGGCTTCGATGCCGCTTGCCATTTGGAGAACGGAGGGCTGGTGCCCAGCTCAGCGCTTCAGCGGTTCGCTGAGGGCTCGAAGTCCAGGAACTTGTGTAGCAGTCGTTGATTCATTTGGCGGGGCAGAACCTGTGGCTTTTTATTTTGGGGTGGATGAACCTCCATTTGCCTATTTTGATGTTCCTCAGAGGTTTCCTGGGGTTTTGACCCACAGCCTTCTATGTTGCTCTTTTTTTTGGAGGGGACACCCCAAAATGGCGGTGTTCCTTTGGTTTTCCCCCGAACATCGCCCGATTTCTTCGTTCTGAGGGGCGTTCGGAAAAGTAGGGGACTCCAGATTCCAGATGGGCTTGTGGGGTTCACCTCTGCGGGGTCCCGAATTTTGATGAACCACATACGTATACAATGTAGAACACCCAGGCATGAGCAATTTTAGAAATGCTAATTACGAACTGGGGTCCCTAGATGTCCGGCCATGTTTGGCGCAATTGGGTCATGGTCATATTAGCGGCGGAAGATCCTATGCCTGTGCTTCGGCGCTCTCCGTGGTCTGCCATTTTTTCCTGGTGCCGGCATCTCCCTTGGCAGTCTTTTGGTGTTTGCGTCTGTTTGCTGCCTCTTTGCGTTTGGATTGCTCACTTTTGTCCATTTGGCGAAGGGTCAAATTCTAAATCGTACCCCCCGCGAACATCCGATTCAATCCAACCACTAAAATAGGAAGCCTAAAATGGGTGGTGAATTCACCTACCAACCAAAATGGGATCCCGTTTAACGGTTTTGACCACCACAGCCATTTCTTTAGCCTTAATTCCTGGGCCAGCGGGCACAGAGAACAACGCGCCAAAGGCTCCTGACTTTGGGCGCTGAATTTGTTGGTCCTGGAGTCCTGCCTTGCTTTGTGAAATTGGCCCTTGGTCCTGCCTACTGACTTGGGCAGTTTGGCAGGCGTTTTTGTTTCTTCTTCTTTTTTTCTCGCTTTTTTTTGCGGCTTCAGTGGCTGTTTCTTCCAAGGTGGACGGCTTTGTGATTGGCCTTCACAACCTCTACAACTTCGCCAACTTGTTGGAGGGGAGCTCAGCAGTCGAAGGAGATGTGCAAACCTATGGGTGGATCTGTTTGTTGTAGAGTTGGTATCCCTCTTGGGGGTGGTTTGAAGGGACATCCAGGGTAAACCAAGCTCTGGCGTTCCTCCTATGTGTTTTTGCTTATATAGATGCGATGGTCTCTGAGTTTCCTTCTGGTTTTGATTCCAGGCATCCCAAAAAAGAACGGTCACCCAAAAGGGTCACCCGTTTCGGTTGGTTGAGGAAACCGTAATATCTGCCATTTCAGAGGACCACGATTCTTAGAGCAACACCCACGCAAAGAACGTTACACAATTTGGGGAAATGTTCTGGTGGGAAAAAAAAAAGATGAAAAGGCGGTCCGGTATGGTAATGGAGACTGTTATACCCCATTTTGAGGGAGTGGGAACTGTTTGAGAGCGTCTCACGTACTCAGTATTGTCAAGTTGTCGGAGGGAGATGGTTTTCTAATCATTCAGGAGTTCGCATCATGGCGGTTAATAGGCGCGACTTTCTGAACCGATTTGCGCATACAGCATCTCCAGCCCTGCTGTTCCACCTGGGCCCCGCAACATTTGCTGTTCGCACGAAATCCGCCAACGCACCAGTTGGTAGGCGGTTCATCGTATGCATGGAGTTTCATCCATGGTTCCAGGGGTACCTTGCCCATTCTTTCCAGGAATCCTTCTTTCTAGAAAACCAACAAGCTCGCAGGGAAACGGCCGGTTATTGAAAAGAACGATGGCTGAACAGAATGGAATCAACCCCCAGAATGGTACGTTTTGTGGATTTAGTCCAGGCTAGGGGCACGGCCTGGCGGTCAGGTTGCCATGCCCGTGGCAAAGAAACCTCAGGCGAGGGGATCGCAGGTTCTTTTTCCGGACGGGGGTAGTGGGACCTGGAGATGACACCTGGGCAGTGACCATGTGATTTTTCTTATGATTCGGATCTGAAGGGGCGTGATTTCTGGGGATGTATGTCCACCTTGGTTTGCCTTGGAGTCCCTAGCTCACACCAAACGCAGAGTCACCAGCTCAGAAAGAAGCGCCTGTATGTGAGGATGATATTTCACAATACCAGACATGACATACATTCTGCATGAGTTTTCAATAATTCACCGACTGGACTGAAGGGATCCCCAAGGGAAAGGCCTTTCATGAGTTCATCTTCCAATATCAGCCTAGGCTCCATTGGCTGACTGGTCCCAAGAGCTTCACACGAGTCAGCCAGCCTGCAGGCCAACGGTTTTGGTAGATGGGAAGCCTGGAGGATGAGGCTTTCATGAAACTTTGGGCACGATTCTGTCGCTCCAAAAGAACGGTTTGCCTGAAAACGAAGTTCTTTCTTTTTGGTGAGAAGCAGGTATTTCCGATTTTGTATCATGTGCAAAACTGCTTGAGGACAGACCTCCGACATCCGGCCCTTTGAGACGATTCCCCGCAGGCAGCCAACTCGGTCCCTGCGTCAGCGCAGCGGCGCCCGTCTCCTGCCGCCCGAACCCCAGCGCAGCGGCGTCTCTCTCCACCGGAGCTCCCCAGGTGCATAGCTCGACGATCCAACATGGGCGCTGCGTCGGTTTTTCGGGGGAACCCCCTTTTTGGTTAGTTTTTAGGGGACACCAACAGGAAAGCCTCACTTCTTTTTGGGGGGGGTCCACTAAACAGGGGCACATCCAAATAGGCTGGGCCTTTCCACCGGGGAGGGGGGGGGGTTACCAAGGCATGCTGCATTTCAAGGAAGCCCAAACATGGGATGGTTTTGATAAGTGCCCATCCCTAAAAGGCTCAGAGGGGTTAAAACAAACTCACCCAAAATGGAGGTCCGTTGCTGGTGGATTCATCATTTCCTGTTTGTCAATAGTAATTTGCCCAGATGTTCCCATTCGCTCTGTCCAGGGGCATTCCTTTGAACGGGGCGATGGAGCTTACTATGCGCCATCCCAAACATCCAGTTTTGAACCTTAGCCCCAGGGGCCCTACTTTCTATGGATGGACAAGAAAGACACCAGGCACCTGTTTGGCTGGATGCCGCCCTGTCACACAATTTGGAGCATAAACCGCCTACCTGGTGCTGGATTTTGTTGCTCAATCTGGTTTCCAAGGTGCAGCCCCTGTCGCTGCAGCCCCTGGAGCAGGTGCCCATTGCATTCCGAAGCCTTTGGTTCCCTGAGAAGACCCGAAGTGGACTTTGAAAACTCAGTGATTCTCAGTCGCCCAAAGCGAATCAACGTTTTCACCTCTACGTTTTCCCATGTTGGTCCGAATTGTTCATCAAGGCAGAAAAGGACAAGGTCAACGTGCGATTTCCAGGTCCCTGCAGAAAAGCTCAGCAAACACGGGCCAGCGGTTGAGAAGATGCATGACGCCAAATCCATGCAGCGGGTTTGTGGGGCTGCTGCCCAGCTGGCTCCGCTGGCTCCGCCCGTCAAAAGAGGGGAGTCGTTACTTTTGGAAGACCACTACTCAGTTGTTCAGTGGCTCCCTTTTTTTTTGGTGGCTGCCTCACTACAAATGGTCTTCCCCAAAAAGGGTTCCCTTTTTTTCCAGGGTCACTGAACAACTGAGACTAGAGATGGACCCAACTGGTCTGTCTTTGTTTGAGGGAACCCATTATTTCTTGATGTTTAAAAGGGGAGCCAAAGGGCAACGCACGGTTTGTGGATGGAAGTGAAACAACATGAACCCGATGCCTCGCTTTGACATCAACTGAACCTATGACCCTACGAAGACTGAGAATATACTTTGATGGGGGTTTCCCCTATCCATTTGGTTTTCCTTTGGCGTGACCTTTCACGCATATAGATCACATTTGCTTTTTCACATGTTTGCTTCCCCATCAAATCATGATCCTTCTTGCGGATGGCAGATAGTTTAGTCGATCTTCCCCAGTAAGGTTGGGAAAGTCGCCATTGGAACCCATTCCGCTTGAGTCGAAACCCACAACACAAAACTTGGTGGCTCCCAGCCATCCCCTTAGCCTTTTGGCCTTTTAGTGTTTAGTGGTAGTTTCCATTCAACCCACTCAAAGTTAAACTTTTCGCGGGGGATCTGAGGGCAGCCCAGAAAAAAAAAAAAAAAAAAACAATGGGAAAAAACGGAGAAACAAAGCAACACAAAAAAAGGGGCGGAAGCCGCGCGAGCGACAAGGCGCCGCCGATGCTGGTCACCGTTGGCGCCATGCTGGCTGCCGGCGCCGTGGTGCTCGCAGGCCGGGGAGAGAGGTTCGACCTCGAACCCCCACCCCACCCCGACCCCACCCCCTTCCCCCCCCCCCCAAACACCCCCCAAACCCACCAACCCAACTCCCTCCCCTCCCCAAAAAAGAGAGAAAACAAACGAGTTTCGAAGTAAGGGTCACGATTTTGAGGCTTGAAGGGGCTTCAAGTCAGAAAGTGGAATCGGTTGTTTCCCTTCAGCCTACTGGGGGGAATTAGCTCTGATCATGGATGAAATCATGGGGAAGGTGCTAAGTGGATCTACTTTGCCTGTGCCTAATGTGATCTCGCCTCTTCCAAAGATCACAGGCACAGAGCAACAGACTCAATCGTGGTTGTAGCAAAGCCTACAAAAACTCAGTATAGCCATGTTTGTAACAAGAGTTAATGGGTTTGGTCGCTGCTCATGAGAGGTTCGAAAAATTCACCCGAGTCCATACCTGGATACTCGCAAGGAACAAAGTTCTCACATTTTTCTGAAGCACTCAGAAACAAAATTCGCGCCCATGCCCGCCAAAAAGCGTTTCTTTCGACACCAAGCGCTTTCGAATCTCTTCGAGCCTCATCGCGCAAAGGCCGCAAAAAGGAGAGATTCAGCAGGCTTTCTCTGTGACCACACCTGATGAGGGACCCATAGCGTGTTGTTCAGCAGAGCATACTGCTGTGAGCTGTTCTGCACATCGAGCCCAAGAACTCGACACGGGCAAGCAGCTGATAGCCGCAAGGAGAAGCAACACCCAAGCGCGACCAAGGCACCTCAAACCAGCACGCCCAAGCGACCCCTGCCAAGCTTGGAACGCCTTTCCCGTAGATTCCCGCGTATTTCCCGCCAGATCTGGTTGACACCTAGAAAAACAATAAGCTGCACTTCAATACATGTTCCAGAACCTCCGCCTAAACAAGCAAAATAGGCAGAACAACTGCAAGAAACAAAATGTGTTCCTTTGCAAGGTTCCAAGTATTCTTTGTTGAAGGGACATCGGGGACTCATTCTGGGGGAGTCATGCACTTGTTCTATGCACTTGCTCCATGTGTGTGTGGTGCCCTTCATGGGCCATGAGTTGTTTTTTTTTCTCCTGGGCGTGTGCCGATGTTGAAAGGCTGTCCCACGCATTCCCCGCGAATTATAATAATTATAATATGTTGCACTGAGGAAATATGTTGTTGGACTTCTTAGGGATTGCGCGAATCGGAGAAAGACTCAAGAAGCAATCCCAATCAGAGCAAGCAGTTCCCCAGATGAGGTGGATGTGTCTAACTGCCGATGGATTTAACCGTGAGGCGGGCGCCAGATGTCGGAGGAGCCCTCGGATCAGCCTAGCCGAGGGCCTGAGTGACAAAAATCAAGTAAGTTTTTGTGTTTTGGGAGGAACCAATGAAGCAATCAAGCCAAGAAAGTTGTATTTGTTTGGGTCAAAAGCTTAACACCTCACATTTGACCAACATGAAGCAAAGCCGGGGTCAAACAAGGTGGGTGGTCACTGGTCAGGGTCATAGATAGAAGACCTGGAGTGATGAACATTCAAGCGCTCTCCGGCCCTATGTTCAATGGCCCCTAGGGCCCTGGTGGTTTTCATTCCCTCAGTTTCGCAACAACGAAGCCAAGCTTCGAAGCCTTCCTGGAAGCTTCGTGAAGGGCTCCTGAGTCTTTGCGCGATCTTTGACGTTCGTGCCAGAAGTTGAGGGGTGCCACCGGCTGATGTAGAGGGTCCCACGATAAAAAAGTCCGGGCTCGGTTTGGAGGAGAGCGGCCTGCGCGTGCAGCGCCAAACTCTGCACGCTGAGGCCCTGAGCTTGTGAACGTGGCTGAGGAGCATGGCAGCGAGCCCAGGAAAGAGGGGTAGACTGGGTGCGGCGCGTCGACCCACTCGTGTTTTGGGCTTTATATAAAATGGTTAGGGGAAGCCAAAATGACACACGGTGCGAATATATAGATCGCGCATCCCCATTTGGGTTTTATCGTCCTTTCTGCTTGTGGACAAGGCGTGCAGTGGCACTTGCTGTCACCCATACGAGCCATTTTTCGCCACAGTCGTGTGAAAAGCTCTCGCTTTTCTCGATGCAAAACAGGTCTGACAGGGATGGTCCATACAGATGAACCCAGCCGGGCGGCTCAGAGGCGATGGCCGGCGATGTCCCACGGTTTCCGGCTTGCCGGGCCGGTGCAAAGCGCTGCTTGTCCGGCGTGCTTGAGTTCGTATGCTGAAATTTTGGGCGCAGGGGGCCAACTTTTTGCACCAAGGATCCTGAGCTTCTAAGAAGAAAGACGCACGAGAAGAATGCACACGCGTGCCCTTCCGCTGCGTAAGCTTCACAAGGGTACTTTTATTTCATCTATTTCCCAGTTACCAATCCTGAGTCACTCTGGACTCCGTTTCCAGACCTTCGCAAGAACTGGAGGCGGTCTTAAGGGAATGACCACTGGCGGATTTCCCCCCCGAAAAGCCCCGTTTTTTTGGCTGAGGCGACCCCATGGCGGGCATCACCTTGATCCCTACGCTGTTTCAGCCTCAGGTTGCGGCTGGGCCATCGGCGGATATACGTGTCCTGTTTAGGTAGGATAGAAATACATTGGGGTTCACTGGTTTAGATTGGGTTTCTTCCATTTGCCAGGGAAGCCCATCTATTTTTGTCAACAAGGTCGCTTATGGGAGTTTCTCAACATCTATGTCAAACTAAGTACAAGGAAACCACCAAGTTTTCGGCCATGGATCCCGTCGTGTACGAGGGCATCGGCATATTTTCAGAGGAGGGATGCCAGGCGAAGGAAGCACTTTGGATCTGATTTCGAAGCCACTTCTTAAAATCTATACCCTCACAAAGATGAACAGCGACCTGACGGGCTTTGCCTTACACTGAGTTGGCCAGGGACCATGTCTGGAATCGATGAAAGATTTGGCGTGGACCTGGACGATCTGTCCGCGCCACGCAATTCGATTCCTGGATCCTGCAGCTCTTTTCTCAAACTGATTCCCAAAGTCTAAAGTGTTGCAACATGATCCCCACCATGATGCCCGCGATGGTGAGCCCAGGTGTGGCATGCCTGCTGACTGGACAGTAGCACCAAGTTGCAAAGATTTCGCTGGACTGTGCACCACCAATCGGCAGCAACGTTGTCTCCACCTGTGCTAGTGATGATGGGCTCGGCGGCAGCACCCCCCAAGTCACAGTCCCAGCGACAGCTTGTCCCTCAGCTTCGGCTTCTGTACGCCCACCTCCTGGCCTGGAGCATTTGGGCCCAATGTCGTCAGAATGTGCCGGCCAACAGCTTTGACCAGTCTCGTGCAAGGCGTGAGCGTGCACCGAGCGACAAGCCCCGTCCGGTGGGCAAGGTGACTGCGGCCATGTGCAAGCAGTGGAGGAAGGCACCCAAAGTTCCGCAATATGGCTTCGCAGCAACCTTTGTTGTATTGGTGTCCGGCTTATGGATTGTACGGACGACAGAAGCCAGGATATCGGTGCTCAGTAAGTCCTATCCATGTTTGTTGTTGTTGCCGTTTTTTTTGGTACGGGGATTCAAAAACCAAAGACTGCTCATTCTCCGTAAAGGAAGACAGAAAGGGGCCCAAGGGATAAAAGCTGTATCATTTTGTTGTCCACATCCCATATGGGTTTGTCAACTAGATTCGTAGATTCGGGGTCCCCTTTTTGGATGGCTTTTGAAGAGAATCCGAAGAGGGACTGCTATAGTTGCGCGTGTCTTTGTTTAGGGGACCCCCCCACAAAAGAAAAGCACGTTTGTTTCTTGATTGCCCGAAAATTGGGTACCAACTCCAAGAAAGACACACCCAATTGTTTGGGGGCAGCCTGGTGTTTGGGGCAGCACCCACATCGATTCCGCAAGCTGCAGATCACATGCGGGAATGAGACGCAGATGGGCGGTGTCACCAGCGGTTCCAGTCGCGATTGTAGAAGGTCACCAACCATAAAGATAAAAATGGCCCAAAGCGCTCCCTAGGTTCCGAAGAGAGATAAAATCCCTTGGCTACCTACCAAAGTGACAACTGGAAGCAGTGGGACAGTCTTCCTCCGCAGCTGCTTGGCTGAATTTGATGCATCGAACACAAGCCCTCACGGACCATGTTCACCCCGGTCACCTGTGACAACTTCTACTCTCCACCCTCAAATCCTTTCTGAGGCCTCACAAGCCCATCCTGTAAAGAATTCAATTTCGAGCCATTCCCTCCCACTTCCGCCTGTATCCCCCTTCTCCCCCTTCTCCCCCTTCCCCCCTTCCCCCGGCTGTTTCTGTCCTTTTCCATGCGCGCAACGCTGCCCTCCGCGCGCGTGGTCTCCGACACCTCGCTGGGCCGCGGGCCGCGCCGCAGCTTCGGCGCGCGGAGCCAGGTGTTGAATCAAAACGCGCGGCCGACGCAGACACAGGCGAAGGGGAAGAGGGGGGGTGCTCGTAGGAATCGGTCCCCAATGCTTTGTGTGCTATTAGTTTCCCTTAGTTTGAGAAGCACGCAGGGAAGATGAGCAACTGTCAATCGAGCAATATTAACCCTGGCGCACGTGGATCTGTATTTCCTGCGGTTGTGGGAGGCTTTGTTGAGAAGGCAAGTCAGCATTCTTCTGGGGGGTAACATGTCGGGAGCCGTCACCCACTTTCGTGCGACCACCCTTTTCACCCCACCAGTCAGAAATGCCTCGTTATGTCGCCCATCCTGAGATAGGGAAGTCAAACATGATTATTTTTGCCGCAAGGTAGAGCCCGGAGAATGTCACAAAAGAGTATTGAGATCGTTTCAACGGTTGTAGAGAATTCTTTAAAGACAGACTCAGACAACTTCCGGCTATGTTTCAGCCAGAACGTTGACCGCATGATCTTACCAACAATGAAAAGCAACCCCTGAGGAAAAACATAATGCGGGATTTGGCTAGAAATTGGTGTGGTTCGACCTGTTGAAGTGAGTGAAAGGAAGCAAACGGTTTGGGAGCTGTTCAGCAGAAGGTAGCGCTGCAGTTGTTTCGGACCAACAGGTATGTTTTATATTTGTTTCTTTTTCGATGAAGGCCTCCCTGTGCAGTTGTTGCTCCAAGCTCCCCCTGGCACGTCTTGCACCTGAATCATCTTAAGCATTGCGTCGATGTGCTTTATGCAATGACTCGCTGCAAAGCTGAACCCTTGATTAGTTAGTCTGTTTCATGAAGGTGTTCCTTCCTCTTCAGCCACACCAGCTCAAAACACCTTCAGATGTGGGTCGATGCAAGTTTTCGAGGAAGGGGTTGGTGTTGTACAGGCGGAGGTGGGGTTTGTTTGCGGGTTCCCCAGGATGCGAGTAGGGAACAAATCAAAAACCTTGCAGTTTACAACAATTCTGAGCGGTTTGCGCGGAATCAAGGAATCAACCGTGTCTTACTCAACTTCCCCTGCATGCGCATTTCGAGGTGGACAAGGGTCTCCGTCGTCCATCCCCCCTCCCGTTTTCTTCGCCCGAAACACGTGTTGTTTTCCGAGGATTTTTATTGGGCACATGTAGGGTCGCCAAAAAATGACGATGGCGATTCCTCTCGGATCGTGACACAAACTGGTCCAAAGGACCACCCCATTGGGTTTCAGCAAGGAGGGGTTTTCTCGTGGGTTCCCTTTCAAGCAGGCCAAACGAAACCACCTACATGTCGACTTCCCTATAAAACAAGCCCAATAAAAAGTAGCAACAAGACCAAAACAACGACCTGGAATTTTGACCTCCCTTTAAACCACACCAAACACATCCAGGGAAAAAAACAATCGGTGAGCGCCTGGAAAGCTCCCTCCCCCCCCCGCCCCACCCCCTGGCTCGCCGTTTCAGGGCCTGGGTGCCGCAGCAGCCACCAGCTCGGGGCCCATTGGCCAGGCATTGCTGGAGAAGGTGAATGCGGTGTCCGGGAAGTTGGAGGCCGGGGCCTAAAAGTCCCGAATCGGCGGCTTGACGGCTCTTTTTCCCCTTCGGATTTGGGCCAACATCTGAAAATGGTGGGCCTCTGTCTTGGTTGACCTTTAAAAAACGGCCCGAAAAGGGACAGAGGCAAATGAGTAGAGGTCATTTGTCTGGTTTGCCAGAAAGTGCGCAAACGAGCACCATGAGGCAAACGAGTGGGGGTTATTTTGTGCCACAGAACTGGAAGTTGGGGAATTGATGGATGATCTGATTGGCTTTCGACGAGCGCATGAGGCAAATGGGTGGCATCTATTTTTAAAGGTTGGGTTGAATCGTGGACTCGGGTTTTTGGACGCGAGGCAAATGGGTGGCTTGTCTTAATTTTTAGATGTTGGAACCCCTCGCAATGGTAGTTGTTCCTGCTGGTTTGACTTTAAAACAAAGCAACAAGGGGTTCCCTAAACAAACAGACCCACATGAGCAGGGGTGATTCGGTTTGGCCAAAACACAAGGAGCTAACGAGCAAACGGAGGGGTTCTGTGCACCAGACAGCTGTAATGACATGGATCAGAATAGGTCGGACAAAGGGTGTGTCACGAAAGGGACACTCCAAATGTTTTTTATTTATTTTGTGTGGTGTGTCATTTTCTTAGCTAGCCCAAAAAGGTGGGCAACGACAAAACAACAGATGGAGCTCCTATCTCACCGGAGAGCACCTTCGACACATTTCTTTCTTGGCCCTTTGCTTCCGCTCACCATCTGTGCTTTGTCGCTTGCAACCCCATCGCCTAGATAAGTGGGCAAACCGGCGAACCCCCACAGGGATCGTTCCCCATTTGCCTTGTGAGTATGGCCGGCCCCGCGTTTTCAGCCAGTTCCGGGTGGGGATCCTTTTGTCACAAAAAGAAAGCAAGACACGAAGTTGTTGCTTCTACTCTCCTTGGTTCCAAAGAATCATACGTTGCCAGTGCAGCTGTGGTTCCTTGCCAACAAACATCGCCCGGTCAAATCAGTCACACTCCCGGAGCGATCCTTTCCCAGGTGATCTTGGGGCGGCAGCCGCTGACCAGCCGCTTTCAGGCCGTCGGTTTGGTTCACTTGAGGGACATGACACTACTCTGCCCGCGAAAAATCGGGGACTCGAATCGGGAGTGTTTTTTGTATTGCCCCCCCCCCCCCCCCCAAAATGGTTTTCCGTTTGGTTTCGATTTAACACCGGCCAAACAAGGGGTGGCCTCAAAAAAAGGCACACCCAAGTGCAGCCATGTGATTTGCGGTCGCTGCACCTGCAGACCTCCATGTCCACCCGTAGGGAGCTTCAAGTTTTCCAAGAAGACAAGCCATGAGGCAAGCTCGTATTTCATGTTTCAAGGACCTTCTGGGGCCTTCTGGAGCCGAATTCCTCCCTTCCTGGGGCTTGGACTCCAAGGATTCCTTGTCTTGGAGCGGGTCCCATGCACAAGCCGCTCCGAAGCGACAGTCCAGCTTGGTCCAGTCGACTCAAACCAAAATCAAACAGAAGCAACGCTAAACCACCAATCACTCCCGGGTGCCCAGGAATTCACTTGGGGTTTTGGGAGTGGATGGCGCTGAGGGTGAAGCGAAGCCCCCATGTTCAGGGGCTCACATGTCCTAGATGTCCCTTTTTGAGCGATTCAACCATCGGTTTTTGGTTGCCATTCTAGGTGAACTTCTGTTGGGTCGATGTTAAGGGCCGTGGAAAGAAGCCTGATTGCCAATTTCCCCTTTTGAGTTTTCTTGAAGGTCTAGGTCTGGCCAAGACACGCGAGCGTGTCGCTGTTTTTAGGACACCCTTTTGGGATGGTTCAAAGGGAAACCAAAGGGAACCCCCAATGTGGGGATTTCCTCATTTAGAGACAATCCCGTCGTAGAAGGAACCAATCTCTATTTGATTTGCTCCATGTTTAGTGTTTCTACATCAGTTAGCATAACAGCAAACCCACCAGGCGACCCCAGACTTTCGTCCATGTTTCCAAATTTACACGAAAATAGGTTCCATTTTATATATCTATATATATATATATATATATATATATTTTTCTTCCATGTTATTACACGTTCCATGCTTTAGGCGTTGGTTTCATTTTTTGAGCTCCACGCGGGGTCAGTTCGGTTTGGTGAGGCGCCCCAGTCCTTGGGCGAGAAGCTGCTGGACCTCACGGAGCGCCTGGGGCGTTTGGAGCGGCTCCTGGACGAGTGGCGCACCCGAGGACTCCGATGGAGTCGGATCGAATCCGATCGAGTCCTCTTGTTCTTCACTTCATCCCCACCCTGGTGGATGACACCTGGCTTTTCCGCTCCCATCTAGAACCAGTGCTTCCAATCCCCAAACCAAGCCAGACCCACTCACATCTTCTTGGGGCAGACTGGGGTGTTTTCGGGGGTGTTTCGGGGGTGGTTTCCCATTTTCCCCACTAGAACCAGTGGTTCAAAGCAAACCGCCATTCCAGGGGTAGATGAGAAATGGGTTCCAACCCAGCGATATCCTGCCCAAAAACTGGGATTTATGTGACAGGGTTGTTCCCTAAATGTGTTTCTATCCCCAGACCATATAGGAGTATACAACCACCAAACAGCAGATAAGGGGTATATGGGTGGCTTGTCCCTTTTACCACTATTTTGTCAGCACAGGTATTTTGGAGGGGTCGGGGTTCCCCCAAATGCTTTTCCAAGAAACAAATGGACCAACTTAAGAAGCGGGTTTTCAAGGTCCCTTAGTTTCCCTTCACAACAGCCCAACAGTCAACCCTCAATTGGTGGTTTGGATTCGTGACTTGGGGGTTTGAACCCCTGGTTCTTGTAGGGCCTAAATGGGAAACCTTTACGCAAACCTCCAGCGGGTTGCTTCCCTTTGTTCGTTTTTGGTGGAGCGGCTGGGCCCCTTTAAGACCAACTACCGGAAAAAAATGAAGGAAACAACCACAAACAAAACAGAGTGCTAACTTGTTTTTTTCCGACGGGTCTGAGTTTACACCCGAAAAGGTGTTGCCCATCTCCACCAAGCACACACCTGTGCGCTAGCCGCGGCCCGAGAAGAAACAAGACCAACCTATGAAGTTTCCTTTGTTTCGCCTTTCCCACCCCGTCGTCCTCGTTGTCCAGGCAGCTTCACCGGAAGCCTGGTGAATGGAAGCGGCGGGTACCCGCGGATGTCGGCGGAGGCGGCGGCCGAGGCGTCGGTGAAGGCGGGGGACGAACGAAGGAGGGTGTTTGGGTTGGAATACCACTGCAGAGTGCGTGGAGTAACCACAGCTCTATAGTCATAAACTTGTTCGCGAACCATGGCTACTAGTTGCTCATCATGCCCTGCCCCTTTGAGAAGCCAGATAATGTTGCATATTGGCGGCATAGTTGGTACGAAACGGAACCTGGCGGTTATTTTTACCCGCCGTGTGGTTCTTTAAGCGAGAGTTGCAACCAATATGGACGTGTCCAAAGATAGAAACTAAACCCCAAAGGCCTAAGCGTGGTCATTTTCCCCTTTTAAGCCAGCGAACATCAAATCCAGGCCAAACAGGTGCTGACAGTTCACTGTTTCTTTCGAGCCCCCCTTTTGGATCAGTGGATTTGGGGGGCCTGCTTCTTGGATTGCTTCAAAGGGTGGATGACCGGCTGGCTCTTAGGGAGGAGTACGCAAGCCGGGAATACATATTGTATATATACATATAATTTATATTTAAATATATAATACCAGTGTGCGGGTGCGCGTTTGTTTTGTTTCTGCATTTTGTTTGCCGCACAAATCAACCAGAACGAGCTTCCATTCATCAGCGAGATGAAGTTGCAGAGAGCCGCGAACTTTTTTGAAGAACCAACAGGAGTTGGTGGTTCCCACAAGTGTGGATAAAGCAATGGTGAACTTTATGGTTAGTTCTTTGGAGTTGGGGACTTCAACGTTGTGGGAAGTGGAGTTGAAACCCACAAAAAGTTGAACTGTTTGCAGAGGGGTCAACAACAACCAAGTTAAAAAGAGTTTGTTCTAGATGCCCCCCCCCAACTCGTGTTTTGCACTGGAAGGGATGTTTGATGGAAAAAGTCAGGCCTGTGAAAAGGGCGAACCCTTCTCCCGCCCTTCTGATGGATTCGGACGCAACTCCGCGACTAGTTGCACCAAGAATTGAAGCGTCACCGCTTTTAGAAAGACTCAGGGGCCTCAAACGCGTGTTTCTCAAAATCGACCCCTTCTTGGATGGTTTTCATGGGAAACCAAACACAAACCACCTGGAGGACCTGGTCCCCCCATTTTATGAGACCTAAACAGCTCTTTGAAGGCCTGGGTCGTGTTTGCCTTTGGGAAACCATTTTGGTACTCCATGGCTTGGCGTGAGCCTCGTTGGACCAGTTTCGGGCAACTACCTCGCCCGAACCAAAGTTAAGCCAGGATTCGCAGGGGGTCTTCGTTCTCAAAGCGAAGGATCCAACACCAAACCTTGTGCATCCTGCACGATGGGATTGGATTGGATTTGCGTGTCACCTCCCTGGTAAAAATTTCTTAAAGGTCCCCTCCAGAAAGGAATCTCTCAAAGGGACTGTTCATCTCGGGTTGCGAGGCCTGTTGACAAGGCCTGTTAGACCGCCAGGCTATGATTTTGCTGCTTAGGCGCTGAAATAGACTCCCGGACAGGGTCGACATTGAGCAAGACGATAACTCCAGGTGGTTTCGGAGTTGAGTGGTCCCCCCCCCAACCAGAAACCACCCCAGAAACTCGTCCCCCGGGTCACGACCTTTGCTCCGGCGAGCCGCGAGCCGGCTCCCGGCTGGCGGTTCGGCCAGGCGGTGGCCAAGTCGTTGCTGGAGGCAGCGAGGCGCAGCCCCAGCGGTGCCCCCGTGATGGCCACCCCGGTGCCCGTGCTGCCGCAGGCGGGGCCGGCGCAGGCGTAAGGGGGTAATTAGGCGGTGGTTGGGAGGCACTTGCGGCGGGGATCGGGTTCAAGCGGTGAGTTGGTGAACATGGCTATGACCAACAAAAAACCGTGGTTGTAAGTGCCCAGGCTTATGAAATGGTTACTATCCACTCACCCATGGGGATTTATACTACAAAAGAATCGGATCCAGGACGTAGACAGTTGCTGGACGTATATTGTCACCTGTTGTTGTGATACGGGAATTTTCATTGAAGTTGTGAACTGGTCATGAGGATTGGACGCCCCATGTTGGTGTCAGAAACAGGGTTATGTTCCGCAATCATGCTTGGGGTTGAGTGTTATAGGGACACACAGGTACACCATTTGACAAGACCCAAATTTAGGGTGCATGGGTGTTGTTGGAGTTAGTGTCCTTTTCGGGGTTGTGAAAAGAAATGGACCCGAAAAAGGAAGCAGATGGCTTTCCAGCGCGGAGGGGTCCCCAGAGGACCCCTTGAACCCGTTTGAAACAGATCCCATTTAACATCACAGTTCTGACTCACCTAGGTGTTGATGTGCCTTTTGCGGAGGTTTTTCTCAAGACAACCTAAACCTCTTGTGAGAGACAGGCAAGAAACTACTGGTGCCCTTTCGTTTTCTAGCTGATGAAGAGGCACCAAGGGGAAACCAGAACCAGTTCGGAGATTTTGTTTGGCCTTGGCAACCAAGGGAAACCAACAAGGATCACTGGATTTCCCCAAATAAACAGTTGATCCACTTTCTCGGATCGTTTCCATTGCAACGATCGCGGGGAAATGGCTCGGACACAAGTTGAAAAGTTGAAAAAAGAAGAAAACAAAAACGGCCGCAGAGGTCGCTTTGTTTCTTCCCCCCCCCCCCCCCCCCGGCCCCCCGTGTTTCCAAGCAGGTGGTCCGGCAGCAGTCCCGGTCCACAACGCCGGTGACCACTTCCAGGGTGCGAACCCCCGGCCGGCCTGACACAACCTGGCGAGGAGCACGGCTTTGGCAGGGGATCAAGAGGAACAGATCGAATGAAAGGCCCACTTTGAACCGAAGGAAAAGACGAAACTTGCGACAACTTGCAATTGGGTTTTCAACTTGGTCAGGGTTTCCGAGCGATTTCCCTTTTTGGCACCTCAAGCGGCGATCGCGTCGATGGAAATCAAGAGGAAACAACTTTTCAAGGGGAAATCCTGTCATGTGCATATGTCTATCATGGCCCCAAGGGGCTCACAGATGGACAACATCCGGCAGTTGGTGGGTGGTTTATGCCGGTACTCATAGGGGTTCCCTCATCCCTGTTGCGAAATGGATGTTGTCCATCCACAGAAAAGCATACCTTCCACTTCCGCCTCGCAAGTGGTTGGTGAACATGAATCCCCAAATGTCCACCAAAGCTTTGGCCCCCATATTGAAATTCACACCCATATATTTGCCCCTTGTTGTTTGTCACTTCGCGCCAATGTAAAGCCTTTAACATCGGGGCGAAGTTCCAAAGTCGGAAGTATTTTCGTTTTTCCCAAGGGGGTGTTGGGGGTTGGGGGGAGTGTTTGTTCCAAGGTGAGAAGTATGTTAGTCTTTCCCAAGGGGCTGTTGGGTGAGTCGGTGAGTCTTTCGGGGGGTCCCCTTCTTAAACAAAAAAAGGCTGCGGGGGTCCCAGTCCCGTTTTCAGGAGTCTCAGTGGGCCCCAGCCCAGCCGCGACCCCGCCCTCGGTGCCGCACTTTGGGGGGCTGACGCCGCCCCCGGGGCTGTTTCTGCCGGCGAACCTGGGGCTTGGACTGCCGTTGGAGTCACTGGCACAGCGCCTTGGACGCCAGGGTTTGAAGGGAAACCAACAGGAATCCCTTGCCATTTCCGCCGATTTTTGGGTGGGTCCCCGATTTTGACACACTCACTTGAGTTCACATGTGTCCCAGGCTGGGTGCAGCTTGAGAGGGAAACCAAACGAACACCCACCATAGGATATTTTATGCCACCCATTTCCCACGTTGGGACCTTTGCGGGTTGGGATTGAAGGGACATCCGGACATCCATCCCCCATCAATGCCAGCAACGGGAACTCAAAGGGGTGGGTCCTAAGGAGAAACGGGAAGGCAACACGTGAGGGTTCGGTAGGGAGCCTTAAAGAGCCGAGCCCCCAGCAACTGCACAATTTTGGAGCTGTTTTGGGTTGGAATCTTGTTGCTTGTCAGTTTGGGCAAAGATGGGGGAGACCCCAGGCTTGTTGGCATTGTTTTTGCAAATGCATGTGGTTTTGCTTTGTGTTTCCTGAAGTGCCTTGTTGCCTGTTGGCTCTAAGGTCAGCTTCCCCGGCAAGCCACCAGTGCGACGGAAAGCAATCCGGATTCCCCTTGGCCCAAATTCTTGGCCACTTGTTTGGCCATGTTGGTAGTATGGAAGCATCATCTGCCGATTTGTCATAGCGAGCTCACCTGGGGGTACAACGATCTGACAAAGGTCCTTGTGGATCCCTGAATTCAGCTTTTGGAGTGTAGTCAGACAAACATATTTGCAGATCCACAGCTTCCAAAACCTCATCGCGCCTAAGTTTGGGCCAGGAACGCCCGGTTAAGCGCGGCGCACGTGCCCGTGAACGCGGTGTCGGCCTCGGCCCCGTCCGGGGCAGCATCGGTGGCATCGGGGGCCACTCCAAGGAGAGGTGCTTCATCCCAGACCTCCCAGTGCGCTGTTGGCTGTTCCTGGGTTTTCTCGTGGTTGTTGTTTGGTTGGTTTGGTTCTTTTCGGGTTTCCTGTTAACAATCAGATTTGTCAAACGGTGGGCGGGTGGTGGGTGGGTGGTTGTGTTTGTGGGTCGGTGGGTTGGCTGGCTGGCTGGCTGGCTGGCTGCCTGGCTGCCTGGCTGCCTGGCTGCCTGGCTGCCTGGCTGCCTGGCTGCCTGGCTGGTTGGCTGGTTGGCTGGTTGGCTGGTTGGCTGGTTGGCTGGTTGGCTGGTTGGCTGGTTGGCTGGTTGGCTGGTTGGCTGGTTGGCTGGCTGGCTGGCTGGTTGGTTGGTTGGTTGGTTGGTTGGTTGGTTGGTTGGTTGGTTGGTTGGCCGGTTGGTTGGTCGGTGGGTAGGTTAGTAAGTTGGTTGGTAGGTTGGTTGCTGGCTGGCTGGTTGCCTGGCTGGCTAGGAAGCAACAGGCCCGGGAGGCAAACACGTGATTCTCAAGGAGGGTTCTGTGCGGTCAGCTTACCCATGAGACTTCCCTGCAGCTATCAGGAACCCCATCGGACCCGATTCCTCTGAGCAAGGAGACTGCATGAGACCAATGAGAAGACCCTAAAATCGCGGTTTTCTTGGTGGTTCTCCTTTAAAACCAGCCAAATGGGGGTACCCTGAAAAATACTCTACACCAGTGCAAGAAGCAAGCATAATGGCAGACACAAACCAAACGGAGAAACCACAGGGAACCAAGCAAAGCAAGCCAAAAGCACGGAGCGATGTGGGGATGAACCTTCTTTGCGTAACCAATGTGGGTCAAAATTGAACACCTCAAAAAGCAAGAAGAATGAACGCAAACCGCGCAAGGTACATGAGAACACCCAGCTATAGGAGCGCAAACAAACCCAAGCCAAGGCCAGCCAACCCAACCCAAGCCAACCCACCCACCTGCCAGGAGTGTGGGCTATGCCTGGGACGGGCGTTTGTCGCCTCCCATGGCTTTCTCCGCCCCGGCGCCTTTGCCGGTGGCCGGCGCCTCGCGCACCTCCTCGCTGGTGTCCAGGACCTCGGTGGCGCCGCCGCGGCCTGGCACCCTGCAGCTGCCGCCCAAGGTGCAGGAGCGTGCGTGAAACACGGCCAGGGCTCAAAACGAATGGGATCCCATTTTGGGATAGGTGCACTGGTGCACCCATTTTAGTCTATTGGGGATTGGGATGTTCACTGGGGGTACGATTTGGGTTTTGACCCATGGCCACACAACGCATCCCCTGCGCCTGGCTCAAGGTTACGCAGGTTTTTAGTGTGAGGTTATACCTACAGGGTTACACAGTTTTGAGTGTTTTCCCATTTCGCGAGGTGCCATTTTGGTACATGTTTTGGAGCCACTGCCAGACACGTCCAGTTACTTAGAGGTTGTTTGAAACTTTTAGTAGGTTCATAAAGGTTGGGTTTCCATGTAACCCACTAAAAAATATTCACTTCCAGCAGGGGATCTGAGGACAGCCCACCTTGAAGAGGGTATGCCATGGGCGAAAAGACGGTTCATGAAAGCTTTTGGGTTTTTACGCTTTTGGCTGTATTTGAAGCTTGTGGTTAAACATCGAGGTGAGGTTTTTCCAGGCTGTCCGGTTCCAGGCGCGCCCAACGCCCAGGACGCCGAGATGAAGCTCCGGAAGTGGCTGGAGACCATCCCCATCGGCAACGGCTCGGAGCGGGGCTGGGACGACGGGCAGATCCGCGAGATCGCGGAGTTCGCGAACAAGCGGCCCGTTGCCAAAGGGGCGCCTCCCATTTTACCCTTAGACTTTCTGAGGGGAAGGGGGTCCCCGTTTTTTTACACAACAACCAACACAATTTGCCCGCCCCCCGCCCCCCCTTCTTAACAGAAGCGGTCGGGCTGAGGGGTCCACCAATGTTTCAAATTGGGTGCTGCTTGATTTGGGGTTGGTACTGTTTGAAGGGAAATCAATGGGAACACCACCCTGTAAAATAGACACAAATAGACACGGGTTACGCCCATTTGTTTGGGGAAGGGTTCTCCTTTGGAATTCAGCAACGAAGAATGGGCGCCTCTTGTTTGACAGTCATGAGGTACAACATCTCCAATCTCTCCGCTGAGCAGCTCTACCAAAGGCTGGGTTGCTTAAGGCGCGAGGTCACGAGAGCCGGTGACGCGTCTCCAGGTATGTGGAGCATCAAGTGGCAGAGGCGGAGAGAGGCTGAATGCGCCAGCTGTGGGCCCTGTGCTGAACTTGTTTATTGGTTTCCTTTGTGGTCCATGTTCTTAAGTTTCTTTCTGACCGAATCTGTGCCATGGACCAATTGTAGGGTAACCTATTACAGCCTTGTTTCTTTCCAATGTGGGTTGTTTGGTTCAGCAAGCTGTGCCAACAGTGACTGCTTCGGTGACTGCTTCAGAGGCTGAGCCTCGCCGGCCTTGTAGCATCCGAATTGCAAATGAGCGACTTAGCAAAAGGCGAGGTCATGGTTTGCACGCACGTGAGGCTCTCTGTGGAGGGAGAGGTGTGATCAGGTTCCTTTGCTGGCCTACGCGGTGCAACCTTCAAGCCGAGGACAAGCCCTTTGTGTAAAGGGCCTCAATGGCCTCAATGGTGCCAAGTGTGCGTCCCCCATAGATCCCCCCAGTTTTTTGGTTGGGGTGGTCAGCGTGGTGTTACCATCTTCTGTACTCGTCAAAGCCCTTCGAAGGAATCGCAGATTGGGTCGGTTCGGTCGAATCCCTCCACCGATTCGCTGGGGTTGCACCCCACAGAGCTGCACCCAAGCCGAGTTTGTGTCTTCCCGTATCGCCAAGCGAAAGCAGGGTAATTACGCTCACCCCCCCCCCCTCTCAATCGAAAAGCATCTCTCAAAATGGGTCCATGAAAGTGACGGCTTAAATGGAACCACCCGCCAAGCACTATGTTGAGAAGCCCTCAAGAAACATCACAGTCAGTATCACTTGCAACATGTTCAGTCAGTGTTTTGACACATGTCATAAAATACGGACTCGGTCCTTCAACACAGTTGGTTTCCTTTATATTTACCGAGAAAAGAAGCACCCCAACAAGGGTACGGAGCCTTAGACATCACACCCACTTTGGGGGGTGTCTTCTTATTTTGGGGTACCTTTTTGCTGGCTTCAAAGGAAAACCACACAGAAACCCCCAGGACCCCCCCATGGCTGGCAAATACCCCCTTTGCCAGCCATTGGGGGGTCCAAACCCCGAAATCCGTTTTTTGGGCTGATTTTAAAGGTAAAACCAAAAGTAAAGCCCAAAGTCCGTTTTTGGGGAGGGCCCAAAAGACGCGCCGCCCACCTGAGCGCCCAAAAATGCGCCCAGCCGAGGCTGGCGGTGCTGGTGGGCCGTCGCGCCCTATGGGATCGGTTCGGGGGCCCTGGAAGCGGAAGAATCAACATTGAGCCACCAGGTTTTGGTCGTTTCTGTTGGGCAAGTTCCACGTTTTTTGTCTTTTTGAGCAGCCGTAGGTTCAGAATTGAAGGGACACCACCGGTTTGGAGGTAAGGAGATGACTTGGTGCTCCCCATTTGGGGCTCCTTTGTTTTTCTGACCTAGGCAGCAAAAGGTCAGCTTTTGGCAGGAGTTCTGGCCCAGATTTTACATCACAGTCACCCCTTTTGGTACGTAGCAAAGCAACTTCAGGTTCCGACCGTTGAAATCATGCCCCCAAAACGGCGAGACAACAGGTTTTGGCGCCAGACCTGAGGAGCATCCGCTCTGGCCGCTTGGGCTTGGGACCTCCACTCTTGTTGGGAGTACCCATTTCTGTTGGTTTTGTAATGGCAACAAGACCACCCCCAAATGGGTGAAGTCTGCCATCCCAGGTTACAACAGAAGGATGATGGAGACGCATCAGAGGCGGGCGCGAAGCGAAGGATTGACAATCTGGGGCGGGTCTGGCATGGGAGAAACACATAATTGTACGGGGGGGCACGTACCCGAGCTAGGTATCCCCTTCAAGCTCGGAACGCCAAATAAGTGTTGTGAGGAAAACGGTTGAATAGAGACCAGCTACACGAGATTCAGGAAGTTTGTCAAGTAATGTGGGCCACTGATTACTTTATAAAGGCCCCGAAGAAAAAAACAAAGTTGGAGCCTCAATGGAGAAAACCGGCAACACATTTTTCGGGGTGAGAAATCGCCTTTCCCAAGTTCAGTACTGGCTTAGTATTGGTTCAATGTTCTTTTGTGCTGCTGGAAATTTCTCGCGTAGTATCGGTTTAGTAGTGGTGTGTTGCAATTGTTGTGGCTTGGCACTTGGTGCGGCAGCAGGGCGGGAGAATGTTGCTGAGTATCCCTTGTTGTTCTTTAGTTGTTGTTTTTTTTCTCCTGGGGTACTCCCCCCTTCGAAAATTGCCGCCGAAGCACTTCTATATACAGGAGATGTAAGAAAATCAGTGGCTTCGTGGTTTAGGCTGACGGTGGTGGTGGTGGTGGTGGTGGTGGTGGTGGTGGTGGTGGTGCTGGTGGTGGCGGTGGCGGTGGTGGTGGTGGCGGTGGCGAGGGGTGTTGGTCTTCGCCCAGGGTCAGGGCTGTCGAAGGGTTGGAACATAATTTTGTCCAAACCAGAAGGTATTGTATTAGGTACCCCTTTTCATGTTGGGGTAGAGAACAATGTTGGGGAAAACTTTGGTATTTGATACCCTTTGATTAAACGGGTACCGACATTACTGACCTAAACCAAGGCTTTCAGTTTTCCGCTAGCTTCCCCCAAGCGAAGCCACCAACTTGGGGGTGTGTCAAAGAGGAGATCCACAGGGAAACGCAGGATGGACAAATGTATTACTTGGATTTCCCCACATTTCCCACTAGCAAACAGGATTCCCGCAGTTTCCCATTCCCCGAGCAAAAAGAGTCGCTTATGATTCGTGGATTCCAAAGGGGCTTGCATTCTCATCCGCGAATCATAGGATTGATTCCAGCTTTTGGCCTTGGGCTGATTTCCCCAAAAGGGGATGGGACGGTCTTCGCAACCCAAAAATGGAACCCTGTTGGCCTCTGTACGAGTAAACTGGCGGTGTTACTGCATGCAAAAAGCAAGTTTGTTGCGAAGACGTGAGCTCCGATCCAGGTGGTCGGATTCTGATGTTCCTTTTGTCAGTGGATTGCCTGGATGAGAAACCCCTTCTGGAGTTGATTGCGTAAAGTTTCTCGGATACCTTTTTGCATTGCCCATGAATTGTTTGCATGGGACGCCTTTAAGGAAACCGCCCATTTTGGGGGTTCCCCATTCAACGAAAACAGGTGACCCCACTCTGCCCAACGGCGTCTTTGTTGGCCCATACCCAAATACAGGAGCACAAAAGCGGAGACCCCGAAAGAAACCCCCAAACCAGCTATTTAAGCGGATCCGGATCTCCCGGGTGTTTTGGACATCTTAGTTTTGAGCATCCAACTCCGGAAGGTCTTTGTGGACCCCACTCAGCCCACCGAGACCTTTTTCTCCAAGTCTTCTCCAAGGGGTCTTCTGAAGGGGACTGGAAGGTCTTCAAGTTCTTCGCCGCCATGCTGCAAGTCCTGCTGGCCATGGGCTTCCCCGTGCACCGCTGGCGGGGACCTGATCGATGCTCGTGTGGGGGGGGGGGGGGGGCGGGGGTGGCCTCAGGGCCAAGCGGCGCGGAAGTCAAATTCGAGTTGCAGAAAAGAAAAGCTGGATGGATGAAGCTTAGATGGGCCAAACCAGAATTGCATGCCCTGGTATTTGGATGGAAGGCACAGGTCACATTTGCCGGCAATCCGATGAGAGGATGCTGAGGTGCGAGTCGCACGAAGCACCAGAATCGAAGGTGATGTTCTAACCTAACATGAGCGTGTGTCAAAATACGACTCCCCCCCCCCCGAAAAAAATATATCCGGCTGCTTGTTGGTGTTCTTTCCAAACACCTCCGAAAGGGCACCCTCAAGAATCACAATGCCACCATGGACCTCCAAATGGTTGGTTCGCCCTGATTTTGTGGCTTCCTTGGGAGTTGCAGGTTTCCTTGTTGACATGTCCCATCCTTTCACCCCCTTTTTTTGGAAAGGTGTCTTGTGGTTCTGCAAGGAACACAGCATCGTTCCTTTGCATTTGCAGTTGTTCCCAAAACGAGGTACGAAAGGACCATGAATGAAACGGTTGGTGCCTCCAACAAAAAAAGGGAAAGGCGACAAAGATGAACCCATGTAAAACGTTTCATTCTTGAACACTTCTCTCCTGCAGATTAACCATGAAACCCACCCAAGGACACCCATTTGTAGAGGAATCTCCTCTTGCTATACCCCCCCAAAAGTGAGTATACTCCATATTCGGAAGCAACCAAAGTCCAGCGTGCGACTTGCCAGTTGCTTGCCTTTGGCCGCCTGGGTCGGATCTCTGGAGCCTGGCGCCACAGTCGGATCTTTGATCAGTTTTTGGAATTGCTTCCGCGAGTCTGTTATTGTTTATTCTTGTTTTGTGTGGTTGACGTAATATTTGTTGGTTGTTGGGCGTTTCCTCCGTCGCTTTTGTGTGGGGTTGTTGTGCTTTATTTATTTGGCGCTGTTGCTCATGTGTGCCCTTGTGTGCAGGATGTGTTTGTTTTGCTTGCTTACTTGTTTATGTGTCTCTTTGCCATGTTGTTTGCACGTATGTGTGTGTGTAGCATTTGATGTGGTTGGCTTGTTTGACGTGTTTGTTTGATTCAGGGTTTACTCCTGTCCTTTGTTTGATGGTTTGTTTATGTGTTTGAGTTTGTTTGTCTCGTTGTTTGTTTGTTTGTTTGTTTGTCTGTCTGTGTGTTTTGTTTGTTTGTTTGTTTGCTTGCTTGTTTGTTTGTTTGTTTGCTTGTTTGCATGTTTTGTTTGTTTACTTGCTTGCTTGCTTTCTTATTTGTTGGTTTGTTTGTGTCTGTGTTTTTGTTTGTGTGTGTTTTCTTGTTTGCTGGCGTTCTTGCTTGCTTGCTTGCGTTCTTGCTTTCTTGCTTGCTTGCTTGCTTGCTTGCTTGCTTGCTTGCTTGCTTGCTTGCTTGCTTGCTTGCTTGCTTGCTTGCTTGCTTGCTTGCTTGCTTGCTTGCTTGCTTGCTTGCTTGCTTGCTTGCTTGCTTGCTTGCTTGCTTGCTTGCTTGCTTGCTTGCTTGCTTGCTTGCTTGCTTGCTTGCTTGCTTGAGTGCATCGCAAGGACGTTCACATGTTTTGTTGCAAAGTCATGCGGCAATGAATGTGCACGGTGTTGTCAATATTGTTTACATCTTGTTCCATAGCTGTCCTGCCAAGCTGATTCGGGCAACATGATTTCTATCAAAACGACACCCAACACGTCAAGAGCACAATTGATCATGGCGTGTGAGCTATTGGTTTACAACCGCTTAGCATTGTATATACCGTGCGTGCAGCATCACTGCCGGAAGCTGTCCACCCCTTGTCTTGTTCATTGCAGACCTGCGAGCCGCCGAGGCTTCTCCAAGTCCTTTCTCAGAGAGGCTGGGTGTGACGAGTGGTCTGCGGAGGAATTTGTGTTTTGTGCATGAAAACACAGCTGCTTTTATTCTGGATTTCCTCATTTTGGACCAAGCAAGTGAGTGAGCAAGTGGTGATTCCAAACAAACAACACACCCCGATTCCATCCGGCTCCTTTCGTTTGACTTCGATCACTTTTCTAATTGACATTCCTGAGGCCTCTGGTTGTTTGGATTCACGTGGCGGAAAGAAGGCTTTCTCCCGGGCACCGGGCGTGAAGCGGCGTGAATCCAACAAAATCAGGCCCTCGCGGAAGCCTTGGTTCCGGCCGCAGCCGAGAATTCAATCAAAAACTCACTGGGGCCCCGAGAATGTGATTTCAAACTCGGAGTTCAAAGAAAATGGAGCCGTCTTTGGAGGACATTGGGCAAGGGCGCCAAAGGGTAGGAAGGGGACTTCAATCCCCTAGCATTCCTTTGGCGCCAGCGCCCACCAAGTGTTGGCTCAAAGTGTATCACACGCATCGCGGGCCCTCAGAAAGATAAAAGCTTCCAATGAGGGTCCTAACCCCTATGGAGGCTCCAGACGCTTTGGGTGATGTTCGAAGAGTGCGCAACTCGCAGCTGGGCGAAGCAAACCGCGCGCCAGGCGGCGAAAAAGAGTTCAGCCGCTTGGGCTGCTTGGCACCAGAGAGAAACCTGGGCGCGACTGAAGTTGGCCCCCAGCACCTGGCGGTCAAATGGCTCTGGCTCAAAAAGCCGGAATTCCAAAATGGCTTGCCCGAGCGGTAAGTGGAAACATGGGTACCAAAATTCCGGCGGTTCGCCCGCCACACCCTGAGCGCCACCTGGAGGTTCCCAGCGATACTCAACCAGATTTTTAGACCTGCGGCCAGGGATCCACGAACATTGTAGTGCCCATGTTGAGATCTCTGGGGCCAGGGATCAACTCACTGGCCTCGAGGTGCTAGTCGGTTTGGCGTTTTTTTTTTTCTTGGGCCAGGGTGACCCTCAAAACGATTTGGGGAACACAACTGTCCATGTTTTAACTGTGATGTGCCCGAAAGGGTCCCGAAACAGAGGACTTGTTCTGGATGTTGTTAGCAGGAGACTCAAAAGAAATCCTTTTCGCCTTTTGTGATGTTGGTTTTTTGGGGCACACCTGCTTTCCGGGGGTGAAGAGAATCAAAGATGGGTCCATGGGATCAGTCGCCAAGGAGGCGTGGACAACCTTTTGTCCTGGGCCGCGCGGGGCATCTACTCGCAGCCCAAGGCTCAGTCTGAGGCGCGCGCGCCATGCCGTCGCGGCATGCACCCGCACAGCTGAATGAAGGGGACTGAGCATCACCGATGTTGGAACGTTTGGAACATCGGACCCCGAGTTCCTTTGGTGTCTCTTTTCCCATTTTCTTGGTTGAAAATTGGATTCTGGTGTCGGTTTGGATTGACAACCGCTGGCAGCGATGCATTTTTTCCCCACGATATTCACGGCAGGTGTTGGAGTGGCTGTGCAACCAGAAAGCGGACCCCAACCACCGAGATGCAGCAGGCGAGGGTGAGCCTCCAGACGGGAGGGAGGCTTCTCCACACACTTCACCTCGCTTTCCTGTTCAGAGCTAAAATATTTCGGGGGTCAAAAACATAATTGGGGGGGTCAAAGAAATGATGGTTCCAAAGATTTCTCTGAATCCGCAGCCTACACCAAATTTAAGGGCTGCCGCCCAGTGCCGCCGACCCCTGGATTTAGTTGTGGTTTTGGAGCCACAAAAAACAGTGCCCTTGGTTTTGGTTTCTTTGGTTTCTTTTGGGTGAAATGTTAGTGGCCCCAAAAGGCTAATCTTGTATTTCAGGGTTTTGTTTGCATTTTTGAAGACACGAACAGGGACTGTGACTTGCTGGGCAACAAATGATCCCTGTCATGATCACTATCATCGTAGCATCCTCTGCATTACCAAGGGTGCCTAGCGATGATCATGACTACGCATCACTATCGAAACGGCACCTCGCCTCAGATGCCATTTGTGTCATTGAGATTTGGAGTCCTGCCTTGATGATAATCATCACTACGCATCATTCGCAGCATCTGTGGCAATCATGAGGATAATCATCACTACGCATCCCCAGCATCTCCAGCAGCGATGATCATAATCATGACTACGCATCACTGTCGAAACGGCACCTCGCCTCAGATGCCATTTGGGTCATTGAGATTTGGAGTCCTGCCTTGATGATAATCATCACTACGCATCATTCGCAAGAAACCAAAGAAACCAAAACCAAGGGCAGTGCTTTTTGGTTGCTCGAAAACCACAACTAAATCCAGGGGTCGGCGGCACTGGGCGGCAGCCCTTGAACAAGAATGAGATGATGATGAGCATCATGATGATGATGAGAAGAGCGATGACATCATAATAAGGATGATCATGATGATGATTATGATGATAACTATCATCGTAACACCCTTTGCATCACCAGTGCTGCTTAATGATGACCGTGATGATAATGATGACAAGGATGAGGACTGTGATGATAACTATCATCGTAGCATCCTCGGCATCATCAGTGCCGGCTAACAAGAGATGATGATGACCATGATGATAGTGATGATAAGGATGAGGACTGTGATGATAACTATCATCGTAGCATCCTCTGCATTACCAATGGGGTCTAACGTTCCTTTTGAAATGCATGTAAGAATAAGAATAAGAATAAGAATAAGAATGAGGTGATGATGATTACCATGATGATGATGAGAAGAGCGATGACATCATAATAAGGATGATCATGATGATGATTATGATGATAACTATCATCGTAACACCCTTTGCATCACCAGTGCTGCCTAATAAGAGATGATGATGACATCCTCGGCATCACCAGTGCCGGCTAATAAGAGATGATAATAAGCATGATGATAGTGATGATAAGGATGAGGACTGTGATGATAAGTATCGTCGTAGCATCCTCTGCATTGCCAATGGGGTCTAACGTTACTTTTGAAATGCATATAAGAATAAGAACAAGAATGAGATGATGATGATCATCATGATGATGATGAGAAGAGCGATGACATCATAATAAGGATGATCATGATGATGATTATGATGATAACTATCATCGTAACACCCTTTGCATCACCAGTGCTGCCTAATAAGAGATGATGATGACATCCTCGGCATCACCAGTGCCGGCTAATAAGAGATGATAATCACCATGATGATAGTGATGATAAGGATGAGGATGATGATGATGATGATGAACTGACATGATAATCATGATGACGCATCCTCAGCATCACCAGCAGTCATCATGATAATGATAATCATGTCCACGCATCTTCTGCGTCTCAAATCGGGTCTAACGGGACACTTGAAACGTATATAAAAAAGATAAGGACGATGACGAAGAAGATGATGATGATGAGCACCGTGATGACGATGCTGATTATGATGATGATGAACTGACATGATAATCATCATGACGCATCCTCAGCATCACCAGCAGTCATCATGATAATCATGTCCACGCATCTTCTGCATCTCAAATCGGGTCTACGGGACACTTGAAACGTATAAAAAAGATAAGGACGATGACGAAGAAGATGATGATGATGAACTGACATGATAATCATCATGACGCATCCTCAGCATCACCAGCAGTCATCATGATAATCATGTCCACGCATCTTCTGCATCTCAAATCGGGTCTAACGGGACACTTGAAACGTATATAAAAAAGATAAGGACGATGACGAAGAAGATGATGATGATGAGCACCGTGATGATGATGCTGATGATGATGATGATGAACTGACATGATAATCATCATGACGCATCCTCAGCATCACCAGCAGTCATCATGATAATCATGTCCGCGCATCTTCTGCATCTCAAATCGGGTCTAACGGGACACTTGAAACGTATATAAAAAAAGATAAGGACGATGACGAAGAAGATGATGATGATAAGCACCGTGATGATGCTGATGATGATGATGAACTGACATGATAATCATCATGACGCATCCTCAGCATCACCAGCAGTCATCATGATAATCATAATCATGTCCACGCATCTTGCATATCCAATCGGGTCTAACGGGATGAAACGTATATAAAAAAGATAAGGACGATGACGAAGAAGATGATGATGATGAGCACCGTGATGATGATGCTGATGATGATGATGATGAACTGACATGATAATCATCATGACGCATCCTCAGCATCACCAGCAGTCATCATGATAATCATGTCCGCGCATCTTCTGCATCTCAAATCGGGTCTAACGGGACACTTGAAACGTATATAAAAAAAGATAAGGACGATGACGAAGAAGCTGATGATGATGAGCACCGTGATGATGATGATGATGATGATGAACTGACATGATAATCATCATGACGCATCCTCAGCATCACCAGCAGTCATCATGATAATCAAGATAAGGACAGCGGCGACGACCACCACGCCGATGATGATGATGATGATGATGATGATGATGATGATGTTGAATCTTCGGTTATGCGCATTTACCAGCCAGCCTTGGACTTGTAACCGCCCTTCCCGTACGCCTCCCCCTTTGAGGAGAAGGGGTCGGCGGATTACGACGGTTTTTTCTCAGTGGATCTTCCAGGCCGATCTGTGCTGGACTGGGCCTGTTGGGTGGGGCACCTCAGAGTGGAGCCTACACGAAACCAGGGTCACAAGGAGGCATGGGCGTGTCAACTTTTTGTGCTGCTTTGGAAGTGTATGTATCTATATATGTATATATGTTATACATAAGAAAACATAGAATGGGCACCGAAATAACATATCATATCACCATTTTGGAGGGTCCCTAGTTCAAGACACACCCGGTTTTGATAACCTCCGCCACTTGTGCGGAGGGAGGGTCAGCAACGCTTCCAATTTGGAAGGCGAGTGAGTGACACCATGGCCCACGTGAACCAACCATGCCTCCCAAGCCAGCAACTTTCAAGGCGAAGATGGTTTTATAAATGTTCCTTGTCTATGTTCCTATTTTGTGTGGACAGCGAATCAACCCATGTCAAAACCCAGCTTGCTTCGGCTATTGGATAGACGTGCCAGGAGCTGCTGTGGGAGGGCCGGTTGATTTCACCAGCGAACCTTTGAAGACGACCAACTCAACGCGAGTGAGCACCTTTAGTTGGCAGCATTTTATTTCCAGCTGCAACTTTTGTGAATGTTTCCGTGTCTCAACCAAGGCCGAGCTAGTGAAGGAACGTCGACTGTTACTCCCTCAATTTCACCAGGCGCTTGCCAGATGGCAAGCGCCGGGCTGATCAAACGGGCACAATGCCTCAGGCAATGTGCTTCCTTCAGATTTCGGCATGATTGGCTCAGGAATGACTTCCACTAGAGAACATGGGCGGGGGGGGGTGTCGCACCACGCTGGCCCGAATCGGATTCAGTGAGCTGAAACCCCAGGTGCCCTAAAGCCCATCAGATGCCTCCTTTACAGGGTGCCCTGATGGGCTCAAGCGTATTCGCACAGGTAGATGGTTGTGTTTTTCAACGGTGTCCTTAGGTTAGGTTGGTCAGACACAGATCATTTGCCAGGGCCATCTAATTGTCCAAAAGGGTCCTATGTTCAAAGTGCCAACGGCTTTTTCGTGGGTAACTTTCTGCGATAGCCTGGAGGAATTCTCCGTGAAAATGATAAACTACTCGTGAGCATGTAAGTCCCTACTTTGGTATAGTCCGCGCTATTTTTCTACATGCAAAGAAATGGCGGTCGCGTTTACTGGAGACTACCCTCCAAACAGGCTGGGCAGAAATCCCCACATGTCCAGCATAGGGAAAACGGTCAGATTCCATGTTTGGGAGGGTTCCCAAATTCGACTGAAAACAACGAGCGCGTGGAAGTTGCAAAAGGGGGTGCTCAAAAGGAGATTCCTCTCAAGTGGCGTTTTTTTTTGGTTCCATGGTAAAACCAAAAGATTTTTAAAAAAATGGTGTACATCTTTTCCCCAGCTTCCACCCCAAAAAGAAGAAGGCGCCAGCGCGTCGTTTTTCCGAAAACCAAAGTGCTTGGCCTCCGGTGGCGAGTCGCGACGTCTGAGGCGGGGTGCGAGGAGCTTGTGTCCATGCTGCTGCGCCGGGGGCGTATGGCCACCCGGGAGCCGGGGAGCCCAAGTGGAGTGGAGGCTCCGTTTCCCTGGTTGGCACCTCCGAAAGGGCCCAACTTCCGGCGTTTCTGGACTTCCACTTTTTGGGCTACGGTTTTGGTACTCGAAAGTTCAGACTGGCCCAGTTCCTGGACTTTACACTCTTTGGGAAGACCATTTTAGTGACAAATAAGAAGTTCGGATTATTTTTTGGCCAATCCACTCAGGAAGTGAGTGGCAATTGCAGTGGACACCACGAGTATGTTGATCATTTTTTGGAGTGGAAATCCAGTGTTTGTTTGTGGCTTCCAAACTTTGGTTGCAACACTCAGTGGGTGTTTCTCATAAAATCGAAAGTAAGGGTCCCCTAAAATTGCGCAAGGGGTTCCTTTTGGTTGCCCTTGAACTGCCAACCAAGAACAGGTCCACCATGTGGAGAAACGCCCGAGTCAGTCCCTGAGTTCCGTTTCGGACTTTAGTCACTTTCTGGGGTACCATTTTAGTGGTAAATAAGCTTGGACTCTGCTTGGCCCAGGGGTGGTTGCAAGATGTGTGTTTTTTGAGGGTACCTTCGTTTTTGTGGTTTTAGATGGAAGCCAAGAGGAAGCCCGAAGCCATTTTGAGGGGTCCGCTAAAATGAGCACGCCCAAGGGTTGAAACAGGTATCCGATAGGCAACCAAGCAAAACCCCTGGTTGAGAAATCGGGATGCTGGGGAACGGGGTTCCCGTTCTAGGGAAGCCCAAAAGTGGAGAATGGAGAGTGGTGTTGCTGATGGGTGGGAGAAGACCCCCCCAAAATGGATTCGGTTTTCCTGTTAACTTTTCCTTAAAACCAACTCTTGTTTTTCTTCCTTTTTTTTTGGCGGGGGGCGGGGGGGTCTCCCTAGAAAAAGACGAGGCACCCAATGATAAACTCCCAGACTTTGGGCAATCGGCTTGGGCCAGACTTGCTAGGGATCAAACAATTCGAAGGGGGTGGGGTACGATTGAACCGGGTTACTTCATGATCCACGGGAGAATAGGGCCAACTTGCTTTCTGAGTTTCGGGACTTTGTATTTTTTTTGGGCACGAGCATTTTAGTGGCAAAGTGTTGGCCAACCATTCAAGAAGTGAGCTAAGGGGAGAGAGTGATATTGGGACATTCTTGGCCGGCTTTGTTTGGTCACATCGGGGGTTATAAACCCAGTACGCCTCCGCCTCCGCCTGGGCGGTCCACAACTTGCACTCAGAGCTTTCCAGGTGAATATTTGGTGCTTTGCCCTGAACCCTTCTAGCTGCCCTTGAAATCAAACACCGCCAGAGCAAATAAGTGTCGGGACCTTTCAAGACACTGCAAGCAACCCATCTCCAAAACGACAAAAACAAGAGGGCGCCCCAAAAAGAAGCAAAACAGCCAAACTCAAAATCGGCCAAAAGTGGAATCAGCCAAACTGAAATACTATAACAATAATAATTATAATAAGAATACTAATAATAGCAAACGTAACAATAAGAATAACACTAGGATAAATCAATCTCATAAAACCAGTACTTTACATAATTCTAGTACTAACAACAGCAAGTTGCTGCCCTTTCCAAGACGTTTTCCGGGATCCACTTCACACGTGTCAGGCCCGAGGTGCAGCCGCTCCTGCTGGCCACCTCCAGCCGCTCCGTGGGTCTGGTGCGGCTGCTGCTGCGCGCCGCAGGCCGAGCGGCCGGGCCTCAGAGCCTCAGGGCCTCAGGGCCTCGGCTCGTGGTGTTTTTTTGGGTGGAAACCCAACCAAACTCACTTGTCGATGTTCACCGGGGGAACGGGATTTTTGGGATTTTGACCCATGGCCACTTCCTGGGTTCATGAGCTCTCAGCTTTTCGGGCTTGGGCCATTGTGGCAACTGCGAAGTTTGGGCTTCCTTCACTTGTCTTCCAAGTGAGCAAACCCAAAGGCCGAAGAATCCCAAGGGGACGGGTTCTTGTGGAAAGGAGAACCCAAAAACTTGGGAAAGGGAGAAGTCTTGTGTTTTTGTTGGTTCTTTTGGAAAGGACAAACACACGAAAGCAACAGCCAAAGGGATCAGAAGCCTGGCTTCCTTTTGTGGTTGGTTTAAGGGACACCAAAAGGAAACCCCCGAAGCCATCTTGGGGGTGCCCTATCATATTTACACCCATCAAACAGTAGAGAGAAGCCACCCGAAAAGGTTTTGTTCACCACTCAGGAATATTGATCAACCCCCATTTGGGCGACTCCTGTTAAACTCACTCCCCGAGTTCCTGGACTTTAGTCTCTTTTTGGGCTTGGACCATTTTAGTGTAAAAACAAGTGCGGGAGCTTTTTTGGCATCTTCTGGACAGCTTCAAAGGGAAACTGAGCAAATTCCTGGCATGTTCCTTTGGGTATTTTTGGGGAGAGACAAAAGAAGGGAAACAGACGGGACTCAAAAAGGCATTCTGGAGGAGTTTCGGCCTTTACCACACCCAAGAGCAGCTAGTCTGCTGGCCCGACAGGTTGGTTATGAACACCTGCTGGACCGGACACCTGGTGATCCAATGCCACCAATTGCACAAGGATACACACCCATATGGGTGTGGCTCAAAATTACAAACAGGAGGGGTTACGCAGGTGTTGGTCCATGTTTCCACTTACCAGGGTTCCATTTTGGTGCCGGTTTTTTGAGCCACAGCCATATTTCTATGGGTTGATTTCCCATTATTTTCAACCATCGTTCTTGTCTCAAAAACCGGATCCGTTTTCCCTGGCATTCTGAAGGTGTTCAAGAAAGAAGGATTCCTGGAAAGAATGGAAAGGGAAGGTACCCCTGTACACCTAGAACATTTAGAGATTCTATTTCGTAGAGGAAGCCGTGTTGTGGTTCCCAAGGTTTCAGTTTTTTCAGGGCGCACGCGCCCAAGAAAAAGCAACTCGCCAGGGGATCCACATGCACTTCCGAGAGGCAGGTGGGCAATGAGCGGACGAGAAAGCTCCGTTTCCCTGGTTGGAACTTTCAAAAGTGGCCTCACTCCGAGAGTTTCTGGGCTTTGGTCACTTTGGGTTGAACCATTTTGGTGGTGAATCGAAAGTTGGGTCTTTTTTGGGGCGAGCCACTCAGGAAGTGAGACACATGTCAGCACCGTTTTCTGGGAGATCTCGAGGTGTGGCGTTTGTGCCGCCAACACGCCTTTGCCGGGCGTAACATTGTCCCTGATGCAACTGGTACATTCAGCAAGACCCTCTTGATGGGAAATAGGGGAATCAGTGTGATTTGTCCATTACTCAGTTAGACATGCATGAAAGAGATCCAAGAAGGATGCCCATGCGGCAATCTGGGCGGCTGGATCAAATGATCGCCTGGTCCCCTTCCGGAAAAACTGCCTTCGACCGGCGTAACACGAAGCCAGCGTGGGTCTGATGAAAAACGCTTTTCCTCCCTTCCAGCTTGTGTTGCTCAGAACACATTGGTTTTGCGAGCAGGTCTTGTAAACTGTTCTCCTCGTGGCTGACTTGGAACCAAAACAAGAGCTCGCCGAAAGATTGCGCAGCAATCGTTCGGCAAATGTTCTCACAGCTGTAAACGTATTGCTGTTCCGCACGAAATGCGATGATTGGTGGAGACTTTCTTAATAACAAGGTTGAACGTTGAACACGCTTTTGGTACCTGCCCTGCACTGGCTGATTTTTGCACCAACACGCGGTTCCGAGAGGGTTGCTGAAATAATGCATTCTGCTATGTTGCAAGTCACGTTTACCAGCTGTTTTGCAAAACAGCTTGTGAATCATGTCATGTTTAGATTTATCTTCTGGAGCACCCTCTCCTACCAAAACTATGTGAACATGTGAAAGAGGGGACAGCGAGCCCTTTCCGTTGGCAACTCAGCGTGGTCTATGCCAATGCTGGCCAGCCATGGATTTTCCGGTATGCCGAGGCCAAAGCGATGCTGGCCATGCGTGTGGGGCATTGCTGCCGCTTGGCGCTGCAGATGGTTTGAGCGGTGCCCAAACCCCTCGTTTTGGTTGGTGGTTCCACTTGCCCTAATATGATGGTTATAGCAAGAGCTATGTGGTGTGTCCTCAGTCGCACCCTTGAAGACTGGATGAGACCTGACCACCCTTTTTCGCACGTTGTTCCTTTGTTTTCTCTTTTTGTTTGGAGCTCGAGGGATGGATTTCGATGTGGCTGACAGGCTGGCCGTGAGGTGCTGCGAGTATGAGCTCGCATGCGAGGCTTTGGCAGCGGGTTGGGTGCTGCCTTGGGATCGGTTCGGTCGAAGGTCCATTTGGGGTTCGGGACATGGAAGGCGGACTCACTAGGTTTGCCCCACAAACCCAGGAAACGCACCAAGCTTCCCATGTCCTCCAGGGAAACGAGTAGTTTTGACCGGGGCTCATGCAACAGTTTTCTTCCAAAGGACTTGCAGCTTGTCACGCTTGTTTTGGCACCTCTTCTGGAAAAGATTTGCAAGCCATGCTTGGACACTCCTGAGCCCCAGCGTTCGCCAGGCACTGAAACACGCAGCCCAATCCACTTTTTGGGCATTCCCCTTGACGTCAGATGCTGAAAAGCGCCGCCTTCGTGAACGTCGACCTGGCGCTAGGCGCCAGACGCGGCCTCGGGGTCAATGGAAGGCACATGACATGGCTTGCACAACCTGTCCGAGCCGCACGCCATGAATGTCCACGAATACATCCCCCATTGTGGGGGGAGGCTTTCCCAGGACAAGTTGCAGTCGGGGCGAAGGTCCAAAAGCTGCGAGCAACTTGTCGCTGAGGTCCCCGGAGGGAACGCGGAGCTGCGCCGGGGGCTTGGAATGTAGTTGTTTTGTTTTTGCAGCCAAGGGGTACCGAAACAGACATACCCACATGCCAGTCGCTTTGTGTATCAAAAGTAGAGGGATTCACTTTGAGGATGGTTATGATGGTTTCAAGAGGCCTACTTGACACTAAACATTGAGGTTTGAGACATACCATTGTTTTTTTGCTGCTGGAGCGATTGTGCCAGCCTGCTTGCTGGTGGCCTGGTTTGAGGATCCTTGGCAGCTTTCGGTGGCCAACTTGTTTGGTTTGGATGCGTGGAGAAGCGGTATTTTTTTGTTTGGCTTGTCAGTCATGGGTGAAGCTATGGGTCCGTTGGGCAAGAACACCACTGGACCACGAGCCGTGGTTCAGTGCTGTAAGCACATTTTGGGGGGTGGGGTCTCACAGATTTTTTTTCAGTACATGACCTCCCCAAATAGTATGGTTATTTTTGGCTTACATTCAATACCAGACTCACAGAGGCTCCTGAAAAGAAGCAAAGAAGCTCGGACAACATCCCCAACAACCCTGGAACCCTCCGGAACCCTTCCTGAAAGCTGCCCCAAACCACCCTCATCGCCTATTTGGGCCTCTCGACCCCATAGCTTCCAGCTGTTGCGGGAAGAAAATCCGCGCATATTCTTTAGCCACTGCAACGCAAGGCAGGACGAAGAGAAGCCGGCAGGCGGAAATCGATAGGGTGGCTGGCAGGGTGGGGCTTCCAGTGGTTTTCCTTGGGTGTGCCACTCTCTTGAAAGAGCTGTCAGGACCAGGGGAAAATGGATTCCATTCAATTGATCGATGGTGTGATCAGAGATGCGACTGACATTGTGTGGTTGGAGGAATTGGGCTGGCTCCAAATAAGGCTCTGTGTGTGTATGTGTATTTTTGCGGATCTCAAGGCGCAAACTGTTTTTTTGTTTGTCTATATTTTGCAGAGTCTTTGGTCTGCGCGTACTACATAGTTCTTCAATCGTATGCGGCAACGATTGAGACAACCAATGCAAAATGGTCCCTAACTTTTGCAATCAGAGTCCATGTCTTTTGTAAACCCTGATGGTCAGGATTGATACTGTGGCAGGACATGTTCTTTTTCAAGCCTTGTATGTTGTGAAGCCTCGGATGATCTTGGATGTGTGGTTTCGCTCCCACCCCCACAAACTAGAAAACAATCTGCCATGTTCCGTTTGGCGGTGAGAGGCCATCTACAAGCTGTCCCTGAGACATCCTTACCCCCCTTAACATCCGAGCTTGCAATGTTGAGATTTGTGCAACTTATCTAACCATGGGGCAAAACCTATGGCTCCATTTTGGTGGATGAGCATCATTTGCCACCTATTTTGACGTTCACCAGAGGGTTTTGACCCACAGCCATCTATGCGTGTACACCAGGGTGAAAGTAGATGGCACCAAGCCTTTTTTGCGGGTTATGTAAGTAAAGGGGACGACTCGGGATGACAAATCCTAAGCTGGGGAAATGTGTGCCAACTACTTTCACTGTATGTTCTTGTTTTTGAAGCGGCCACATGTTGGTTGTAGCTCAAAACACTTGCAAGTTGGCAATGTTTCTTCGGCTTTGGACTTGTATATTTCTCCTGAATGGGGCAAGTCCAAGTGCGCCATACTATTTAGAGGCGTTTGAAAACGAGCACGGGCCATTTTCTGGATGGTCTTAGCAGGGTTTTGCAGGTCAGCTCTCTTCACCATGTCCTGTCTCTAGGATTGAATGGATGGACGAAGGAACAGGAATGAAAGGATAATGACAGGTGAGAGAGTCTTAGAGGTAACCGTTAACTCATCCATCTCTTCCTTCCCTTGCCTTTCCCAGTCTAATGCTTTTTGGATTACAAATTGATGATCCTAAAGTAAAAGCAATTAATAAGACTGGGGAATGAATAAGGCAAGGAATAAGAGATGATGAACCCTTCCCTCGCCACCATCGGTTAAGTTTCGGGATGGTTGCAATATGCCCGAGAGGAATCGGCTGGGTTGTGTCCGCCTTCGACGTGTTTCCTTGTTTCCCGTTTGCCACACCCTTCCAAACCTTTGAAAGGAACATGGTCCAACCTGACCCCCCTGTCAGTTTGCACAAATTCAATTGTTGGGAGGATAGATTGGTTGCCTATCTCACAACCATGGCAACCACCCTTTGAGGCTTGGCCGAATCAACATTTTCAGGTCTGGTCCCCCACCTATCCAAAGAAAACAACAAAACACCCATCCCCAAATCACCTTGCAGGTTTCTTGGTCACCTACCTTTGAAACCTCACCCTGTCCAAGGAAAGCAGAAATTCCGCCATCCGGGTGGAATTTGGGGCTGGCCAGGCGCGGCCACGCGCGCCACCATCGTGCTGGTGGAGTCGCTGCGCCGCTTCTGCAGCGGCTTGCAGCGCCGTAGCGTGGAGGAGGCGCGGTCCGGGCCGCTTCCGGGCCGCGGGGCTGGGATTCGGGGCCGCAAAGGACTGGAAAGTTGGGGCGTTGGTCCTGTTACTTTCTCTTGAACAGCATCCAAGTTTTATGGATTTGGGGGTGTGGGCTAAAATTGAAGACCTGTTTGAATGGGAAGCCAGGCGTTGCTGTTAGGGGGGGGCCCTTCGAGCACGCTGTGTGGCAGACCTGATAGATGCTTTGCGTTCAACTGCCGATCAAGCTTCGGGTGCTCAAGCTGCTCTGCTTGCTGAAGCTGGCAAAGTTGGGTGGTAGTTCTGACACCGTACTTCTATGACATATGCATACAATAGCCTACTCAGATCATTCCATAGCATGGACGATTTTTCCTCACACCACTTTTTGCCAGCGCCATCACCCGGAAACCCTGCTCTGCAGCACTTCCTTGAGGCCTCTTTTTTGTAGCCAAGGCATTCTGACTTTTGGCACACGCGACTCCCAGTGAATGCCAGTTACCCTAGTGGGTAACCAGCTTTTCGGTTTTTAAAGGGTTCCCTTGGTTCCCTGCTATACAGGTATACAATCCACTGGGCCGTGGAAACCTGACAGCAGTGTGTTGGGGAACCAAATCCATGGGAGGTGTCGGTGACGGGAGTTCGCACCCACGTGCCTGGGCCGCATCCGGACGAGTGCCTCTACGCCACCCCCACCATGCCGCTGGGTGGGAGCCTCAGATAGTCCTTGTTTCGACCGCAGAAAGATAAGGCCTGGTTGGTCAGTTGCTTGGTTGGTTGGTTGCTTGCTTGGTTGGTTGGTTGGTTGGTTGGTTGCTTGGATGCTTGGTTGCTTGGATGCTTGGTTGCTTGGTTGGTTGCTTGCTTGCTTGCTCGCTCGCTTGCTTGGTTGGTTTGGTTGGTTTGGTTGGTTTGGTTGGTTGGTTGGTTGGTTGGTTGGTGGGTGGGTTGGTTGGTTGGTTGGCTGGTTGGTTGGAGGGTGGTTCCCTTTCTGAACAGCTGGGTTACTGTGTGTTGTCTTCTCCAGAGGGTGTGTTGTTCAAGCAGGTTCAAGCAAGTGAAATGCGTAAGTTTTGCGTGCTTGCTCTGACAAAGCCCGGGGGAGCTTTGCTGAGCCGACCAACCTGAAATCTGAGGCTTAGTCAAAAACATGGTCACGGCTAAGGAGAGTCAACAGTGGGACCTTTGTTGTGAGACGTTTGTGATCTGACGTGCACCATTTCATTGGATACAAATAGCCTCCAGTTTGCCAACGTCATGTGAGGAATGCACGGGCAAGAACGAGCCATTGCACCCGCTGTCTTGATTCAGATGGAGGAACACCACAGCCACTAAAACAAAAGAAGTCGCCAGGGGGCCATCGAAGCTGATCTTTTCTGCGCTTCCATGACAAGAGGCAAAAATTGTGTGATGACAGACGGGTGACTTGGTTTCCAGTGAATGGCTGGTCTGGTTTCAGCTACTTCTGCAAACTGTCCAGGAAATGGCCAGGACTGAGTGGTCCAAAACTTCCATTTGTCTTTCATTTTTCCCCTGTAGTTTTAAAGGGAATCTATCACTACTGAAAATATATTTTGCCAGGGGTCTCAACCAAATGGAAGAAAAGAAGCGGTACACGTAAACCTTGCAGTTGCCACCTGAGGCGACGTGTTGCACCCGCTGGCAGCGCAGCTTCCGTCCCCCATGCACCGGGCGCGGGGGGATGGGGAGATGGGGGGAGCAGCCGGTGTCCTTTTCATCCTGCCGCTTCTAGAACCAGAAGGCAGCAAAGAAGTGCACAGGTTTCCAGTTTTTGGGACATTCCCAAACTTCCCCCCTCCAAGGCCTAGAGGAGAAACCCGCCAAAAGAGGGGTGGACCCACCAAAGCGGATTCCGCTGAAATGGAGCTCTCATGGGCTCAATGTTAGTCCGCTTAGATGTTGGACAGGCAGGAATTGACAAAAGCTGTAAGGGTTAGATCGATTCCTACTTCAACCCTGACCATAGAATAGAGTTCCCCACACCTGGGGTACACATCACCGCACCCGGAAATGCCAAAAGTGAACGAACCCCTTTTGGACCATTGGAGAGCTGTAGGGACACCTTCTCGTGGATGGGTGGGGAATCAAGCTGGATGGAGAAAGCACGGCGACCTTGGAAGGGTGGTTTCAGACCTCGTTTGGTTGCCAAGCTGAAAGCGAGTTCTTTCGGGCGAGTCCTGTTCCTTTGGGTTCAGAAGGGCTTCTGAGTTCAGAGAAATTTGCGTCAGGCAGACCTTTGGGTGGTTTTTTCACACCTCTTGGCCAGTTTAGCCTGAGTTTTCCTTGGGATCTAGGCTGGGGAAAATATGGTGAGGCCTAACTCCCGGGTTTGTCTCGAGGAAAAAAGTCGGACCCCATTCTTTGGGGTTCGCCCTGTTGCGTTGGTCGGTTTTCTTGCAGCCCCGTGGTTTTGGTCGGTTTTTTGGTTGTTTTGTTGTTTTCCCCCCCCCCAACAGCTGAAAGCTTTGGGGTCTCAGCCCAGATAGTCTCCGGGGTGGTGCGGGGCGGCCCTGGGGTAAGGTTCCACGAGGGTTCCACCAGGGTTCCACCAGGTTCCGCCAGGGTTTGAGGTTCTGCAAGGGCTGCGGGGTGGTGCGAGCACAGAGCACCGCATGCTGGGGATATCACCCGAGCTTCTTTTTTTTTGGGGGGGGTTCGTGTTGGTCGTGTTGGTCGTGTTGGTCGTGTTGGTTTTTTTCTTTTTTTTTGAATGGACACCACCAGGAAACGTCCCCCTTCAACGCGAGCCATGGGCACACGGCCCGCGCAGGTGCCCTTGGAGCTTCGCCCAGGGGTGCTCCCCATGGCCTGGCTGCGCAGGAGCGGTAGGGCTTCCACCGGTCAGGGGGTCCGAGGGGGGGGGGGTTTGGCGAACGGAGAAAAAGCGCATTCCCCCTTGGAAGCTCCAGGGAAACCAAGGTTGAGCGGATTTCTTCGGGGGTGTTCGGACATTTGGAGAACACACGTTCCTTTTTGGCTTTGGCAGGGGGGGAAATTAGAACCTACTGGGTGAAAAGAGGAACTTGGACAAGCAGACATGTTGTCTTTCCTTTTGGTTCCACTGTAAACCAGCCTCAACCCCCCAACAAAAAAAACAACAAATAGCAAAAAAGAACAGGCCCGGGTGTAATAAGGAAATGTGTACCCATTTGTTTGTTGACGGAGTTTCCCACTGCAGACTCAAGCATCGGACCGGATGGGATCCATTCGCGAGGACTCGGGAGGAGCCCTGGACCTCCGCGCGGATGATGGTGGAGCAGGGGCCCTTGGGTTTTTGTTTTTTTCCCCTTCAGATGGCCATGGTTCAAAACCAATGGTACCATTTTGGGATGGGTGCACCACCCATTTTAGTCTAATTATTTTAGTGGGGATTGGGATGTTCACTGGAGGTACGGGCTTTTGACACATGGCCAGATGGGCATCGAAAAAGGGGGCAACTCATAAAATCCTACTGACCGTTTTCTTGGAACATGCGCATCTGGTTGTTTTTCTGTATGGGAGGGATGGCTCTGATGGCTCTGCGTTTAATCCTTTATCAGCAAATGCAGGGTTTTGGTTTGGAACCCGTGAAACGGAACATCCGTTGCCTCATTGACACTGTTGTCAGTCCACCTGACGCATTACAAGACCTTTTTCCTCGCTGACGCTTGAAACAAGTTCGGATGTTCCAGGAATGTTCCCTGGCCAGACAAGCTTGGACATGCCCTTTTTATGCCAGTCTTCTCACTGTATTATGTTTCCGCACCTCCACCTATCAAGTTTAGTTGCCTGAAGCTGTTTCAGTTTCCTTCGAGCGGAAGGCCCTAGCATATAAATATTCAGAACACCCGCTATAGTCCGCCGTACTTCGTGCGCGCGTTTCGCACCAATTCAGGGGCTGAGCTTTCTCGCAAGCGCATTCAATCCCAATGATTGTAGTCTCAATCTCCAAGCAATCGAAGCTGACCTTTTTTCTTACCACTTGGGAGGTTTTCCTCAGGCTGCGGACGGTTTTGCTCTGTGGACATGCCCATGTTCTCCTTATCTTTCCCACTCTTGCACAGCGCTTCGTAACGACACTGCTCAACTTGTCTGACTTTTTTCTAGCCTTTCTTTCCAAGTTGCGCTGTCCTCCTTAACGTTTTCAGCTTGCCACATTGTTCCGACAAGTTTCAGGAAGCCTTCCTATTGCTGATGCGACTCCTTCGGTTGTCCGCTTGATCTCTCAAGTTTGCATGCTGCGTTGCCTCGTGACACTGTTCTCAGTCCACCTGACGCATTCCAGGATACTTTTCTTCGCTCTCGATATTACTCGCGGGAAATTGTTCGGATGTTCCACGACTGTGCCCTTGTCAGACGAATTGGCATGCCCTTTTCATGCCAGTCTGCTCACTGTATGGATCAGGTTTCTGCACCTCCACCTGTCAAGTTCAGTGTTGTCACATCCGCTGAAGTCTGTGTTACCATGCTTTAAATGGAGTTGTCGCTGGGTTTTCCGTGATTTCTACCTAGTTCCCTGAAGTTGTTTCAGTTTGCCTCTTTTCTGCGAGCCCCTAGCGTGCAAAATTTCAGAACACCCGCTATAGTCCACCGTACTTTGGGCACGTTTCGCACTGGGAGACTCCAGAGTTACGCAAACCTGTTTGGCGCCAGCATCAACCTTGGCAACCCGATTGGAAAACAGTACAAGCTAACACGGATTCCGGTGGCAAGTCAAGTGAAGGCAGGCATGCACCACCTACCATCAGGAAATGTGGGTTCCACATGGGGGCATTTTGTTTTCCTTGGCAACGTTACACGCAGGCCATGAGAACCCTGTGGCGGCTGAAGAAAAAACATGAACCCGTCATGAGTAATCTCTTCCCCTATTAATGAATGACCCCCATTAATAATAGCTGGAAATCCGGGGCCCGGGACCAGATTTCCACTCCGCACAATTGATTTTCCATTGCGCCAATACTAAACCAATACTAAAGTCTTGGAATCCTTATTAGGGGGCTGTCTGGTCTGAGTTTTCTGCCTAGCTGTGCCCTGCTGGCTGACTGCTGGCTGCCTTCCTATCACTGAATGCATGTCTGGCTGTCTTGAAACCCACACTGCCTTCTCGAGCACTGGACTGTCTAGCAGTCAACCAGTAAACTGAAAAACAAATAGAATGATACATAAACATTTCCTTACTAAACCGCTTACTCGCGGACCTTACAATTCAATCCATTTCCTCCAAATCCTATGTGAACCCTCACATTGTTGGAAAAGCAAAAATACCAAATTCCGAAAACCCCAACTAAAAAAAACATCGGGTGGATTTTTGTTTAATTGGGGAGGGGGGGGCCGTATTTATGAATAGGGGGAGCGGATTAGGGTGATTTCAGGAGTCTAAGCGACTGATTTTGGGCAACCACCTAGTACCGCGCTTTGGACTTGCTTGCAGTCGACCTGCAGCACCAAGCCCCAATTCAACCAACCACCTCCAAAAGAAGATCATTGGTCGCCCATGTCCACCTCTGAGGTCCTTCAGGTTAATGCACGCGTAAAGAGAGATGGTTACCACTTGCCCAAGTCCCTTCGCCTTCTTGGGTGTTTCGAAAAGAAAACGGAGCCCCAGGTTGGGGCGTGGGTTTTTCGGCTTCCCTTCCAACCAGACCCAAACGGGGTACCCACAAACATTGCCAGACTTGGCTCGCCTTGCGCGCTCCCTCGATTTCCCTTCCCACCAACCCCCCCCCCCCTTTGGGTTGGAACCTGCCAAGTCGGCGAGTTGAGTCGGCGAGTCGAGTCGATTTGCCCGAGGTGCTTCCTCCAGCGCGGCTTCAAAGCCGACGAGGCCTTCCTCACCAAGGTGATGCCCGCTTTGCCCCCCGAGGCGCGCATCGATGGGGGAGTCAGGGGCCATATGGCATGAGGGCCTAAACAAAAGGGGGGGAAGGGTGGGGGGGGGGTTAATGATTTTATTTGCTTGTTTAAGCAGGTTCTGCTTCTCGAGGGTACGTACCGTCGTAAATTGTGCACAAAAAATCATCGTTGCCTCAGACTCGTGTTCGCCGTGGGGCTTGGCGGGGGGGAAGTGACTGCAATTTGTGGCCGCCCAACAACCAACGCTTCAAACTTTGGGCGAATACTAAACATAGGCAACGGAAAGATGAGCGTCCGTTTTCAATTTTGTTTGACTCTGTCAGAATGGGGCTTTCTTTGAAGCGCAAGGTGGCAGGATCGAGCGTCCTTATTTGTTTGACAACTTGATTGGGCAAAAGTGCCTTGCTGTTTGCTCGAACATTGGAACCACGTGTCCTTTTTGGGATATTATGGCCGAAAATCGATGGGTTCTGGTTTCACTTTGGTTCCTTTCCAGATGCCACAAGCCATCTATATTCCCCCAAAAAAACATAAACATGGGGCTTGTCCAAAACCAACGGCGAGCCCAAGGTGACAGGCGCATGAATTTTTGGGTCACTTGGTCGCTTTTGCTCGGGTATGTGGGTATGATCAAACTTGGTCCTGTAGCCTCTGCAAAGTTTCCGCAAAGTTTCCTTGTTTGTGTCCCCAGAAAGGGGGGAGAGAGGGGGTTTGAGTGATTGCGTGGAATTGGGAGGCAGTGTGTGTCAACCTTCTGTCTCTCACTGAGCACTGTTGCGTGTCCTCCTGCCTCCGCAGTTTCCACAGACGTGCAGACCTTGGCCAAGTGGTTGCACAAAATATGTGTTGCTTTCCACCAGAAGGTGGTCGCTTGAACAGCTCAGAGTCTCAGAGGTGCAGGGGGGATGAAGGATGGGAAGGGTTTCGAGGCAAAGGTTCCAACACCCGAGGTCCAAAAACCCAACTTCCGGTCACGACTCACAACGACCATTCGTTCGACGCTTGAGGCAACCGCCCACGACTCTGGCTCATCTTTAGGTTACAGCCACCCAAAAAGGGGTGCCCTCAACAAAGAGACACCCATGTCCAGCACCCCCCAACAACTGTTTTTTTTGGAGAGAACTTGGGATTTTGGACTTTGGACGTGGCAAAAGCAGCTGTTGGCGGGTGCTGGATTTATCTTGTGGCTCCATGGCATTTGTGGTCCACACTCGCATCGAACCGCTGTTGGCCTCACTCAGGTCCAGAACCTCACGCGCAGATTGGCGGAGGGAGGCCAGTGCGTGGAGTAAATGCTCCGCTTGGCATGGGGTTTCCCCCAGAACGGGGTCCAAAACCGACGGTGTTTGGGTCAGTCTTGATTGATTGACATAGCTCAAGACCAAGTTCAATCCCGTGCAAAACAGAGGCTCCTTTGAAGGTTGATGGTGGGTTCTACATAGATGCAATCAGGAGGGTCATATGTTGAACTGTTGAGCCCTGCTAGATCTCCAAAAATATTGTTTCAGGGGTCCACACCAATTTGCCGGAGGCTACCTTTTGATCAAGCTGAGCGAGCACAGGGGAACCCCTTCTAGTCAAGCGGCAAACCTTGCTTAGCAGGTTGGAGGAGTCGGCAGGGTTCGGCAGAGCATTCAATATCACGGAAATGCGACGGGACGATCTATGGGGCGTGCCTTGTGCAACATCTATTTGCCACCAATTGCCACTAGTTGCCATCATATTTGCCACCCGCCACCAACTGCCACACTTTTTTACCACAATATTTACCACTTGCCATTCGCCAAGTCCATTTGCCGCCATTCACCTTCATTTGCCGGGCCCAAGTACCCTTTGAGGATGATTTGAAGGTCAAAAGGGGTTGAAGTACATGGTTAGGCACTTTGGACCGTTCTCGCAGGCTACCCGCCGCCCCTACCGACACTTCTGACCACCATGCCGGACATGCGGCGTGCGAGCGTGACGGAGAAGTCGCCCACCACGATGTGCGCCATTTGCGCAACCTGCGCGGCTGAGCACTGGATCAGAAGGGGTCACTTGGATTTCGGTGCTCAGATTTGGGGAAGCCCTGAATAGGGTGTTCCATTTAGGCGCCTTTCGTCAGTCTCGGAGCAAGGACATTGCACTGAGTCTCCAGCCATGGTTCTGGCTAAGTGAAGAGGATGATAAACAGCATGTAGTGTCTAGTGGCAAATATTTGGTTGAGTTTTACCTCAGCAACTGGAGGCACTAAGCCTAGCTCCCCCTGAAAGCTTTCGAAGCCTTGCAGGTACGGCCTCGCGCGGGGCCCAGCCACGGGTCATTGGGTCCTCCTTAGATGTTTTGGAAATGGAAGTTGATGCCCTCCCTTCCACATGCACACTTCACTCCCTGAGTTCATGGACTTGGACCTTTTTTGGGAAGACCGCTTTAGTGACACACACACACACACAAAGTTCGCACTATTCTTGGCCCATCCACTCAAGTGAGAAACCCACCAGAGGCTTGGTCCCTTGCAAAGGAAAGTCGTCCAAACCAGGACCCCGAGGAGTCAGGTTCCAATGGATAGGAGGGTCAACGGACTTTTCAGGGAACTCGATTCTTTCAAGACTTTTACCTAATTAGATCCGCTCATCAACTTACGAACATGGGAGGACAGGATTGTCCCTCTAGACCACTTGTAGGGGACTCAATTTGTCCCAATGTCCTTCTGATTTGGGAGGAACCCTCAATGGGTCGCCATTTTGGTTCTGGTCTTGGCCCGCTTGTGCAACATCAATCCTTTACCATGCCAGTTGATGTTACTCGTCGTAGTAGTTTTCCTTGTCTTGGTGTCCCACTACGGAATATAGGTTTCGGCAAATCAGGATCCGCCGAGCTTTGAACGGCTCAGCTTGGGTTTAGTGTTTGAGTGCGCCGTTGATTCCCAGGCTTGGTTGCACAACGGCAGGGCCCTCAGAGGTCGACTGAAACCGCAGGCGGCCGGTGTTTCGGGCAAAGGAGTGGGTATGGCCATTAAGAGCTTATGATCCAACGGGAGGCTTCCATAGACTTGAATTGAAGAGGAGGTTTTTTGTCACATGGATTACATGGGTGTGGCTCAAAATGCGGGTTACGCAGGCTTTGGTCTTTGTTTCCACCCAAGGGGCCATTTTGGGGATTCCATGTTGTGAGCCACAGCCATATGGCGGTCGAGTTGCTCAAGCTCTCACTTTAGCATGTTTGGTGGATGCTGGCCAGCTCCTCTTGGCCCCGCTCGTAGCTCAGACACGAGGCAAGACAAAGCTGTCGAAGACTTTTGCGGAGCCGGCGAAGGAGGGGGGTTCGGATCCCAGCGCAAGGTCCCTGGCTGGTGCCTAGCGGAAATGCCCAGCGGCTTTAGCGGCCATGGCCAAGCCGGCGAAGAATTCGAGCAAGAGTTCGAGCAAGAAAAGCTCTACCATGGACATACTAGATGCAATCGATCTACAGAGATGTACCAAATTCTAAACTTGCGTTCAATAAATCGGTTCAACAGACAAATGGCCGTGGGTCAAAACCAATGGTACCATTTTGGGGTAGGTGAATTCACCACCCAGTTCAGTCTAGTGGGGATTGGTTGATGTTCACTGGGGGCTAATCGATTTGGATTTTGACCCATGGCCAAATTGGTACAGTACCACTAGATCGAGATGTACACAACGCACGCCTCGCAAGAGACTTCGCCTTCCGCAGGATTATTGGCTGCGGCCCAAGGCCATGGAGGACGCGAGCGAGCGTATGGCCTATGGCGTAAGCCGTAGCTTTTCAGGGCAGCTTTTGTTGGAACCCGTCTCCGGTAGTTCTGAGGGAAGCCAAGCAGAACTTCTCCGTTTAGAAAGTTTTTTCTATATGTTTGAGGCAAACTCATGTCAAGAGAATTCGTTCGACTGCAGTGTCCGGTTTTGTCCTTGCCTGCACAAGCACACAGAGCCTCTTTAGAGGACGTGAAGCCGTCCATCGCCAATGCCGCCGACTACATGAAGGCAGGAGAATGAGCATGAGCACATTGGCCCTTCACGTGGCTGTGAATCGTTAGTGGCAACCAAATTGAAACCGGCCAATCGTGTTTGTCTCAAAAATGATACCTCTACAAATGGCCCATTTCAATTGAATACTTCTTGAAACCGGGTCTTTGTTTTCGGAGTGTGGTTTCAATTGAGAAAGCGCCAACACAGAAAAACCCTCAAGTGGTTTCCTGTTGGTTTCTCTTTTGCAACCAAAAAAGAGAACATGCAGGTCCTTTTCAGGTTAGTATAGTTTGGCTAGAAACATATGGCACCGGAGTAGCTGGGTGTTATTTAATTTCATTTGTTTTTTTTACTAACAGGATGGGTTCCATTAGCTCTGTGTTATTTCATTCACCACGGCCATCTATTTTACCAAAAGGACACCTATGAAAGAGAACGGCCTTCCGAACTCCAGAGCGTCAAACATCAGTTACACCAGCCGCGTGCGGCAGCTGGTGTTTGTCGGGGAGTTTTTGGCTGGAACCCATGGTACGGTGTGTCAAACCGTTAAATGCGAATGAGTCAAAATGAGTTGGACCAGGACCCCAAAAGTGGTGGTTTCCTTTTGGTCTCCCTTTTCACCGACCTTAAAAGGGTACCCTCAAAAAAAAAACAAGGCCAAATGTGTGATTTTCTCAAGTTGTTTTGTCCGATGTCAGGAAGCCAAGCCACCTTAGGAGGTACCCCCATCGGTTTTTGGTTCGGAACCCAGGCATCAAGCTGGGTGCGTTGGAGTGGATCCTCCAAATGCTCCCCCCAAAATGGTTGCTTTGAAGGGGTGCCCCGCCCAAACTCATCTCTGGCGAGTCTACAGGTCAATCACCTTCTTTTCCCTGTTTTTTTTTTTTTTTAAGAACCCCTCAAAGTGGTGGGTTTGCAGGGGCGGCGGCGGTTTTTTGGTTCCCTTCGGAGGAGCCTCAGCATGGTCACCCCCCAGAGATCCGCGGAGCTCCAGCCGCGCTCAGGTCCCTTGGAGCCCCGTGCGGAGCGGCTGGGCGGAGGAGGAGGCCTTGGGGCTGGCGTGGGTTCAGGCATTTGTTTCTGTGTGTTTTTGTTTTTCTTTTGGGGGGGTCCCTTTTGGAGGGTATGTGAAAATAATTCCAAAAGGAGACTACCCATTTTGTGAGAGGCTTTGTTGAAGAGGCGAACCAATATCTTGAGCCGCTAAAGGGTTGCTTCAACCAGGGAATGAGTTTGATCGGGGCTTTAGCGATTTAGTAGGTTGATCCTTTGACCATCTTGCTTGGTTGGAATTTAACGATTGTGATTTGTGTCGAACATAACATAACCATCAATTCCAGAAGATGGTGGCTGGACTTGATCAAACTCGTCTGCCGTCATTTTGGTGAAGCCATTTGAGACCCGGGTTCTGGGCCAGCCACTTTCTTGAATGTCACAAACCTTGATAGACCTACACTTTCCTCATGACTTCCCTGAAAGTTCCCCCAAGCTGCCGCCTCAATTTCAGGGCGCCGATTCTCTTCCCCGATTTTTGCTCAGGCGTCACAGCTGCCGGCCATCCGCGTGGTGGTGCTGGGCGCCCCCCGCGCACTTTGGCGAAGCTTGATCGGCGCGCGCGCGCATGCGCGCGGGCTAGATGAGTAATAAGAATTTCTACAGGTTGTGGCCCCATTCTTTTCAACCATGTTTCTTTTCAATCACTAGCTGTTGTTCGTCTGGGGCTTTTGCAGGATTCCTGAAATAGAAGGATCGCTGGAAGAATGAGGAAGCTTCCCTAGAGAACTGATTGATTAATTAATCAATCCATATTTTGAAAGTTACCTTAAAGAAATGCTCGACCCACGTAAGCAGTATTCCAGGAAACATTTGCCAAACTTGTTCCACATCCGAAAAAGGATGACCCTGTCGAGTTTTTGTTTGCTCCTTTTTGGAAGGGTCTTACGTCAGCAACCAATACACGGGTGTCCACAACGAACAAAGTGATCTCTTTTAAACAGTCTTCCTTGAGTTTCCTTTCATGGATGGTTTCAAGGGACACCAGAAGGAAACCAAGGTTTGTAGGACACGGGCGTCCTATCGGGAAGTGATCCCGTGTGTTCTTGAAGGAAAACAAGATGAAGCTTTGGCCGGTGGGTTCAGGAAGGTTCCAGCGGGTTGATGGGGTGGAAACCGAAGGATGCGAACAAGAGAGTGGCCCTTTGAAGCAGCCGCTTTGATCCTTTCAGTGACTAACGCGGGTCTGGGATTTTGAAGCATCCTGTTTGTTGCACGGACCATAACATCTACACACCTTGTTACCCCGCCCCCCCCCTCCCCCGCCATTTTATGCCGGCCAATAGGAGGATTTGTCCAACTTGGGTTCTATGTTGTCACCATTTCATTTGGTCAAAGCTTGTTGTATTCTTTTGAGACACGCCCACATCAATTTTGGGGACTGTTTGAAACGACACCCAGACACCTGCTCCCAGGAAAATAGAGCACAGGCACGCGTGCCTGTGTCAGGAAGGTTCTGCATATTTCTGCACTAGCCTCCTTACAATCATGGGACCTGACAGGAGCTGTTGGAAGACTACAGTCCTTTTGAAAAGGCCTTCTGTCCATTTGCATGATTGTCAAGAGGCTACTCTCCCAAGCATCAGCTGAGGTTGGAAAAAGCAGCGTGGTTCAGGTTCTGGCGGATTATTTGCAAGTGCACTGCGAGGAGGACCGACTCGTTTGCCCTGGACTTTGCGCTGATTCTCCCACGCCATTTCCGAGCATTGAATTCGGAAACCGGCGATTTGCATAGAAGGCCCAGTGCTTCTAGATAGCATTGTCCATGCTAACAGGGGAAGCATCATGCAAGTCCAACAGAGCAAAATCATAGTCAAGCTCTACTGGGATTTGCTTTGGGGTTTTACATTTTAAGGTGCACTATGTTCACTATATACTAAATATCCTGGACTTAGTCACTTTTGGGGAAGACGTTCTTTTCTGGGCCATCTAATCAGTTTCAACGCACCAGCGGCAAGCCCGGATTTCAGGATGATGGGCCTGCATGGCTCCGAGTGGCATTACTGCCATGTTTCTCCGGGAGGGGCGGTCGTTTTGGCTGGACAGTGGGACCTGTTCGCGGAAAAAGTCGCTCCCAAGGAAAAGAATATCGAATCTGATGGGACAGCGTGGTGGTTTTGATTGCTGAGATCAGCAAACCCACTGTAGTGAACTCACGTTGCCAGCATTGTGGTGGTTCCCCTTTGCCACAAATGTTTTTTTCCCCTTGGCGAGTCACAGACATCCTTAGGATCGAAGGCTTCAGGTGCCGGGTCTCATGTGCTGATGTGCTGATGGACGACATCCGCGCCGATGGGCAGTTGGGATGGATGAATTGCCCAGACCCAAAACCCCTGTTTTGGTTTTCCGGAAACCGACGTCTTCAGCTCCGTGGCCAAGGAAACTCCATGTCCGAAACCCGGGGGGTAGAGCAGGGGCCATGTGAGTGTGGCTCAAAATTGAACAGCAGGGGCAAACCGCAGGCTTTGGTCCATGTTTCCACTTACCGCAACCCATTTTGGTGGATTTTGAGCCACAGCCATATTTAGCCAGTGTTGCAAAAGGTGATCCCCTTTTATTTCTGGGTCCTTTTGGGGAACTGAGGGTTGAACCGCCCCCCAACTGGAGCAGGAATTCGTCCATCAACAGTATGGCAGGAGACACATCACTGCGAAAAACACACTGAAAGGGGCACATGTTGAAATGTCAACCAACATTACATTCCAGCCACATCTCAAAGTCGTAGGCCTTCCATTAGCCCTGTTAAGAATATATGTCTTGTTTTGTGCGCTCAGCGCCACAGGAGTCCATTATCCAGGCAATCCTCTCGCAACATGCAGGTCCACTCCCGAGCAATTCCATATGTTGGCTTAGTCATCCACCATAGCCGTGTTTGAAGGGAATTGCGGGCTGTGCCTTGTTTCACCCTGGTGTACCTAGGAGTCCTTTCCTTCTTGATACTAGGGCCATCTACACTTCGTTCGGACGAACATGGAAGCTCGGTACATTGAACCCAGTCTTAAGGGGTCCTAGGAGCTTGCAAGACATGTTCGTCTGGGGAAGGGCATGTTCTCAAAAGGATGCCACCTGGTGTAGTTCCTCGGCCACTCAAAAGCTGTGCTCGAGTACCGGGCAGGAGACTCAGCGACTCAGCCCCAGGTCCCTCGGTGGCTTCCATGGAGCTCTTGCGCCGTTTCTCGAATTCTGCATCTCGGCCCCGGAAAGACTCAGCCTTTTCGCTGGTGAAAAGCAAAAAACAACACGAGGCATGGCAAGTCCGTGCCAAAGAGCTCACTGACCTGTCAATTAGAGGCGGGTAACCCCAGGGCGTCCCCTTGGTGAAACCCGTTTCTGAGACCAAAAGCTCCGATACTTCTTCCCTGTGAGTTTCCCTTCCAATCGAAAACGGCTTGAAGGTTTCCTTTAAACAAACACGCGGGTGTCCGTTGCTCCCTGTTTCCCCAGAAGTCTTCAACCCTTCCAAAACAAGATGTGGATCACTGGCAACCAGGTCCAACCAGAAAGAAAGGGTGGGTGGTTCACTAGGAAATTTGAGAGGTGGTGAACCCCAACATCCGGGCCCCACTAATGCCTTTGTATTCTTGGCATTTAATTCAGGAGGGTATTTGTTGCAGGATTTTTCTTCGTTTTGTTCACCCTTTCATTCACCCAGACTTTCAGGAGATGGCCCCAACCTTCCTTCACTTTCTCGTCCGCAGCGCCAGGTCCCAGGGCGTTGGCCTACCTCAGGCTCTCCAGTGGTGCAGGCGAGTCGGATGGACTGAATGCAAAAACTGCTGGGGGTCGTCCGATGTTTTCTTCTCGCCCGCGAGTTGGGTGGCCCACTGAAAAAGTCACCCCCCCTTCCTTTGAATGTGGGACCCAACATGGATTTCGGAGTTTTCCCATGGTTGCCCTTCGAAGCCGCCAAAAAGGGTACCCTCAAAGACACGCCTATTGCCATGGCTTTGCATACCAGGCACTCCCAAGGCTTGGGTTGTTTTTTGGAACACAAACATGTGGGGAAACCAAGAGCCCAGCGTGCAATTATTATGTTCTTAATGCCTTCTCACATTTTTGTTTTAACGGAGGGGAAACCAGGCCAATGCTCGCTTGAAGTGCGCATGTTGTCCAAGCATCCGTTTCTGACCATAATTTTAGGAAATGGCCTGAACTGGGGGTGGCGTTTTTTGTTGTTTTTTTGTTGATGCATACCCCAGTTTGAGTGAGAAAATCAGGAGGACGCCCCCATGTGACCCGCATGTCAACTTTGGTGCATCTTGCTTGGATGTTAGGACTTTAACTTGTTGGCAACTAATGGATTTTCAATTAAACCACAACAAGTTAAACTTTTAGCAGGGGAGCAGAAAGCAACCGAGTCAAATCGGCCAGGTCTGTTTGTGGGATACCACCTCAACCTTCTCTCCGCTGCCCTACCTGGTGACGGATCCGGATGCAGCCACAGCCCACCACCCAGAGACGGATCACGACGGACCCGAAAGAGAAACAACAGAGTCGGACCATAAGAATGTCACATGTTTCCTTTTAGGTTTCCTTTTTAAAAGGTAAAAAGGGGAGCGACCATACTGTGGATGGACGGAATCCTGGCATTTACAGGGGAATCATCATTCCAGGGTTACTTAGGTGGTGCAGGAGTTCGTCCATCCACAGTAGGTGGCTTTTTTAGGCGAGTTTGGTCAGAAGCAAATTGGTTCCACTGGTTTGGATTGCTTTTTATTGCTTTTGCCAGGGCCATGGATTTTTCCAAAAGGTCTGCGTGAGTTATAAGAACCTCACACGACCTCACCCCAGATGGTGGTTTATGTGGGGAATAGTCCCGCAATCACCTTATTTCAGGTTGGTGACATATTACAATTCACCCCCAAAAGGTCACCTGAGCCACAATCAAAATTCGGGCAGATGAAGGTTAGTAAGGGGCAGTCCCAGCCGGAAGTAGTTGCGGCCGCCTTTCTACTTCTTGAAGCATGGTTCTGGGTTCACCATTTTGGTACTCACCCTATGTATACCGGGTTGATTTATGGTTTTGATTGTGACTCACCTATGGGTACCAACTCGGGGATCAAATCCGCCCAACCCTCCCCAGCTCCCAGTTTGCGGTGGCAGTGGTGGACAGCTTCGGATCGGCGGAGACATCGGACGCGGTGGCCATGGCGCAGAGATGCCCGGAGTCTCAGGACGGTTGGGATTTTCAAGTGGTAGGGTCTGGAATGCCAGGCTTAAAAACACACGCACACACACACACACACACACACACACCCACGCACGCACGCGCGCGCACGCCCACGCCCACGCCACGCCCACGCCCACGCCCACGCCCACGCCCACACACACCCCCACACACACCCGCACGCACGCACGCACGCACACGCACGCACACGCACAAACACACGCACGCACACGCGCACGCACACGCACACGCACACGCGCGCGCACGCACACGCGCATGCGCACGCCCACGCACACGCGCACGCGCACGCGCACGCGCAGGCGCACGCACGCACACCCACCCACCCACCCACCCACCCACACACACACACACACACACACACACACACACGCTTTTTGTCCTATTGGCAGGTAGGGTTGTTGTTTTCGGTTTTTTGAATGGCAGCTTGTAGTAGTTGGGTTTTGAAATGATTTTTACATGGCATGGTATAACGGCAGTTCTTCTCCAATGTCAGGCTTTAGAGGCAGGTGCTAATGGTGTCCTGGCCTGGTGAATGACCTGCATGAGGGGTTGGTATCCCCACAAGCTCTACGTATATAAGGGCAGGGTATCTCCCTTCCCCAGGCACGGTCCCTGAGCGGGTAGTATATAGGAAAAATCGTCAGTGGCACCTTGAGCACAGGGAGTCAGGCCGAAGGTTTCAGAAGGATCCCCGCAGCTTGTTTAGCAAGGGGCGTGGCCCTTGAGATTTCTTTCCTGGCACCATGTTCCCGTTGTGGGGAGGACATAGAGAACTAGGCAACCCCCCACCACACCTCTCCCTGTCAAAGTGGTAATAGTGAATCAAACTGGGCGTGCAAGATTGGAGGTTGGTATTATGGTTGTCCCTTGACAAGAAAACCAAAAACGGGGTTGTTTTGATCAAGTCCTTTCGGCACCGATTTTTGCCCTTAGAGATGGAACACGCCATGCTCTTGTCATCACCAGCGCTTCACCAGGTATGTCCACAGAAGGAAGCGTGTCAGCGCCCAGGCGGGTTCAGCGCAAGGGTCGAGCAGAGATGTGCATTACATACTTATGTTCCTTTTGCAAGGCTCATTCTCGCTTTGTAAGAGGTGACTAACTTCCCTAATTCTTCCAGGCATTCTTCTTTCCAGAAAACCACCGACAACCCGCGTGAAATGCCTGGTGTGCAAATGACATACGATGGTTGAAAAGGACGGAGAGGAGACGCTTATAAACTGAGCCCCTTAGGCTTACAAAGCACCAAGATCAGCTTGTGACCTGTACAAGTAGTGTATAAGGCTCACAGCCCCAGAACCCATGTAGAACATGCCCAACTTTCCGCTATCGGTCACGTTCTGATTCTACCAGAGCCGACCAGGGAAAGCCAAGGCAAAATATCATAAACCAGGCAAGGCGGGCAAGCGCCTGCAGGCGAGCCTTGGTGGTGGAGAACTGCTTTAGCGGCGGTGCCAGCCACATGTGGAGAGCTCAGGGATGTTCGATCTGCTGGAGGCTTTCGTTGCTTACCCCAGCATGCAACCCGCCCACATTGAGATCTGTTCCAGTCAAGATCCGCTTTTTGGTTGTCATTAAGATCTATTCCAGGAAGCGGCTTGCTGAATCCGAGCGATTCTCAGAACCTTGCGGGTTCCATTTTCACTCTTGTCACTGGGTCATCACAGGTAAAGGAAATTACTAGACGGTGTTGTTTCGTAGCACACTTGAGGCAGACGCCACAGTTCACAAAGGCTCATAAATAAGTGTGTCACAATAGTGATTTGGACCGGAACACGACATACGTGTTGGTTTTCCTTTTTGAATCTTTTGGTCTCCCGTCAAACCAACCCAAAAAAGGTTACCCTCCAAACATCACGCCCACATGTCGGGCTCCAGTCCGTTGGCCAGTCAGGGCCCACGAGAGTTCTTTTGGAACGTCAGGCATGCCTTTAGGCATTCAAGTTTTCGCAATTTGCTCCATGGAATAATCACACATGAGATTGGAATACCAACGTGGGCCTGTCTTCGTTTTTGAGGGGACCCTACAAGTGGTGATTCTCCTTGTTGTTTCCCGTTAAAACCACCAAAAAAGCTGTTCCCCCCGCAAAAAAAGACACGCCCATGGGTCCACTGTGTTGGCAGCTCAAGGAACGCAACACCAGCTCTCGCTTTTCAGGCCGGACAAGGCCCTGGCAACGATCCAATGCAGCGTGATGAGCGAGGCTCCACTTGGGATTTGGAGGTCCATGGACGTGTTCCGTGGTTGGGGGGAAATAATCGTTGTCTTTTAGGTCAGGTTGGAGGAACATCGATAAAAATATCGCATCAGTTTGGTTCGATTTGTTTTTTTTACCTGTTGGTTTTGAAGGGAATCTATCACTAGTGGAAATAGGTTTTTTCCCCGACAGCTGGAAGCTTTGGGGCCTCAGCCCAGACAGGCTCCGGGGTGGTCCGGGGCGGCCCTGAGGTAAGGTTCCACGAGGGTTCCACGAGGTTCTGCGAGGGCTGCGGGCTGGTGTGAGCACTAAAAAGAGCACCGCACGCTGTTGGGGATATCACCTGAGCTTTTTTTCCCCCCCCTTGTTTTTTTTTCGCGGGGACTTAAGCAAATTGAAGTGGACATGTTCCGTTTTAGGTCAGGTTTGAGGCAGATCGATCAAGCTGGTGTCTTTTTGGCTCGAAACACCCGTGACTTCCATTTCAGTCCAACACACCCGTGACTTCTATTCTGCGAGACCAGGGACCCCCGTGGCTGAGCACTCGAGGTTGGTTTGTGGTTTGACACGACTCAATGTGTTCCGCACCCTTTCCTCGTTGTCTGCTGGCTTCCCGAATGGGAATGGTCGAGCCAAAAGACTGGTTCCCCTTTGTGCTGTCGTTGGGTCATTGGGTATGTGGGATTAACAGCATGCCGGTGTGTCGTGCTCGGCAACCCTATGGGTGTTTCATAGAAGAGACCTACGACTGGCCAGGTTTGTTTGTTTGGTTTCCTCGAACCACCATCTAAAAAGTGGCTCGCTGGTGTGTGTTTGCGAAAATATAAAAAAATATTGGTTGGTTTAAGCGACATCAAAGGCGGAGGCCAGAGAGAATATCCAAAAACAACGAGAGCAAGATGTGGCTCAAAAGATCGGAATCGGAGCCCTTGTTATGGGTTCAATGGAAAGCCAAAAAGAGACCAACCACCTAGAGCCCCTCAATTTGAGACACCAAAAGGGCTCTGAGGCTTCCCGGACACCCTCGCCATGCCAGGAGGGGCAGAGCAACTTGAAGAGAACGCCGCGGCCCCCAGAAGAAAGACTGGATTCGCGATGGTTTTGGTGTGGCAGTGTCTCAAATGGATGGCGGATTTCCTGTTGGTTGCCCCTTAAACCACCCTCCCACAATACCCTCAGAAAAACTACAGTTCCCCTTGAAGGCGATAGTTGAAATCCTACTTCCTCTCAGAAACGCTTGTGTTCACATGTCCAACTTTATGGGTGACCCACGGCTTTTTCGCCAGGCAGAGTTTCATTGGTGTCTCAGGGCATTTTGGCGCATGTGGGTGGCCATTTTTGGTCCAGGATTTTCGCATTGGCAGATGTTCTGAGGCAGTGAAGAAATGTAAGGTTCCGGTTGAGGTATGGGTCCCGTCGCTTTCTTCACCGCTGGCAATGCATCTCTATGCGCACACCGCGACACGGAGCTATGAAGCCATCAGTTGCCGACAGGTGGTAACCGCTTTCTGAGGTTTGGGAAGATGATCGCAGAGATGGTGGGCCAGATCGAGGCTGAGTTTGTTTGTCGCAACTGAACTCGGCTTTTGGAACTCAAAAGCGCCAAAGCATCCAGTGTGGCTCAAAAAATGGGCCCAAAATGGAACCCTGGTAAATGGAAAAGTAGACCAAAAGTTGCGGTTTCCTGGTAACCTAAAATGTTGTGCCAAGTAGTAGGAACGGCCAAAACATCGGAACTCGGCAGCCCAGCATAAGCTTACCTCCTGGAATTGTTACCTGTGTGTGAATTTCCACATATTTCCCCTAACCTGCAAAACATCAACCGGCAACACATCAATTGGAGCGTAACGTTTTGTAGGGGCCCAAGTCTGGCCTGCTGGATGGATTTCAGAAGCGCTGCGTTCAAATGATGGCTGGCGACTGGTGAAGGTGCTTTGAGTAGATCCTGTCACAAACGAGACATTGCCAACATACGGTTCTGCTTTTGCAGGGAGGCATGTGACGGCAGCCTTTGGCAACTTCAAGTAGGTTTGCCTCCAAACGGGGGACCCGAAATGGGTGGTTTCCCTTCGCTCCCCTTTAAACAGCCCGAAACCAAGACGCAGAATCCGCCTTGCAAGGGTGCAACTTGGAACCAGGTTTCTCTGAAGCCGGGACCCCCCTCTCAAAAATGGGTTGTTTTTAGATTGTCTTAGCCACTCAAGGGCTTCTTTAGGCACCAGATACCGTACTGTTGGCCAGCTTGCCCATGGGAATCTACTATGTTGCCCTTACTCCAGGAAAGTGAAGGAGGGGCGTCTAGTAATATGTAACTTGCGATTTACCCCCTCCCCCCTCCCAAATGTCAATGTCGCCGCCCAAAGCAAAAACTGCAAAGCGCCAGGCCCGCGCGGAGGCCTCCCGCGGGGAGAATTCCTTTGGCGCTCTGGCGCAGTGCGGCCAGGCGGGAGGCGTCGATCCGGCTCCGACCTGCCCACGTTGCCTCCGCTCCTGGAGCCGACTTCAATAGTTCTCAGTGATGTGGTCATAGGTGTCCTTGTTGGTTGCTTTGCTAGCAATATAGACGGCCCTGGTTTAGCTGGTGGTTTAGTCATCTACCAGGGCCATCTATTCCCCCTAAAAGGACACCTATAGATGTGAGGCGTTTTGTGATTTCAAGCCACCCCTGCGCCACCACCACCCAACTTCCCTCTTTCCCACCTTTCTATTTCACCATCGGGCGGTGCTTTGGAGTTCTCACGTGTCAAGCCGGGATTGTGATTTCGGATTGCCAATTTAGGCTGATGTACTTGTTGGGGAGCCAAAAAGAAGCAGAGGCTTTGTGCCTGTCTCTATTTTTGGTGGTTGCTGCTTTTTGGATTTGTCACGGAAAGGAAAGGGAACCCTAGCCGTGAGCCCCATGGCTCTTCCCATACTTCTGGGATGCTTACTCTCTCATAATGGATGTCCACTTGGTCCAGGAGTCCGGGTTTGGTCCTGTGACACTAATTGGGAGAGCGACGAATCTTGTTTTACCGCCCTAAAGTGCCGTTGCGAATGAAAGCTGTGATGTCCATTGGTCTCGTTTCAAGACAGATCTGCATGGACATGTGTCCAAAGATCGGTTATGCTTGTGGCTAATTCTCCGGCATGTCCTCCGCAATCTTTGTCCCGAGCAGTACTCCTGTCATGCTACATGTAAGAGGTGCATTGTGGCGTTTGGAGTGCATGCTGTGATTGTCCGAATCCGAAAGCATCCTGCCCTTGGAGGTCATCAAATATTTGTGAAAGCTATACCGAGCTCACCTGGGGCAAAACGAGCTCACCCATGATAAAGTCCCCTTACTTGGGGAGCATTTATCTCCAAATTGTATTTGATAATTATAGTACTTTGCCCAGAGATATCTCGACCGTGTCAGTCAGGCTTGCAAATTTGGATTGGCATACTTTTCTGCCAGACTTCCACCCAGATTTACCTTCAAGGTAGATCAATAATATAAATATATATATATATATGGACCTACATCTCTAGGAAACGCTTTGGATGCGGCGTTTGTGGCTCTACCCCGGTAGGATCAATTAAAAGAGTACTAAGCGACTTACTAAAAGATGACTAAAGAAAAGGACCAACAAGGATAAGAACAGGGGAATCCGCAGAGGCACATCCAAGCCGTTTTTTGGAACACCCCTCAAGCGAGGGGTCAATCATTCTGTTTCTCCCAGGGCGACTTTCGCAGCGTAGGGGCCTTAGCCGCTTGCGATCGGATCGGTGAGCGTCGCTCTTTGGATTCTTTTGGTGGTGCTCAGCAAGGAATGAGGGAATGACTCCCTGTAAACCATGTCTTACATGGTTTCCTTTAAGGGGCCCGCAGGTTCATTCCTTCATTCCCTACTCAGCACCAGCAAGTTCTTGATTTTGGTTGGTGTGTTGGTTGGTTGGCTGGCTGGCTGGTTGGTTCGTTGGTTGGTTGGTTCGTTGCGGATAGACGATTTAAGACGTAGTTGTGTTGGGCTTAATTAGTCCGGTTTGGTAGAGTCTTGGGCCTCTCTTTTTGGGGGAAGCCCCCTTTGGTTTTAGTTGAGAACCACATGGCAACCAAAAAGAACTCTTGGTCATCCCCGAAACGAAGCGAGCGAGCCCCACCAGAAACACGGGGGGAACCCACACGCCACGCCCACGAGTCATCGCGCAGACTCGGAGTGAGGTCCTGGCGAGGGACACGGCCTTCCCCTGCAATGCCCGGAAGCCCCTGGGGAAGCGAGCCCTTGCGTGCGCCCGGAGAACGGACGACGGATGGATTCGCGACGACGGATTTTCGCGGGGATTCGCCGAGCTTTTGGGGCGGGGAGGTGGTAAGCATGAGCTGGTGAGAGGGTAAAATACGGAAAGGCAATACCCACCAGTCTCAGCTTATGTTTGAGCGACCTGCCACAGACTTTCTGGGGGTTGCGCCCAAGGCGAAAAACTGTCAAACAGACGCTCGAATGTCCGAGAGAGAGAGAGAGAGATAGGCCTGGTGACGCCTCTGAAGCTCCACCCATACAAGGGTATAGAAAAGTTGGTGCTGTGTGGTTGTTTCCATTTTCCAGTTTATTATGCTTCTTGCAGGGCGTGCGAACTGATTTTTGCTTCTTATTATCATCCCAAAGGCATTCCTGTTAAAACTTATTTGGGCCACATGTTTGGCCTGTGTTAATGTCATCCACGCTCGTGGGGAACCCGGGGTCCTTGACGTTTTTTTTTTTGGTGGTTAGCATCACCTTGTGGGTCCAATGTCAAGCGAATTTATCCTTGGTAGGAGTGAGGGGTGCTGTCTGAAGGGGAAGGGGACACCCAGTACTGCCAGTACTGCAGTCGATCCCGGCCTCTGCGGGATTTCCAAGCAAAATGGCATCAACCGACTCAGCAAAGGGGTCCAGTCTTTATCCGTTTGGGAAGGCAATTTGAGCGGCAAGCAGCATTTTTGGACATGTTTGGCCAATCTCAGGTGGCCAACTATGAAGTGGAGCCACTGGGTCATAGTATGCTTTTTGAGGCTACCCCGTTTAAGGGTGGTTTGAAGGAAAGTCAAATGGATTCCTTTGGGATCCTATCGGGTCGCCAGGGAGGAACTTCTTGCCAGGTACCGCCTGCGGGGGGACTCCACCTACGTGGACCCCACGGTCGATCTGGCCGTTTGGCCCGGGGGGGTGATGGATCCACAAACAGAGGCCTACCCTTGTGGAGACAGGAAGGTCCCCCCCCCCCAAATGTGGCGTCATGTCATGTTGACCCCACTTGTGCTGAAGCGGTCCCTTTTCGTGGGGAATTCTTCCAGGGCACCTATGTGATTGGTAGTTGGGGGGGGGTTATTTCGATTCACAAACACCAAGATGAGGGGGGATTGGTGCCCTCGAATACTTTCACCCACTTGCATATACCTGTTGCAGCTTCATGTCACCAAAAAAAAACACAGAACACGCACCAGCTTGGCTGACAAGCGGGCTCTTTTTTTGCAGCCAATTGACAAGACATGCTGAATGATTCAAACACGAGAAACTTGATCAGGGGTCAACATGAGTTGTTTCTGAAATGGAGACAGGGAGGTCCCTCCAAAAGGAAAGCCTCGCAGCTTTGATTGGAGGCTTTGGTCAGCAATCTGAGACCCCCAAGCGGCTTGGCAAGGCAGTCTTTTGGGGGGGGGATGTCTCCAAAGGGAACCCCCCAAATAGTGCAGTTTCCGGTCGGTTTCTCTTTTTCAGCCATTCTGAAATGGGTACCTTCGCCTCAAAACGGCAGACCATGGAGAACTTGCTCGAACGGCCCACCAGTCGGCTGGTTGGTAGGGGTTCAAATGTTTGGCCGAGTTTCCCTTTGCCTACTGCTGAGTTTCCTTTTGGCACTTTTATCACCTGGTGGGGGCTGGAAAGAGAATACGGGACCGGGGGCGTCGAAAATCAGTGGGCCAGGCGGCCTCTATCGCCTGGGCGGCAGTGTGTGCTGCACGCAGTACCTTGCCCCAGGACATCGGGTTGGGTCACACACATGCAGTTGAGTGTTCCTTTTGTGTTTGGACAAATCCAAGTGAGGTGTCCAATTTACTTTGAGGCATACCCATATATAGCTATTGTATTTGAGAACATCCCCCAAAAATGCTTGGTGGACAGAAAGCAGACCCAGTTCACGCTTTTTGGTTTCATCCCCTTACCCACGCAAGGGATTTCTCGCGCAAGATCCTTGGCTCTCCGCCATTGTCCATGCCCACTCTCCGCGCCCCACACCCCCTAAAATATCTTGACTGGTATACGTTCTAACAAGATCACTGGGCAAGTGGGTCTATGGGCCAAAGGGGGACTGCGGCAGTCGGTCCCAGTTGTTCATCCCCGCACTAAGCAGTGTATGTAAGAATGTCTCTCTGTGGGTAATTTGTGGGTACTTACCAGAGAAACGTAGCCGGCGGGGCCTATGTTCTCCAGTTGCGGGTGGGAATAGTAGCTATGTCGATACCCTGGATGAGTAAACCCGTTGCATCAATCGGGCATTTACTTCCAACAATGAGGTGTCCCCACGAAAAAGGGGATACTTCCAATAAATTAAGCGGAGGTTCCAAAGTCTTGGCTTCCCTCCCCTTTCTGAGGCCCCTGATTTCTAGTTGGCCCCTTTACACCGCATACCACGGAAGCTGCCCGCTTAGCCATTGGGCAAATCAGCAGCTTGCGTTGATCCCCACCCGGCAAGGATCGTTTCTTCCCGGACAGACGCAGAAAGACGTTCAGTTTTTTCCAGCGTTGAGAGGGGTTAATGCACATCCCGGTAAACGTTTAACTTTTGGAAGGGGATCAACAGTGAACCCCAGTTGACCATTCCAGTTGATGGTGCTAATTACCCTTCCTGGTTTCATAGGGATGATGAGTTATAAGAACACCTGGTAGAACCAAAAGCCATATGATTTGGCCCAGGCATTTTGCAAGACATTGGCCCCTTGCCGATGGTTGGTTTCCTCTTGGTTTCTTCAGGCAAGAAGGGTGACCATATTTGAGGCCCAATCTGATTTCATCTGCTTCACACACACTCCGTAACATACCCTTTGAGCATTCCCTGGAACTTATGAACATAATGCTCAGCACGGGAGTGGTGGGATATGCTTGGAGCAGTCATGGTCGACCCCCAAACCCCCAACGTGTCCCTTTCCGCCAAGGCAGTTTTCGTAGTTGCAACTGGCGCGTCAGGGGCCTGGACGTGTCCCTCAGGGGATTCGTGTCCTGCTTTTTGAGCCCTCCCCTTTGCTGCGAACAAGTTCCCCCCGTGAAATTATTGGTTTCTTGTGGTCCCTTTATAGGCCATGCAAACACAGGGGGGCACCCATCTAGTTTGTCCCTGCTTGTGGACATCACTTGCATGGAGATCTATGTCCATCAACCACTTGAGAGGTGTTCCACGTCAAAAAACATAGCCATCTTGGTTGGCCACTTGCTGATATCCAACAACATGTTGTTTCTTCTTTTCTTCTTTTTGTTTATTACCAGGGCTACTGGTTGCAACTGGAGCAATTGACAAAATGAAAGGTTGGCTGCAATAAAACGACGTTTGGTTTCCTTTTGCACGCCCCCAAAGGCCCAAGGCTTGTACCAGGACGTCTTCACCCGACACGTTCTACCAGGGTTTGGGCATGTTTGGGCCTCTGATTTCACCAATCTGTCCGCACGTTCCGATCCGAACGCGCAGGAGGTGCAGCACTTGACGGGCAGCAGCCCCTCCACCAGCAGTTGGCGCATGGCGCTCGTGTCCCAGGAACGTCTCGCGACGGTGCTGGAGCTAGGCCATGGGGTCGATGGGTGAAGTGATGGGATGGGGTGGGGTTGAAGAGGGTGTCCACCCTGGAGGGGACCCTCCTTGAGCCATTGTGTTTTGGAGCCCCAAACTAAAAGATTCTCGGAGATGTCGGGGCCTTCGCTGCCCGTGAAACAAGCTTGGACCCCAAAACGCGTTTTTTTCTTAGGCGGAATGAGTACACTTGTTGATGGAGGCATCACATACAGAAACACTAATTTGGGGCTGGGCGGGGGGAGGCTGGGCTTGTGTTTCGGGAAGATGTGGAAGCAAGAGTTGAGAGGCCGAAGAGGACCTCTTCAAACAAGTGTTTGTGGTTGGTTGCCAAGCGCTTTTGGATTGTGTGATGGGTAGCAAGCAGTGCAACTTTTCTATGTAGCTATGGCAGGAATAGCAAACTGGCTGGGTCTTGAAATAGGTGATCCCACCTAGTGCTTTCCCCCCTTTGGTTTGCCTTCAAAGCAACCCCAAAAGGGCGCCCTCGCAAACAGAACCCCCCCGAATGCTCTTCCGAAGCCTGAGATTTGGCAGCGCCTCTCAATAGAGTTGTGGGAAGACTTAGCCTTGAAATTTTAATTAGTCAACAACAGTGGCCATTCCCCAATGTCACAGTGGCTATTCCCACCCTGCCTTCCAGAGTATTTGACCAGCTGACACACACACACACACATGCAACATGAATAGCCTATCGACTCTGCAAGCATAGAACTCAAAGGTGTGGGTCAAAATGATAGGCACCCAAAATGCAGGCCTGGCAAATGGAGTGAAGGACTCAAACCTGTGGTCTGGAGTTGTGACCCCATGCCCAACTCATCAACCCGAGCCGGAGACTTCATGGCCTCCCGATTGATGAGTTTTCGCTCAGGGAAGTTCTCCCACTGCCATTTGAGGTGCCAAAATGTTTGGTAGTCGACTGGAACCATTTGGGGTTTGGGACATCGAGCTCAAGATTTTACAACACAAACCAGGGGACTTATTAACGGTCCCATGTCCTCTTGGGAATCCTCCGTATTTTGGATCGCGGCTCAAATTATGGAAAAGCAACCATGTTTGAGCAATACTTAATCTATTCCTCTGGCAATGTATTCGTCATATGCTTCTGTGCATTCGGGGGGGTTGGTCCCCTTTCCTGTTCAGCCATTGTTCTTTTCAGATTTCTGCCGGTGGCGTTCTGCACAGGATTTCCTGGAAGGAATGTGGAAGTCACTGCCTGCAGATGAACAGGGAACCCCAAAAAGCCGTCATCTCTAGAGGAATGTCCACTTGGGGACCCTTGTTCTGACCCTTTCCCGCGATTTTGGAGGTCCCTTTAGCACCCACCAAAGGCGCCTTTTCCCAAGCCCGCGCAGGCCACGGTCGGCAATCCTCTGCCTGGGCCCCAGTTGGATCTTGGGCGCCTTGGAACGAGGTACGCCAATCTTTGGTGTTGGTTTGGAGCTCCATTCGTGTTCACGCCATTGACATCATTGATGGTTCTCCTCCATATAACCTGAGGGCAGTGCAAGCTAGCTGTGTGAAACAAGGAATCCTTGGTCCAACTTGAAAACAGAAGTCGTCACTGGCATTGGAGGAGGTTGGCTACTGTTGACAGGCGGCGATGTGTCCAGTTGAGTTGGGTTCAGGCTGGAAGAGGCATGATTCATGATGTGTCATGATTCAAACGCAGTGCCGAGCACCTGCCAAACTTCAGTTTGTGAACCCAGGATAGAACTGCCACGTATGAGCCATTCACCTTTCTGAAGACATATGAGGTCAGCCCCAACTGTTCCCCGAGTGTTCAGCACAGCACAAAATACCCCAGGTTTCGGCTCGTCTTGTTTGGAGGGTGCCCTTTTTGGGGTTGTAAAGGGAACCAACAGGAAAACCGTTGCACCATGGGTGAAAGGAACACCAACAGGGAAAGCAAAATCAGTTTTGGGCTCCGATTCCTAAAAACCAATTCGCGGCCAAAGATCGGACCCGAGGCGACCTTGCAGAGGGCACTGCTGGACCTTGGCCTGATTTGCCCCAGACCCAGGAAAGCGCAAGAGTGGCCTTGACAAAAGGCCGTTGGTCGGAGCCATCCAACCAGTGGCCCTTGGCAAGCAAGGGAAATATCCAAGTGATGTCCACCCCCCCCCCCCACAAATTTATGTATATATATATATATGGTGATGTCCCCCCTTTTTTGTTCCTGTTCAAACCACCAAGAAAAGGGGTACCCTCCAAACAAAAACACCCACATGAGTGGCACAAGAAAACCATCTTGCTTCGATAGGCAGGGCATGAGCAAGTTTACAGGATTTTTGGTTGCCCAGTGGAAGCAGAAGCTATCTTGTAAGAGTGGAACGGTGACCTTCCGATGTTTTTTTCCTGGGGGATCCCTATGTAGGTCAGGGATCACTCCATTCCCTCTTTATGGACCTTCAACACAGTGACAGTTTTGGTGGAACCCATCCGTAAAAAATGATCAACTGGAGGGGAAGTCCATGGACCCCTGGTATACTGTGAATGAACACAATCCTGCATCACCTAAAGGGTTCTGGAACCATGATTCCATGTAAATGCCTGCAGGATTCCGTGCATCCACAGTAGGTTCATTCCCAAAACCTTTACCTCTCCTATGGTTGTCAAGGGTGGCCCCAATCCCAATAGGGGCTAGCGACAAATAAGGTCTGTTGGGGGGTAATAGGTGTCTAGGAGCTTTTTTAGGGTTTTTTGCGTTTCGGCCCCGGACAACCATAGGACCTTTGATGTGATTCCCTGCCCAGCTTGAGCCGAGGCCCTGTTCAAGCAGTGGACTCGCCTGGCAGTGTGCCGTGCTCAGCGAATGGATGGATGGGCCTGCCTGAGGGGGGGAAAAGGCCACTGGACAGGGCCCAGGATTGATTGCCAGATGTAAAAACCCGTCATGTGGTTTTGTTCAATGGTATCCCCCATGCGTCATGTTTTGTTTGAAGGAAAACCAACAGTAAGCCCCGTTCTTGTGGGTCTCCACTAAAAGACGAGCCATGTTCCCCGACGTTGACTTCAGAACCGGGACCAGGGACCTTGGAGCAAAGGCGACTAAACTTGGACAACCAACTTAGTTTGAGGATTTGGAAGCCAAATGGAAGGCCAGCCTTAGCTTAGGGGAAACCTGCTGAGCTCAGGTTCTGGTGCCGGACTTTGCGGAGCGGATGAAGCTAAGTGCGGCCCTTGGATCTGCCCAAGCCAAATCAACCTTTGCTTCGGCCATGATATGGCTGTGGTTGTCAAAACCAATGGGATCCCATTTTGGGGTAGGTGCACAACCCATTTTGGTCTATTTTAGTGGGGATTGGGATGTTCACTGGGGGTACAGGATTTTGACCCATGGTAATATCAACCCCTGACTACAAACCGCGGAGAAAACGGATTGAAGGGAATAGCAGCCAAAGACTCTGGACATTTCCACAATGTGTCAACCCCCGACTAAGAAAGGATGTGCTAGACCATGAAAGAAGCCGTTAGTTTCCACATGTACCCCTCCCCCCCTTAGCCCCTCCCCCCCCCCACCCAGAGGCAAAAGGAAGACGACAAACAGAGAAAAATAAGGATCAACCCTCGACTAAGAAGGATGTACTAGACCATGAAAAAAGCCGTTTGTTTCCACATGTACCCCTCCCCCCTGAGCCCCTCCCCTCCCCACCCAAAAGCAAAGGGGGGAACAATTCTCTTGGGATCCATGGCCAAGGGGAGCCCTCATGGAAGGCGACCCAACTTAGATGCAGCTCTGCTCTGTTGCCCAGTGGGTTGCTTCCTCTTTTCGTTTTTGTTGGTAAGTTACCGGTCCCCTTTAAACTCAACCAACAAAAGGAGTGCCCTTTTTTTCCTATGGAAATCCACTGGGCATCTGAGTAAGCAATGGTGGGGTATATAGACCCAATCGTTGTTTTCCTTGGAACCCCAGCGGCGATTTACGGAAACCGCGTAAGGGGGGTAGGCTCCAGACCCTCGCAACTTGGGTGATTGATGGGCGTACTAGTCAGTTCGGATCCCAATTTCTTCGGTTTTTTGGGGGTGGGGAAAGTTTTAGCTCAAGCCACGCAGGGCCCATATTGAAGTACACTCCCTCAGGCTAACATGGATTATCCAAGAGGGCCTTTGTAAATGGAACCAAGTCTTCCCAAGGCGTCCACGTTAGTTTGGGGGGATGTAAGTGTGTGTGTGTGTGTCTGGAAAAACCAGGGCTGGCTTCCTTTTCAAGCACCCATATTTCCAAGGCAAGGCTCTGGTGCAGCAGATGCTTGACGCAGCCTCGCAGGCGGATCGAAACATGCGTTGGCGGCTCCACGTGGCTGATTTTTTGTAGGGCACCCCACCCAAAATTAGTTGACTGTGAAGAAAGGGACATGTTGGTAGGGGCCCAGCTCGAATCTTGATATGGGTGTGTCGTTTTTTGGGAGTACCCTCCACGTAGATACTTAATTAAGGCGAATGTCATCAGCAATCGTGGGAACTTTGTAGGCGCTCATGTGCCTGTTTTGGAGGGTACCCCTTGTTTGTGGCTTTTAAAGGGAAACCACAGGACGAAATCCACGCCACGCACCAGAGATGGATGAAGCCCAATAAATGGGACACGGCACCTGGTGCACCTGTCAGCAGGGCCCTCTTGTGGGACCGTGACATTTCTCGTGCGCCTGCCGGCCTTTGCGGACGAGCAAGTGAGCAGGAAACAAACGGCCATGTTTGCCAGAAACCAAGCAACGAGCAACTGGTGTTTTTGCAAGCTCCAACCTTCTACTTTTAAGTCAACGGCAGGGTTTCTGATTTTCTGCAACCCGACAAGCAAGTTGGGCACAATTTATGCCGAAAGAAAAGGGTTTTGGGCTTCGCAAAGCCCAAGCCTCCCCCTCCAACTGGAAGTCATGTCCTCGTCGAAGCCTCCCCTGCCAACCGGAAGTCATGTCCTCGTGTTCGTTTTTTCTGCCAGGTCTACGTGCGGGTCCTTTGGTCCCACTGGGAGCGAGTCCCCCAAGCGCCGCATTTTCTGCGCACCGCGCTCCAGAACTTGCTGAAGGGCTCGCTGGGCTACAGCTCCACGGCCAAGCGACTGGGACCAAAATGCTGTTTTGCACGGGTCTAAGCAGAAGCCCTGGTTCATTCATAGGGCATGTGTGTGTAATTCATACTGTGGGTGGGCGAAATCCTGCACCTAAGTCCTAGAATGATGATTCCCCTGTCAATACCAACAAACAAATGGTTTCCCATGGCTTTAAAGTGGTGCGAACGGATTTCGTCCATCCACAGTAGGGCATGTCTCTCTGTGTGTGTGTGTGTGTGTGTCCTTTTCAGAGGTGGATTCTTCACTTTCGGTGACGACCCCTGGTTCATTGATAGGTGGGGTGTCCAGTTCCTTTTAGTGGGGGGGGTTCATCACTTTTGAATGTGCAACCACTTCAACAACCCTTTCTCAGAACCGGCGTATATCTAGTCAACATGATCGAGGCAATACTGCAATCTCCAGGTGGTTTCACTGGGGTTTTGAACAAACAAAATGTGTCCATAGCCCCACAACTCTTGCAACCACAAGTGTCCATAGGTGTCTTTTTTGGTTGTTTTGGCAGAAAATAGATGGCCCTGGTTGACCTGGTTGTTTCATAATCTGCCAGGGCCATTTATTCTCCCAAGAGGACACCTATGCAAGTGCCACGCTTGTTGTTTCTCTTTGGCAAATGTCTACATAGCGCCTCAGGTAAAATGGCCTTTCCCGGTGTTCATTTCGCTCCCTAAACCCCATCCTCGGATGTGGAGATTTGAACCCGGTTCTTGTAGAGGCCATTAAATGGGAACCCACCCGCCTAACCTCACCACCAATCCAACCCACCCTTTGGTGGGTCGAGGCAGCTGGTGCTGCACCACTTCGCGCTCTTAGAGGAGGACTCTGGCGAAGTCTCGGATCTGGGCTCCGGCTTTCTGGTGCTCCGGCGAGTTGCGAATGACATGGCATGGTTGTTGTTGGGAAACATTTTACATTTTTGCTCATTGTGGTTTAGTGGGAAATCCCCACTTAACTGCTAAAGTTTAATTGTTTGCTCCCCTTCCAACGTCAACCAAGGGGAAATGCTCAGAATCGAACCCCTTTTTGGAGACCCCTACGCCATTTTCGGGCACCAATTCGCGTGAGTTTTAATCCATGAGTATGAGTTGTTGATTGGCCCGCTTCGGTGCACATCAGAAGTGGTGGGGTTTCATGTCCAACCACTTGTGAGGTGCGTCCCTGTTAGCACTCCTGGCCACATTTTGATGGAGGTTTCGCTAATCCAGTTCTTCAGTGGATTCCAACCTTTTTTCCCTCACTTGCGGATGGGTTCCCCACTAAAAATGTTCAACGCAAAAACGGGTTGCCTTTTTCCACGAGGCACTGGACTGGGAACAGGGACTGGGAATTAAAAAACAGCAGTTGCAATCCTGTGTCTAAAGTCTAAGCACCGCAAGATTGCAAGGGAAGGCACAACCGCGGAGCAATTTTCGCATTCCACGGATCACTGGAGAAGTTGTTGACGACTTGTGTCCAAAGAAGACAGGAAGCATGTGTTTCTATCAAGTGCCCTAGACAAGCATGTCCATCATTTGCTGGGAACAAGTGGTTTTCGACCGCAAACTGCTGGAACACCCGGACCCAGACTGTTGTCAAACCCATTGGCTCATGGGTTGACCCAGAAACTGCTGTAAGACCAGAACTGCATGAATTGAAAGCCCATGCATTTCACATTGTCAGAAAATGGACAGCAACGAAATCCAACCCCTGAAAGAGGGGTTCCCTGCAAAGTGGGGGGCCATGGATTTGTTTTTGTTTTCCTTTGGGAAACCCAAAGCCCAACAGGTCGGGCGACCCTTACTTGGTTTGGATTGGTGCATTGGGGATTTGACCCCCTGTATCTTCTTCAGGGCTGGGAAACGTTTCCCCACCCGGGGAACACCCCCTGGCCCCAAACCCCAAAGACCCCCACCCCCCCCCATATGGGAAGCTTCCATGGCTGTGGCGCTTAGGTGGCCTTCGAGCTGGCGGAGGAGTGCTGCAACCGCGAAAGTTTTGAGGGCTCCCTGCCGGAGCTGCTGGGAGTGCCGGAGATAACCTGCGTGACAGTGAGGCGCTGGGGGCGGGGGGGAGGGGGGGGGTGGGGGGTGCGGAGGGGGCGGGGGGCGGACGGAGGGGGGCGGGGCTGTGTGTGTGACGGGAGGAGAGGGGAGGGTACCTCCTTTGGGGGTTAGTGCCTTTTTTAAGGGGACCGAATGAAAGCCTTTCTCGGAGTTCCGAACTACTCCGGAGCCTATTTGAGCAGAGTGACCGTTGGCCTAGTATTTGGCGTACCCAAAACTTTGAGCTATCCTTTGATGCGCAAAACATCCGCATTTTGCTCTTTCGATTTTGTTTGCAGGATCCCATGCGCGTAGATACACACCTTGTAGTTTACACTTGTTGCTGACCACATCCTCACCGAAGCCTGCAGAGGTCTTTCTTTGATTGCGCAGTTGTGCATAGTTCTTTGGCAGCCAAACCGCTGAGGTGTGTGTCTGGTGGTGCCTGGGACGTTCTTTGCAGCGGGCCCCACGCCCATTGGGCCTGGCACGCTCTGCTGCAGGGGACCTGCTTCGCGGGCTTCAAGGTCTTGGCTTCGCCCGGAAAGGGCGAGGCCGACTGGCCGATGCCTGCCTGCCTCCTGTCCACGGCGCCGCTGGACGAGAAAAACGCGCGGAAGGCCGATGAGGAGGAGATGGCAGCAGCGGCCTGGCTGCTGTGCGGCCCGCAGGCCAAAGAGGCCCGGGAACGCCTCGTCTCGGGGCTGGACAGGCAAAAAGCCCTAGGCTTCGCTGCGTGTTGTGCTGCGGTGCTGGGGCGCCGGCCCCAGCTTGACCTGGGCACCCGGAACTTGAGCGCGGAATTCGAGATGTGCCTTTTGGCGCGCAGCTGGCACGAGATGCCATACCTGCTGAACGAGGCTCTGCTGAGTGTGGAGTCCTGGGCCATTTGCGCCGCAGCTTTGGCACGCCTGGCACGCGATGCCGCGGTCTGCGCGGGGCGCTGCGGCTCGCAGCTTCCTTTGCTAGCGGGCGACAGCGTGGCACTGCTGCCTGAGGGCCCACAGCTCCTGCAGAAGGAGGCCGTGGAGCTGACGCAAAACGTGCTGAAAGGGGACATCACCCCGGCGCTCCAAGCGTGGCTCACCATCTGCCGGCCTATAGCTCTCTGGGTCTGGGCGGGCGCCGCCAAGGGCTTCTGCGCGCCGGTGGGGTCCTCTTTCGCGGAGGAGAAGCTGGACGTGGGGTCGCAGGTGCGTATGGGTCCAAATCGGGGGCACCCCAAAAGGATAGGTTTGCTTTTGGTTTCTGTCTCAAAACCATCCCCCAAAAAGGGCAATGAACCTCAGGTGGTGAAGGCCGTGCGCGCGGCAGTGGCTTGCTTCCTGTCGGAGGCGGCCATTTTGGAGGTCTGGGACTTGCTCAAAGACCCAAACCTGGGAAGGATGCTGCTGCCTCGGCCGGGCGGTGGCTGGATGTGGCTGGACCCAGATACGGACTGGCCACTCTAAGTTCGACATAGTTCGACCTTGGGCCAAAGCGCCTGAGCAGCAACAAAGCAGCCTATTGTCGCTTGTTGCCTGACATTACCGTACCATGGCTTGACAAGCTGCAACATGCTGTGACATGCCAAGCTAGGAAAGCGTCCTTCCAACGCAGCTTCCGAGCCATTTCCGTATAGTTTTCGCATGTGCGGGACAGCAGTTGATTAGGGCGACATCGCCAAAGCCGATGTCATAGCTTGCATGTGTGGGATAGCCAGCAGATTTTGCTGCGCGTCCAATTTGGCCTGTCAAAGCTTCTAGTGCGCCCGCTGAAAACTGTTGATTGCCACGGTGGGTGGTGTGCTTGAAACTGGACGGAGCAAAGGTCACCTGCTTGGAAACGGTGTTACCTTCCGATGTCTGGCGCTCCTATACTTGCAGGAAGGTGTGATGAACTTGGTTCTGGAACATGCCTTTTTCGAACTAGCTGGCTCATGGCTTGCCGCAATCATCATGATTTCCGCGACTCAACCATGTTAGCTACATGACCACATGACAATGTGTCTTCAAATAGAAAACCCCCAAAAGGCTGGTTTGCTCTGGGTTTCCATCTGAAAGACCCCAAAAGACCCACAACGCCCATTTGGCACCGACATAAAACACGTCCAGAGTGTCTGCCCGTAGCTTGGCTCGGCCGAGAGATCTCGGGGGGGCGGTTTCGGAAACCGCCGTCTCCGGTGCCCTGGCAACCCACGAGCGTGAAGAAAGACATGGCTGTGGGTCAAAACCAACAGTACCATTTTGGGGTAGGTGCACCACCCATTTTAGCCTATTTTAGCGGGGATCAAAATGTTCACTGGGGGTGCGGGATTTTGACCCATGGCCACATGAGCTCCAACAAGAGATTGGCCCCAACATGTCCAAGCCTCGTTGTTTGTTATTCTAGGCGTGTCATTTAGACATTGTCGACATCGGTGACACCCTTGGTAACGGGAGTAGATGCTGCCCTGTGTGTTGGATGCAACATCTACTCAAACTGCATGCCAAAAGCTGCAGAGCCTCTGTGTTGGCTTGCGTGCACCCACCTCCCTGTCCCAGTTCTTCAGGGACCACTTCGTCTATTCCCTTGGTGTTTGGCGGGTTTCTCACGTAATATGGTCCTAACCCCGAAAAGGATTATCTTTTTTGTTCCCAGGGACTCTGCACAACTGGTCGACTTGTTTGTCAGCCACCAGCTGGCAACCCAACAAAGATTCGCGCTTTTGGGTTCAAGGTATTTTGCGAGAGCTGTTAACCTGAGTAGTTTGACAAGCACGAGCCTCACAAGATACAGAGGGAATAGGCGCTTTTCAGGCCGCAAAGGGTTGCTGGGAGGTTGTCCAGATGCGTGGGGACACTGGCAAGCTGGCTTTGCGATAGACTGGGTCTGATTCACTAATTCCCAAATGCTCCAAACGGAAATACAAATCAACTATGCTCTTCAACACCCAAATGGAAATGTGCCCTCGGAGCTCCTAGAGGATGCTTCAAAGCTCTTGATAGCAGGGCTCTCAGCGACATTTGTTCTAATCGGCAAAACTTGAATGTGAGTTATGGATACCATTGCCAAGTTGGTCCCCTCCCGTTCAACCAGAAGGGCCACCACTAGACAAAGCTGGCCCAGCCGAGATTGCCACAGGTAGAATGAGATTGGAAGCCCCAATTCCGCGCCATCTTTCGAGGCTTTGCACCCCACGTTTGGAATGAAGAATGGGTTGATACTGTGTCGAGGTTGATACTGTGTCGAGACACAACAAAAAAGCAATGCTCGATTCAAGGCAGGTGCACTTGGGTACCTTCTTGGGCGGTAAAGCGATGGTTTCTGTCATTCCACGCATCGCGTTCGAGGCCCAGTGATGTGGCTGCTCGTGCTGGCTGCGACCACAGGGCTGCGAGGGTCTGCACCCGGCACCCCCTCCCCCACGGGACCACAGAGCGATTTGCTTTTGGGAGCCGCTCGTTTTGGGTTCGGCGTGTGTTTGCAGGGAATGTTGAGGAACAGAGGGCAGGATCTTGGGCGTGGGAAGCCAAAGTTGTTTCATCCCAAAGCGACCATCGAAGCATCAGTGTTACGCAGGGGCCTCAAAGGGGCTCTTTGCGCACTTCCCAGCTCGATCTCCTTCCAGGTGCTTGAGTTCGATCTTTGTCAGTTTGTTCGCCCGCTTGAATTCTGGTGAGAGGTATTGGTCATGCTCTCCTGCAGATGTGTGTGCGTGTGTTCTACAGAGGGGACTCCCTGATTAAGTTTCCCATTGTTTCCCTTTGGTTTCCCATTTGAACGACCGAAACAACACTATACTCGCACCGCAAAGCAAGACACACGCGAATTCATCAGATGAGGATATGGGACCTCCCCGCTGGGGAACAATCCTCCAGTTCTCGTCCGTTTGGCCAACCGATCATGGGGCCTAAAACATATCCCGAAGAAACAAGGCGAACAAAAACCAGAGGCCAACAGAACTGGGGGCGGGGGGATTTCTTGGCTTTGGATTGGCCAAGCCTCCATTTTCAGCCCCAGACCCTCCATTTTCAGCCCCAGACCCAACCGGTCGCTCCTGTTTCCTACTGCCCCGCCTTTTTCGGCGCATGTTTCTTCGGATGCCCAGGGCAGCTTCTTGGCGCTGGTGGCAGGGTGCGGACCTCGGGTCGATTTGCTGGCCGTCCACCCGTTTTTGTGGTCAACGGGAACCAAGGGGCCCCCGAGTTTGACCAACTGGGGTGGGTTGTTTTTCTAGGTTTGGTGGGCTGGGCTGTGGAAGGGTCCCCACTCAGTCGGTTGGTCAGTCGGTTGGTCGGTCGTCAGTGGGTGTTTTTTGTTTTTTCTTTGTTCGCAGCTTGGGAAGCCCTTATGAGGGTCCTTAAAGACCCTCAAAGTGACATAGACAGAACCCAAGAAAGAGGGCCCCTGGGAGGACATCCTGCTGGAGATGATGACTTCGGGGTGACAACGTGGATCAGGGTAGTTTTACTCACACGTGGAAGGCGTTCCAAAATGGATGGTTTGTGGTGTTCCATTTGTTGAGATAGCATGTGGTTGGACCCCATCTGAAAGTTTGGTTGTTTCCAATGGCAGTGGGCAGCAAAGATTTGGAGTTGCTTAGCATCCTCTCGAAAAAAGGGGGCCTTGTCTCTCATAGGCTACGAAGTTGTGTCGCTTGGAGCCTTCGATCCACCAGCCATGTTTAAAAGCATTTTTCGTCAAACTTCATAGCCACCTCTTGACGTTTGGGCACTCAAATCACCAAACGCATGTGGGACATC